TCCATTAACTTTTTTTGTCTCTAGGCCGCATTTACCTGTGGAGAGAGAAAAAAAAAAAAAAAAAAAAAAAAAAAGCAGCCGCCAAACTTGGCAAGGTCTTTAGCTACAGCAACCTTACTCCTCCGCCAAAGCTGTGTTTATTTCCACTCCATTTCTTTGTACCTTGAATGCGCCGCGCTGCCAGCAGGGAATGATAAACTCTTGGAATGCGTAAGAGGCGAAAAACGTGACAGCTTTTGACTCCCCTTCACCTGCTGCCTCCAATGTATCTTGTTTATTTCACCGCTTGTTTATTATTATTATTATTTTATTTTGCGTAGCCGTAACTGTCGTGCTACGCGGACCTTTTAGATGTAAAACTGATAGGCGTTGATAGGCTCTTCTAGGCGTTGATAAGGCAATGCTTTTTTTAACAGTCATAGCGCTTTTGTTAACGCTCTAAATGACGTGGTTGTGTTTTTAACGATTATTGTTGTTGTTTATGTTAAAGCAGAAATTTTCGTATGTGTAGTGCACTCTTTTTTATAAGGAGGGCCTTATATCGAAATTAAAAGTCTACACACGTCTGTTAACCTTCTCTTTTCTTGTATATCGAAATAAAAAAATTCCATATGTCCTATATATATATATATATATATATATGGATAAATTCAAAGTTCAAAAAAAAAAATTCAAAATCTAATACAATTACGCTCTGATAGCAGTAAGCGGCAGTAATAATGGAAATTAAAATAAAATAAAAAAATGCGTTTAAAATTCATTTCATATTCAATTCGGAATGGTACCACTTGCATATTTTTGCAAATATAATAATAAGAATAATAATAACAGAATGGAAAATTGCAAAAACTAGCTGGGCAAAATATGCCAAAACCAATGTGTATCGACCATACAAACCGACTGTCTTATCGGAAATCCTAAAGATATGCGCATTTTAAAATTATTTTGTGATATTGCTGTAGAATTGAATTTTATGGCTTAAGGGACATGATATTTAATAAAAAAATGTAACACACAAAACGTTTAAAAAACGCCCCTTTAGGCTCAATATAAAATCTGAAAGCTTTCAATTTTTGTTTATTTGTGTGTATCGAAATCAAAGAGAGATACGTACATATATCTATTGCATTTTTTATGTTGAAATTAAAAAGTTCCATATATGTATTGCATATTTTAATATCGAAATTCAAAACCATATGACTGCATTTTCCCCCTTTCTTTATGTTCCCCTTTTTATTTTCTTCTCTTCTTTTCTTTTTACGTTTATTTTTATAACTTATAACACTTATTTTTAAAACGTTTGTAACACCGCAAATTTGCTTTTTGGACGTTAAGTTATACATTTATAACGCTTATGATGGATTTAAGGCTTATGACTTTTGCGTCGAAACGCTTTCTAAATAATGCATGGATACTCAGAACGCAAAGAAATATCATATTGTCCAATGTTTACTTTTCAGACGATATCGTATATTGCTTTATAGACACCGTATATAATATAGTATATTAATTTGGCACTAATAGAAGATGTTTCGAACGCCATAGGGGCAAAATCGTTTGGTTTTTATTTATATATTTATCAAATGAATGTCTTATTGATGTTTCAATATCAAATTAATGTCTTCATGGAAAAATTAATAATTTTTGTATCGTTTCAGGAAAAGAAGAAAATTCCAAGAAGGATCTACGATGGAAACTTACTAGTCCTCACACTGGAATGCAGTGCAAACGATTTGGTCAAATATGCAGTTGTGTCTTATTCTACGAAATTCTGCGAAAGTGTAACATGCTGAAGAGCATATATTTATGAAAAATGACTTTTTTTATGTTCCTGTTGAAACTCTGTTTTGCTAAAGATGGCGTAAACAAAATCAAAAAGTGGAGACGGTACTGCATATAATATGCACTGCTCTTAAAGAATTATCCTGTTTTTTATTTGCCAAAGAATTATCGCGCGATGGAACTATTATGCTTATAGAGTGTTTTATCGGCTGCAGGCAGCTAAAATGAAAAACCAAAGATTATTTATTGTTTTGTGGATTGTCGTCATCATCGTGAGCTTCAATTTCTGTCGTGTATCGCCTATGAAGGATAATCCCGCAAAAGGGAAAAGTCTGTATCTTTTTGTTATTGTTGTACAAGCATCACTTTGAAATATTATTGTACAGGCATATTTCGTTTTATTGCGCCTTTGTTCCCCACAGAGGGCTTCTTTAAATTTTGTCGATACAGCAAACACCTTTTTTTTTTTTTTTTTTTTTTTTTTGTAAAAGTCTTTAGACTATAGTTGTTTTTCTTGAAAGTCTGATTTTTTTTTTTTTTTTTTGTAGTAGAACCTTTGCTAATGTAATTTCCTTTTTTTTTTGTGGAAATCGGAACATTTTATGATATATATATTTCTTTTTTGTAGAACCCCCAAAATTATAATATTTTTTAAAGTTTTTAAATTATGTATATGTATCTACAACCAAGAGATAATTTAATTAATAAAAGTGGTAAATTTACTGACATGAAGAAGTCTTAAATGAATTTGATAAATTTTGATTAAATATACTTAAAATATATCTTTCTGAAGGCCGAAAACTTTCCATATTTTTTCCTTTACTGTGGAACCGTTAAAAATAAAACGGTCCTTAAACCTCCCCTTTTTTTTTAATTTTTTAATTTTTTTATCTGCAGGTATGAAAAGCCGAGTATTTTTTGTGGAGTCCCTTAAACTATATTTTTTTGGAAAGTTCCAGAATCATATATATATATATATATATATATATATATATATATAATGTTGTATGATCTATTAAAATAATTCTACTTTAATAAACTTAGGAGATAATATAATCAATTAATCAATACTGTTTAGGAAATAAATTATTATATATATATATATATATATATGATTCTGGAATAATATATATACAGTGTCTCAAAAAAGTGATGGGACACTTGTGCTTTACAAAAAGAAACAGCAATAAAATAAATTTAAAAAACATGTTAAAACTTTTTGTGGGTGTGTTTCATACTTAAATTTAGTAACAATTATTACATAACATACATTTTCTCAAAATATTAAAATATTAATTTAATAAAAATACAATTGTTTAGAACGGAGCAGAAAATGGCTCACTTAAGTGATGGGACACTTACTTTTCCATCAAATATTTATCCAAAAATTTTACTTTTCAAAAGGTTTTAATATTTTGTTGGATTTCGTTTTACTTTTAAAACATGATTTAATCTTCTTGGGATGGATTCAACTAATTTTTTTGTGATTTCTGGAGTGATTTTACCCCATTCTTCTTGAAGCACCGATTTTAATTGTTGTTTTGAAGAAATGGTGTGTTTGCGAATTCTTGATTCCAATTCTTGCCAAATATTCTCTATGGGATTTAATTGGGGAGATTGTGGGGGTGTTTTTATTATTTCAGGACAGATATACAGCAGCCAGAGTCTAACGTTCAATGCACTGTGCTTGGGGTCATTGTCCTGGTAGAATTTAAAATCGTTATGAAGGTTCAGTTTTCGTGCTGAAGATTTCAAATTTTGATTTAAAATGTCAATATACTTGTACTGATCCATTATACTGTCAATAAAAACAAGATTACCAACTCCAGCGGACAACACACACTTCCATACCATAACTCCTCTTCCACCATGTTTTACTGTTGGCACCAAGTTCTGTTTGCGAAATTCTTCCCTGGTTTTTCTCTCCACACCAAGATTCTACCGTCAGAACCAAATATATTAAATTTACTCTCATCAGCAAATATAACTTCATTCCAGTAATCAGAATTCTTATTTATGTTGGGTTTGCGAAAGCCAGTCTGAGTTTTCTATTCTTTTCACTTACGAAGAATTTTTTCCTGGCTGCTCTACTGTGATATCCAGTAGATCGAATTACTCTTCTAATAGTCTCAGAATTAACAATTACTCCATATAATGCTTGTAAATCAGCAGCAACTTTAGGAGCACTCATTCTTGGATTTTTTTTAAATATTTCTAACGATAATTCGCTTTATTCCATTGGATAGCTTTGATGGTCGGCCAGGTCTTCTTTTATCCTGAATCATATGATTCTTTTTATATCGTTTAATGATACTGAAAACTGTTGAATGACTGAAGTTAATTGTTTCAGTAGTTTCTCTAATAGATTTTCCACGTTCAATATGCAAATTAATAACTAATTTTCGAATTCCAGGCAAAGTTTCTTTTCGTTTAGCATTCATGGCTGCACAGAGCTAAAAAACACAAAAATTCCAAAACAAACTGGAGAGAAATACTGCAGACCATTTTATAAATTATTGGCAATTGCTTCTGAGTAAAAATAAATACCCAAAAAGATATTTTTATTGCTTACTTCAGACGATTTTTGTTGCATAGTACATAGTGTCCCATCACTTAAGTGAGCCAGTTTCTGCTCCGTTCTTAACAATTGTATTTTTATTAAATTAATATTTTAATATTTTGAGAAAATGTATGTTATGTAATAATTGTTACTAAATTTAAGTATGAACACACCCACAAAAAATTTTACATGTTTTTAAAATTTATTTTATTGCAGTTTCCTTTTGTAAAGCACAAGTGTCCCATCACTTTTTTGAGACACTGTATATATATTCAACATATATATATATATGTTGCAGCATATAACTGCGTGACTTTAGTAATTAATAATCTCCTTAATTTTAGAATTTTGAAAGCCTTTATTATCCCACACTGTCTGTTTTTTTTTAATAGAATCCCTACCGTTCTTGAAAAAAATTAACTTTTATTTATTTCTCTATACATCATTCTCACATCTTATTTATTTGATTTTTGATGTGCATTGAGAAGGGCGACAAATGGGCGTCAAAAGCTATTTACAGGCATACACGAGGTATGCCTGTAATATTTAGAATGTTTCTTTGCTTTTAATTTCTCTCTTTCCAGTGTGGCTTCTGATTGCTTGAAAGTGTGACAATATAATTTCAAAATGCCCGAATGTTTGTTTTTTTCCATTGCAGTTTGTATCGGGACATCAGGTCGGATGTCGGTTCCATCGAATAGGGAACATCACTATCAGAATCTCAGGGATAGATATACAAACTGCACTTACGTGGATGGCAACTTGGAGTTGACGTGGTTGAAGGTAAGCAAGTCATCGATCCTTTGTTCTTTCGAAATGTGTTTTAAAAGGTATTCGGAAAAAAAGTCACGGAAGACTTTTTTTTGTTTCCAAAATGTAGTAGCACAACCTGTTGCGTTATTATGTTTATTTAGGAGTAGGAAACATGAAATATGTGTAATTGCCTCGCCAGAATTCGAGCTCCGGTTTTCCCTTATTCTAATCGGAGGTACTTGCAATTATACCACGAAGGCTTATGTAAAAAGAAAGAAAATACAGTAGAATCCTGGTATACGTCCGTTTGAAATACGTCCAACTTGGTATAAGTTCTGTTTGGACGCGAAAGGTTTTGCTATGTATATGATATATTTTTGGGGGAATACGACTCCAGTTCGACGACTCACGACTGCGGTCAGCTATCCTTGTTTAGTTCTTTCAAGACATTTCTGCGATTGTCCACGAACATAATTGCGCTTTTTGCTACTATCCCCTAAACAACCCGAGCTACGGCTCTCAGTTTTCGAGTGATTTTGTGTTTTTCTCGTAATTGTTTTCTAACTTCATTAAAAATTGAGCTTTAGGAAAGTTAATGAGAAAAGTCAAACAATGAAAGAAACACCAATAAGGTGAAAGAAAAATTGTTGAAAAGTATGAAGATGGTGTGGATATCCACAACTTGGCTATTGCATACCGCATCTGAGTGTGACGGTGTCTACAGTCGTGTAAAACAAAGATGCTGTTTTAAATCGGCTTACGTTATGAAGGAGAAAGAAAGTTCGTTGAAATCGATTACCAAACGAAGATTTGAAGACGTTAGAGCAAGTTAAAAAAAAAATTCTTTTGATCTGTATAGCAGAAAAACATTTACGTACAGCATCGCGTGCAGTGCTTCATTTATGTGCTGTATGTATTTTGCTTTAGTATTTTAGAATTTGTTATTTTTTTAAACATATGAATTATTTTTCATTTATTTCTTATTGGAGAAGCTTATTTGATACACGTCCAAGGATCTGGAATGGATTAAGGACCGAGATATATCGAGGTAACACTCTACCTTGGAATTAAATTTCTGCAGGGAACTTTATGTTCTTTGCAAGCGTCTTCTGCGTTTCTACATTTTCGAATTATGAAAGTCGGAGGAGATTTCCTTATAACTTAGTGGTATAAGCGTGAAAATTTATACTTCTTTCGATGCCCTTGATAAGAGTATTCACTACTTTTTTTTTTATGTTCCAAATATCAAACTGTTTTAAATAAAGTACAATTTTTTGTCCTCCACATAACATTGTAACGTATACTTTTAAAAAATTTTTAGAGGGGAGGCTTAATAGTTGCTCATTTTAAACTCATCATTTTATTTTTATATAATTGAAAAAGAATCACTTTGGGTTCACTAAAAAATGAAATTAGCACCAAATCCTGTAATCCTTGTCAAAATGAAACTAGCACCAAATCTGTATTCCCTATCAAAATTAATAAATATATCGACAGGTATGCTAATAAGTTAACTTTTACTTCATTTGCAAAAACACAATTATGTAAAATTATATAGAATTTTACACAAATGGAACAGAAGAGAGAAACATTTGCCAATTCGGCGGAAGTACCATGTGTGGTCAAGATGATGTGACCATGTGAACGTGCCACATCATCAAGATAACTTACTAAGAATTTGAAAACAGGGTGATAGCTGGAGGTGAAAACATTTGTGTAATGTAACAAGGATGTCCGATCGTGAATGGTCCTCTTATTGATTCCAGATTGTTAAATGTTTCCCACACACAATTTTTCTTCTCGGAAATTCAAGGTTCATGCTAGTTTTTTAACGCACGCAGGTCTGATTCATAGACAAAGAATGGCTAACTGAAGCATATTACAATATTTGCTCTTAGTATCATAATCAAAAAATGGCGAAGTTTTGGATTCTCAATTAACTCTCTCTTGGATAAAAGATTTCTCTGAGAAACTGAGAACCAGTAAATGATCTTTGAGTGGGTATTAAAAAAATGCGTGCTAAAAAATCATCTTATATTTGAGGAAGTATTTCAGGAAAAAGCTCTGTATATAGAAAAGAAATAATGCGTAATTTTAATATTAATAATGCAATAAACTTTTGTCCTAATTTTTGTAATCCTTAACCGAATAAAATCGAATTACCTTTATTTTTTGAACGTAATTAAAGAAAACTTGGGAAAATATTTTATTCAAATTAAACTGTTCTGGAAAAAGTATAGCATTTCATTCTGTTCCGAATAAAGTGTTTAAAAATGTATTCTCACATTCTAAGGACTCTGAAATATGTAGAAAAAGAAAATATATGCAATTATACGCATATTTACGACGTAATTACAAAATGTTTCCATCCGATCATGTCAAAACGCATTGATCCTAATGGCAAGTGACTGAATGTTGGTCTCCAAGAGGGGATCGCCACTGCTTCAAGAGGCAGTGCATGGGGTAAACCATTTAGGGCCTCTCCTCTTTTTTTCCTACTCCATGGGTGATTGTTCAATCTGTAATAATAAAAATACGACTATCCGGCATTCAGCTATCTGGAAAACTCAAATAACCGAAAATATAAAGCACAAAAGGACTGCGATTCGAATCAAACAAAAGCCGTTGCCAAACAGTGCGATTTAGCGCCAATAATGGACAAGCGTGACGTAACACGTGGGCACTGAGTAAACTCGATTAATTCTCGATAAGTCTGTTAAATTTTGTGAAAAATGATGTAAGTTAATTGCTATTTTTCAATCGGATTTCGAAAAAAATGTTAAAAATTTGGGAGGTGTCTTCAACGGTTATGCAGTAGAGTCACATCGAGAAAAGTGTGATTTATATTAAAATGGATAAACACTGGTAGTACAACGTGAAAAATTAATGTTTTCTTTCGACATCTTACATAATTTAAATGTAGGCTTTTGATATTCAAGTCAATAACAAATAAAATGACTCTTTCTATAATTTTAGACTGGAAATTTTTTCTTCTATTCATTTGGCTTTTCTGCAGTGAAAAGCATTTTTGTATTTTCACACTTTCAGTTATGCGGACTTTTCGCGTATACGAAATTCGGAATTTCCCAAGCTTTCCTAATAGTCGAGTTTTTATTGTACTTCTTTTGTCGGTCATATCGTGTTCATTAATATGCATTTTTTATGATAAAATCGAATTTTGAAATAATCCAGTACTTGTTCTTCTGTAGAAGAGAAGTCCTAGATTTTAATCCTTTTTTGCTTTTCAAAATATAAAGGGAAAAGTATAGCAAAAACAGTTAATTTATATTCTTGTTCATAAAAACAAAGCGCAACTTATCGAGAATGAATCGGGATTTCATGGTACGAAAGCGTTGGCGTTATGAGTGTGCTATTATGTCATGCTTATCCACGATTGGCGCTAAACTGCATTCTTGGCAATATTTTCACGTTGTTGAGATCCTACGTAAATACCTAAAAACAATTTCAGTATTATGTACGAGTCTTTATACCCTAAATCGAAATTGAATTCTTTCGGAATGAAGCATCATTATCTTTCTTACAACTAACAATGAACATATCAGTTCATTCTTTCAAGAATTAACCTGAATCCTGTATTAAAGTAAATTTGCATCTCCAGATCTTTCACATTTCGAGGTTGTTAGATATGCCGCATACAGTCGATGCGTGCTTTGAAGTAGTTTAAACATTCATTTTCTTGAGACGGCTAAGGAAATGTTATATGATGATATTGTGATTTCAGGACGATTCTCTGGATCTCAGCTTTCTGCAAGAGATTCGAGAAGTGACGGGGTACGTTTTGATATCTCATGTGGACATACAACGGATCGTGCTACCCAAGTTGATGATCATCCGGGGTAGAAACCTCTTCAAACTCAACGTGCGGGACGAAGACTTCGCCCTTATGGTCACCCTCAGCAACATCTTCAACCTGGAGTTGCCATCTTTGAGAGGTTAGTACGTTATGATATATAGTTGGCGTTAGTTGTATTAATCCATTGTATTTTTCCTTGCATTTATTGTTTGAAACGTATTTTATGTAGATTCTTCGTTAAGCTACACGGGCGTAACGGATGTTCTCACATCCAAGAAACCTTCCAAGCACGGGATTTCACCTTACAATTTCGGCTTGTGGATAGAGAAGGTAGGCGAACAAAAGGCTCGGATTTCGAAAGATCGAACAGATCTACTGCCAATGTACTCGATCTTTCAAAATCCTCTTCTTCGCCCCTTCATCTTCATTCCTCTGATATTCCTCTCGGGAATTGCGGCCGAATAACTCATTCATACGAGGTGTCCTTTGGACTTTACAAGGTACTAAGCCAGACACATCGCGCTTTACCGTCAGATATCGGCTCAGTATCCGTCGGATATTGTAATGTTAATATTATTATGTAGGTTTCTTTGACAGAAATAATTATTGTAATAGTTACCGGTAGTTTATCCATGAGTACTTTTCACTTGTTATGTTCTTGCTGCAATCGTGATTTTCCGAAATTAAATTACTCTCAGATAACCTAAGGTAAGTTTTAACTTGCGCCATTTAGCTATATCTCAAAATGACCCTGTTCTTAAGTGCCTCCACTTCAACGAACGTTTATTGAATACATTCTCAGTAATAAAAGTATTTGCAACTCCTCCCCCTCTCCCGGGAGAAAAAGAAACATGTTACGAGTCATTTACTTCTGGTGACAGGAATGTTTTCTTGTTGTGTCTGCACCTGGGGTCTGATACCGTTTCTCATTGCCTATTGTTTTCGTGGAAATCGTAAAATTCTTTGCTGATCTTCTCAGAACGAGGGAAGCTATTGCCAACTTAAAAAGAGTTTTTGAAACAATTCGGAATAAAATTTAAAGTAAATATAACAGAGAAAATCAAAAGGATATTTTGAAATAATAACTAGAAAAAAAAACTTATTATTATAAAAAAGAAAGAAAAGAAAATTAAGACAAATTGAAAATTTAATTACACTTAATTATATTCTTACTCATGAAAAACTTAATTAAAGCATTTAATTAATTGAAAAATAAGTAAAACTTAATTATTTTTTTTCTTTTGCCAGCCAGTAGTTCAAAAATGCTTTACAATTTTGGATTCAAACTGAAATTACTCGCAGACCAACACAACCTGAAAACAGCTGATGGACCAGATTATTTTTTAGCAAAATGAAAAATTTTTTATCCATAAAATATCAAATATTTTTACTAAATTGTAAATTTCGCCTACTAAATATTTATCATAACATGGATAAACAATTAATGATAATGCAAAGAAATTTTTTAAAATTTATTTTCGATTTGAAATCTAAAGTTTGGTACCTGCAAGAGGCTTTTGTTTGTTACATTTTGTAATTCAAACATATTAATAGCTAGATACTAATATTTTAGACCAAAAATTTATTTCAAATAATTCTTATATGTTTAATCAATGATTAAATAACTTTAATTAATGCATTTAATTTGCTTTATTTATTTTATTTATAATTACTTTATTTAATTCAAATTAAATGAACAAATTTTGGAAACTTCACAGAAAACTTTCCAAGTGAAACTCCAACTTGAGAATAAATAATGACAATTTAGTTTAGCTCTCTTATTTGTAAAATTTTTCTTCAATATATAAATCAAAATACTTATGTTTATATGTAAATAATTATCAGTTTTTTATGTAAGTGCAAAATTAATTTTTGTAATATTCAAGCATTGAAGGGAAAGTACTAAAAATTATCTTCATTACACATTGTGGATGCTTGTTGGCATATCAGGTTTTTTCTTATTAATTTCAACTGCGAAAAAAAGCTGTTGAGATATAAATACATTCCCAAGCAAAATGATTATTCTTAGTGCAAAAATTCATAACTGAGCTTATTTATTTTTTGGCAAGTGCGAATAAAAAGTCTAAGTCTGACTAGTGAGTAAAAAAAAAAGTCTGTATCTTCAAATCCTTGAATATGATCTGTACTGCATTTAAATTAATAAGTTCAGATTTTCTAATGCGTAATTGGGTTTTATTTTTAATGATAATGAAAATAATGTAAAATTGGATTTCAAATTTTTAAAATCAATGCACCTTTCTTAAAATTTTGAAATCTTTGCAACATCATATTCGCAAAATTATATAATTGAAATGTATTTACGGGCCACATAAAATTGCTTTGGAGGCCGCTAGTTTGAACCAATACTTTACAACATCTGTCATTTTGTATTAAATTTCTTAATTGAGACATTCATAAATCAGCAGAATGAAAGGTAAATGTATTTTTTTAAACACTGCAGAGACAGCAATACTTTATTATTATTGACACCTTTTTTAAAAAAGAAAGTGTTTTTTTTTAATAATTTTTAGTAATTGAATTATAAAAATGGAAGTAATTTAGTTGTAAACGATGACGTAGCTAGGGTAGGGCAATGGGGGACACCTGTTCCTGGCCGCAGCATCCAAGGGGTGCCAAATTGGTGCTACTAATTGTAGAATGAAATGTTTTCCATTCTCGAAACACAGAAAAAGGCACAAAATATTTAGTTGTCCCCGGGCGCTGCAAACCCTAGCTACACCTCTGGTTATAAAAACGTAATTGATTTTAGTAATTTAATTAAAAAAATGTAATTAGTTTTAGTGATTTAGTTAAAAAATAATTAACTTTAGTAATTTAGTTACTCATTTAGTCCAGTTTCAAACAGTCTGGGATATTAGCAGAACCAGTTTCCCAGACAGTTTGAATTATTAATAATTAGCTGTTACCTGGCATGCGTTGTAATGCTACTTAAAGGAAAGAAAGTGTTTGTGTTTTAATTCTGTTAATGAAATTTATTCTTTATGCGTATTTTGCATGTTTTGATTGTGGTCACCTGAAACCATGTTTGATAAGGTGGTGAATTTAATTCTGGCTCTTTCACTTTTCTACCCACGTAGCACATTACTAGTGCTTTTTTCTTAAGTTTGATGGCTAAGTGATACATGCATAACAGCTACACTTGGATGAAGACTGTAATCATAATGGAATGCACCAAGATTTTAATCAGTTTGCAATGTTCATTTAGATCAAAGCAGTGAGTATTGGAACATTTTCCAGTCTTGTATCCCATTGTTCATCTGCTTCAGATGAACTGGCTGTAGCAGTGTGTACTTGAACAATTGCCACTCTTGCTTCCCTTTTATTGTCTGTTTCAGATAAATAGGCTTGAGCAGAATTTTTGGGTGCTTTCTAGTCTTGCTTCCTGTTGTTCGTTTGTTTCATATGAATGGGCTTGAGCAGTGCATACTTGAACATCTTTGAGTCTTGTTTTCGAAGCTCAGGATGCTTTTTCTTCTGAGCTTGATGCGTACACCGAGCTGTCAGTTTTTATTTTGGTGGTTTATAATTAGCTATAATATTCTGACTGTGCGAGGTACTGTTGTATTATATTGCTGCAAGGGTGAGTTCATTGATGTCTATTTAAACCAGGGATTCTGAACCCTTTTCTTGCAGTGACTCCTCTTAAAAGAATGATTTCTACCTTGTATTTTATAATGTACAGTGTAAAACATTATCTCACTACAAATAATTGCACATAAATAATTTCCAGATAACAGACTGAGAATATGAACAAATGCTTTGAAAATATGGTTTATTAGATTTATGTTTTATTATTTTTTGTATTAGTATCACTTTTAATTTTACAAATATAAACAAGTTTTTGGGGAAAAAATTACAGATTCTAACTACACATTCACTTTCAATGAACGTGATGGTTGCGTTCAATGTACAGTTTTTAATATCTGACATAATGCTGCATAAACTAAAGTTTATATAAATGACATAAACTTAATTCTTAAATCACCTCCTTCAAAAATATCCAACCTGTTTCTTGTTTTCTATATTATTGACTACGGCTCGACTACTAGGCAAGATGACTTCAACAAAAGTGCTGGCACCTTTCAAAAGTTAATAATTGTTCATCAAGGGCACCCTTACTAAGTTTAATTTGCGCAGAAAAGAATGCAGCCTTCATTGAGATGCCAGAACACCCATTATGAGGTCTTTAGTTTAGTGAATAATCATATTTAGTGAGATACATTACGGTGTCAGCACTCTTATGAAGTTGAATTTAGAACTTGGAGAAAGCAACTTCCATCAAAGTGCCCTACCTTTAGGCTGGTTTCTGTCTAGGCAAAATCTCAATCATAAAGGTGCCGTCACCTTTACATGTGTGAAAGAATAGCGAAATCCTCTAATGTGATTCTATCTAGTTTCTTTTCTATTTTTTTTTAATTTCCTTCATTTATTCTTTTTCGTTTCTTAACTTTACTTAAGTTTTTATTTTTGTTTTCAGATATTCTGACAGGGAGTGTTGGTTTTTATTATAACTACAATCTGTGCCATGTCCGTACCATCAAATGGGACGAAATACTTACCGGACCAGACGCAAAGCCTGTGTACGTGTATAATTTCACCTATCCCGAGAGACACTGTGAGTTCAAAAGTATCGTTATTTATTTATTTATTTATATTTGAAAAGAATTTGTGTCTGTATATGTGAAATACCATATTTTCTTCCATATTTCTTCCCTTACCATTTTAGTGTAAGGTTCTGAAAATTTTAAAAAGTTCTTATCATTTTCCTCTTCCTTCGACATGTTTGAAAAATGAACTCATCTAAATTATAAAATGGATTTGATCGCATAGTGATTATTTTCATGTTAGTAACAGAGACAAGCCTTTGCAAATGACCTACAATGGTCTTTCCGGACCTTTCCCTTCTGATTGGCAAACTATATGCCTGCCTAATGTGAGAACTGATTCATCACTGTGAAACAAAAACAAGCTTCCATTCAGTTAAGATTTTGCGGAGTCAGCTGCACATTCAGCTTCTATAATTATCTGTTATTGATTGGTGGCCTAAGGAGTAGCAGAGACAATAATAAGAATGAGTTAGATTCAAGTTAAGCAAAATAAAGGTTGCCTTAAGAATTATGTAATTAAATCATTCACATAATTTTCACCTCTCAATATTTGGACTGTAAAATTAGTACAAAGAAAGGGAGAAAATACACTAGGAAATATGGCATTACCTTTTTGATTTTTAGTTTAACAACCTTAAAGCTGTTTAAAATTTGAATTTATGGTTTGTTTCATCTGGAATCTTTATTTTTTAAGTCTGTTTTGTAAACCCCTAAACTAAGCCTTTATTTTTCAGTTTCCATGCAAAATTTATCAATTTTTCTTTTCCTATATGCTTTTGATTAGTGCAACAAGACATATAAAAGATTCTATAAATATTTTTCTAAATTTTTTATATTTTTTAATATTTCTATGGTGCAAAATAAATTGTAAATAATTATCCTCTGTCAACTCATTAGTGTGTTTTTCTTAAAAATCCTAAGACAGCAGAAAATTCCTGCTTTGCACAGGTCTACTACCTGGCTTATAAATTTCAAGAATTCCAAAGGCCAAATAGGCAGGTGGATAGATAGACTCTTCCTTGCCCAGAAAGCTGCCGATATTGTCCCAGGCTTGAAGTGAAATACAAGCTGCTTAATCCTGTTGCACGTCTAATTAAAACTTCATCTGACCCAGACCCATGGAGAGATGAAGAATTAGGTGAATTAATGATAAAGAAATTCAGTTGGAAGATTGTGACATTAAACCCCCACTTGACTTAATCATGTCTTCAAATAGGAAATCTACCTGGCAGACATTTGGATCTGTAGCCCTATGTTGGGGGAAACATGTTGGGCTCTCTGGGACTTACTGCAAATTCAAAACTGCGTCTTGTACCATAATTTCAAATCAGCTGATGGAAAGGCATTCTGTGGCAGCTGATATTTCTCAGATCATTGATGTCCTTAACCTTTTCGCGTGGGCTCGAAAAACAGTTGTGTACCTTCACTGGGGGCTGTTGGCTCAGCGGTTATGCAAATGGAGAAAAATTATCGAATCGAGTCTTGACGACTAGGTGATTAGCGCTCTTCTGTCGGGCAGGCAAGGAAACTGTCATGATTTCCTTTCAATCCAGTTCCAATGCCCAAGGCGTTAAAATGTGGGATGCACTAATCGCTTTCACACTGCAGGTAGATGAATGCAGTTTTCCCAAGGGGAAAAAAAATATATTTTACCTTCTTCAGATGAAATGTATGCTACAACTATAAAATTTTGTTCTAAAAAGTGTTCCATTTTATGATTAAAATAGTTTTTTAAACTTGCACGTAGATTATGTACTAAAAAAAAGCGAGCAATCGGAGTTAAATATATTCACTTGTCATCATCGTATCATAATTCAGTGAGTTAAAATTTCAAACATTTCCTGCAAACAATATGTACATTTTCATTTTTAATAGCATTATTATTCTGATGTTGAAGAGCAAATTAAATAGAAGTTTATTTACTACATAGAAACTAAAAACTTTACTAAAAAGCATTTCCGGATTCCAAAATAAGTATTATTACTTTTACACTTCTAGTAATATTCATTTCTGGAGAAATGGAAATTGGTCACTGCATTTGTACTGCACTAAAAATTTACAATGCATGAGCCAAGAAATATTTTATTTATTTTTCTTCCATGTGGCGTTGCAAATAGCGATCCCAGAGTTGATCTGCCTTTACATCAGGCATATAAGATGTTTAATTCTTTTTAGCCGCTTCATAGTTTTTGGTTCAAGAAAGAAATGCAGATGTAAACCCTGGAGCTTTAGAAAATAAAATCTTTGCTGAGTTTTAATGTATTCATTAACAAAAATTTAGTTTTATCACTTAGCGATATAAGATATTACTTTCTCGATAGATATTACTTAGTATGTTAGCTGTTCGATAATTTATATTGCTACACCATTATTTCTTTGAATGCAGAATAAGAATTGCATATACAGGAATGCATTGATATTTCAGAAAGTAAACATCTTTGTCAAATAGCGAAATATTTGTTCATTTTTTTATGATTTACATTTTCAGAATGTTAAAATCACCTTTGAGGTATCAAACTGTTATGAGGAATTTTCAGATCTCAAGCTATTTACACTTGCTTTCTTTGGGAGTAATGAAGCTGGGAATAAAGATTCGTACTGAATTGATGAATATTAATGAAGATTCGCACTGAGGATTAAATTCAGAGAATTAAAAAGTGGTACACATCTGAATTCCTGTATACATGCTTAGTATTTCAATATCTAAATTTGATTCCCTCCAAAACACAATTCTCATATAAAATTAATTACTTTCTGAACACTACTAGCAACTGAGTGGTTAAGGCCACTGAATGCTGTTAGTTCAACGTCAGGCGATTGAGCTGGTCGCATGGTTAGTTTTCATTGTTTCCTCCTTGTGAAACGTGAATACGAACCAATTTCCTCTAAAAGATCTCCACGAAAGCATCTTTTTCTTTAGGTAGGCAGCCTTCGTGTGCTTTTCCATATTCAATTAACCTAAACGGTGTCTAATTTCTGAACGAATTGATATAGATATGGCATTATAGACACAAACATATAACAGCGGATAAATTAATAAATTTTGAAACTTTTTTGAATGAGAAAATGTTTCATAATAATTGATTTAGTAAAAATTTGTATTTCATTTGTCGCACAATTAAAATTCATTTTGCCATCAAAATTATTCATAAAAGAAAACACTCATAAGTTTAGGTTTCTTATTTCAAATATAATTTTATTTTCATTTGTTGGATTAAAGAAGGTGTTATCTACCTAAGCGAAAGGGGCTATCGTGGAGCACCTTTAAAGGAAATTGGCTGATATACCCTAATTATATGTGAGAGAACAAGAAAAGTTCATGCAGTCAATCTGTTCATTGGAATTTGAATGCAAGTTAAATTATCAGAGTTAAAGAAATATTATCCGCTCGGCCGCTAGTTTTCATTCAGAACATAGCAAACCAAAATTTCACTTAAGTAAGCAGTAGTCGTGGAATGTATGTCATTTAGAAATAACATTAAAATTAATTTTCATCACCTGAAACATTTATATTTATTACACTGCCTTAACAGGCACATTAAAAAATGGAATAAAGTGGTAAAAACACTTATGAAAAGAATGAAAGGAAGACAATTTCAAATTCGAATTGAAACCAAATTAAAGGGAATTTAATTGAAAATAACTGAAAAAATTATGCATTTTTAACTACATTCAAGCTTTTAAAATAATTTCCGAAGAAATTTAGCAGACGAACTTTCGAAAATAAAATTTCTTTGATATTTGACCTCCAAGCTGCATTTGCACAGGAAAAAACCTGAAAACTCAAACGCGTGTGAATCGAAGTAACAAATTATTCTTTTTATTTTCTACTCTCAAAAAATATTTCGTAGAAGATACCAAATTTGCCAACAACACATGTAAATTTAAAACACGGACAATTTTCCCCAATCCATTAGCGGAATCCCACAAAAGAACGCACTGTACGGGGTGTCATAAAACAGTCATCAAGCCTCAAGTGCTAGAATTCCTACCCCTGCCACCAATGACAAACTGTCCCGAGCCCCCAGTTGTTGTATACTTACTTCGGGACACATATGTCCCAGCCCCCGGGAAAAGGTTAAAGCATACTTTTTCTACAGAACAGTCTGATAGAAGCTGTAGTGCACTGAAACAGACTTTCATTACTATCCATTTTGGAATGTTTCACTACTTATAATCACTACTTAGATTGGGTACCCTGCATAATTACACAGTAAATTCTAAAATGTTTCAGGTACCTGTGATGAATCATGTGAAGCCGGTTGTTGGGGGGAAGGACCACATAATTGCCAAAATTTTTCGAAAATTAATTGCTCACCACAGTGCCATCAGGGAAGATGTTTTGGTCCGAACCCACGGGAATGTTGCCATTTATTTTGTGCTGGTGGATGTACTGGTCCGACGCAGGCAGATTGTTTGGTGAGTATTCAAATAATGCACTCTTGACTTCTGTCTCAGAACTTGTTTTAAGATATCAAAATTAAGTCCTTGTTATATAGCTGAGGGAAAAATGATAACTTTTTAATTTTTCAGAATTTATGTGTATAATAATTATTACATTTTTCCTAAATTTTTCTAAATCTTCAAATTTAATTAAAAAAAAAATTATATATATAATTTGTATATTTTTTTAAAATTTAAATTTTTTAAAACATTTATAGATGCAACTCTTATGTTTTCAAAAGTTATATAAGAATTATATTTTTCAAATTTTTTTTTGAGTTTAAATTGAAGTTGAGGTAGCATAAAAGTTTTAGTGAAGTTTTGAAAGTTTAGCATAAAAGTTTTAGTTGAACTAGCATAAAAGTTTTAGTTGAGATTTTAATATTTAGTTCAAAGTGGTCAAACTATATTGCATACCATATGCTGATTACAATGTTATCTACGATTGTGAAAACATAAAGATTCTGTTAAAATCAGCTAACATTGCAAAGAGGGTAAAATCTACTGCCAAACAAAGATCAGATATGTTAGAGTATGTTTAGGTATTGCTTTTGATCTGGATAGAAGAAAAACATTTCTGTGCAGTGCTTCTTGTACATGCATTTATATTTTACCCACTTCATTTGTAATTTAGTATTAAATAGTGTTTATAATAATAACAACAATACTCTTTTTTTTTTTTTTTTTTTTTTTTTTTTTTTTTTTTTTTTTTACAAAAATAGGTTTATTATTTTCCTTTTGGTTCTTTTTGGAAAAGTTCATTTGGTATATGCCCAATGATTTGGAATGAATTAATGACATATACTGAAGTATCACTGTGTTAAAAAATTTTTTAACTTTAAGCTTTTTTAACTTTTGTATTTTTTTTAAGGCTTGTCGAAATTTCTATGACAATGGAGTGTGCAAACAAGAGTGCCCCCCAATGATGAGGTACAACCCAGCCAGCTACTCCTGGGAAAGCAATCCAAATGGAAAATATGCATATGGCGCAACTTGTGTCAAAAATTGCCCAGGTGAGGTCTTGAAAAAATTTGTTTTGTTAAGCAGAACTATATGCAACAACTTTTGAATTGTATTTCTTCTATAATAAATAATTCATATTAAACAAAGGAGAAATAGGGTTAAATATTCATTTTATGCCTGTATGGTAATAAGTATTTTTTATAAGCTTTTATTTACTTCACTCATTGAGTTTCACAGTAGGTGGAATTCTGCCATCAAAATTTAACCTACTTCTTGATAAGTTATCAAGTTCAAATTTTGTACAAACACTGTTAATGCAATATAATTTGAAGTGTTTTTTTCAAAATTTGATTTATGTATTCAATGATAAATTTTTTTCCACATATATTTATTTAATGAATGAACTGAGCATATCAGAATGCACCGTCGAATACAGCAGAAAAAATTATAACTTAATTTGCAAATTTTTGAAAATCGTTTGATTTTTAAGGCTATTTGACATTTATGATTTTAAAACTTCAGCATCTAAAAATGTATCAGAGATAAAAATTTTGAAATTTTTACAGGTTATAAAACAAATTTTTCACCCTCTTTTGAACAAGAATAATAAAATAATATTAACTGAGCGATTTTCTACATTAAAAAATATTTATTGCAGTCTGAAGCAGATGGGGGGTGAGCATTCTAAGTTTGCCGTCTTGGCACACTGAATGATGAAGTTTGACATCTTGGTGCACTTAAGGATGAATTGCTGATTTTTATTTTCTTATTTTAGCTACAAGCAACCTAGTAACAAGTAACCTAGTTTAGCTACAAGTAACCTAGTATCTTAACAAGCTACAAGTAACCTAGCTCCTCCTATAATTGCTTTTACATCCAATTTCCAAAACTGAATGACTTATGCATTTGACAATGCAATTAAATTAATAGGTTTCGTTATTTAGGTGCCTCACACTTGCATTATTAGTGGAATAAAATTATAGATGAATTCTGTACACATAATTATTTAAGCCATGATTCTCTTTAAACTAAAGGATGAATAATTTTTTTCCTGTTGATGTACTTGTCATCCTGTCCATCCATTTTAATTAAAAGCTTTTTGTATAAAAAATCTTGTTTTGAACTGTATTTCTTTTAACAGACCTATATGCAATAGCCTTGAAAAGCTCCTTGATTTTTTTTTAAACAAAGAATTCCTGTTAAATTAAAAAAAAAAAAAAAAAAAGAACAATGAGAAATTTAAGATCAAGCCAAATGAGTTTTCATGTAGATTTTCAATAAAACTCAAATGATTTTGAGGGCGATTAGCCACAGGTCCCTCTTCTTCAGGAGCAAAACCGATATTGCAAATAGCAGAAACTAAACATTTCTTAACAATCATTGCTGCTCCCATTTTGGAAATTTTTTTTTTTTTTTTTTTGCTTCTGAAGAAGAAAGGCGTATGTCTGATCATTCTCATAATCAATAAGAGTTTATTCAAATTCTATGCCAAAACAAGGTTGCTTTTTTGCCTAGTTTTAAATAATTCTTGGTCTCAGTGATCAACAGGACAATAAAATAAATATTATAAAAAAAGAAAACGTGTATACAAGGATTTTACAGAGTTTAACTAGTTTTTGATTTCACATGTCCAATGAGTAATTAATAATAATAATAAAGATGAATAACTGAGCTTATTGTTTTTAAATTGCTTATTTTGTTAATCTGTGAAAGGCTGGTTCAGTTTGAAAGGAAAATTAAATATCTTGCACTTTGCCAAATTGTAACACATTGCATTTAAACTGCTCAATTTGTTGATTAAATTTGAAATACAAATATCTTATGTTTTGGATAGCAAAACATTTATGAATTGGTGAATTGAATTGGTTAATCAGAATTTCATTAAGTTTGCACAAAACATAAAATAGATAGAAAAATTCAAAATATAAAATTTGGGCTTCAAGGCACACATGCTCAGGGGAAGGACTACCTGCATTCAAAATTCAGTAGCCATTCAGTCACCTTTCTTCTCCACATTGTACGCATACATACATATACAGATTCTTCATTATTTACTAATAGGAGACAGAGATTGATTATATTTCATTAATTGGTTAATTATTTCAAATAGGAGACAGAGATTGATTTACTAATAGGAGACAGAGATTGATTATATTTCATTAATTGGTTAATTATTTTTAGCAGATTTCAAACTCATGTCAAAATATTCAGATGGTGGCTAATATTAGCAGATTTTTACAAAACATTATTACATTTTCCATATCCCTTAATTTATATCAAAATTCCTAAAATATAGTTCATTTAGCTTAGACTGAGGAAAATATTTATTTCAAGGCTAAGTGCTATGCGATAGACAATGCACTAGATGCAAAGACAAATGCTGAAAAAAAATTTTCAAATTCCTCATTTAAGACATTATTTTATTTTTGCTTTTTCAGATCATTTGCTGCGAGACAGTGGGGCTTGTGTGAGAACATGTCCTGCTAATAAAAAGGCAGAGAACCATGAATGTGTTCCTTGTGACGGACCATGCCCTAAAAGTAAGTGTCAAACCACATAAATGTTGTTTTGCTGTCTTAATAATTTTTTATTTGCAGTTTTTTAATTGATGAGTCGAGAAGCCAAACTACCTGGTTTTAGGATTTTTCAAAATAGATATGTTTGAATATTTTATATTGTAATATATAATATTAACATTAATTAATAATGTTAATTAATGTTAATATTATATAATATATATAATATATAAATTAATACAATATACAATATTATAATATAATTAATCTTAATACAAATATATATCATATATTAATGTTATAATTATATAATAGATATACAGTAGATAATACAATATAACTAATACATTTATACAATATATTACAATATATTTAAAAGCAATATAGATACCCTATCTTATATATATAATACAATATATATATACAATTAATCCATATTATTATATATATATATACAATATATATAATACAATTATATACATATTATTATATATATACTAATACAATATATATTGTATTTTATATATGTTTTTTTTTTTAGTTTAATAAGATGTTAATAAATAAATGGTATAACAATAATAAATATAATAAACTTTTGAATTAACGAGATTATTAAATAAATAATAAAAAACTGCATTAAGAGATTATTAAATAATAGTAATACAAATAATAATTAAAGCAATGCTAAACTTTTGAATTTAAATAGATTGTTTAAAAAAAATAATAACTTTTGTATTTATAGAGTTCAAATAAACAATAATAAACTTAGTAAATTGCATGATGTTAGAGAGATATTAATAATTAATAAAATTAATAAATAATATTATATAAATATATTAATGCATATAATAAAAAATTTTTGCATTTATAGTGACGTTAAATACATAAGTAAACTAAATTATAAACTTTTGCAATTTAAAATAATAGTAATATATCTTTTACAGTTAGAGGGTTATTAATTAAATAAAAAATAAACTTAGAATTTCCGATGGACAGTCTTGTGCACTGGAGATAAAAGCATTTTATTCTGTACAGTAAAAATTTAAAACAAAATATGAAATAATAAAATAATAAAAAAAATTCAAAAATTTAAAATTTGGGCTTCCAGGTGCCCAGGGGGGGAGGACTACACTATTAAAAATCTGATGGCTGTAGGTACCATTGTTTTTTCACAGAGAAAACACAGACATTGATGCAGATTTTTCATTATTTAACTTCTTTAAATATAATACAGGGTAATAATAGTTGTTGGCAACAATTTGAAGTGATTTAATTTATTTTTAGTGATTCAATGCAAAATGATGTTTTGAGGCTAATCTCTTCTGGGCTAATGCACCTTTGGGCTAATAATAAACTTTTGCATTTAAAAAGATGTCAAATATGTAAATAATAAACTTTTAGCATTTCAAGATATGTTAGCATGTACTAAAACTTTTGCCTTAGAAGATAAATAAATATTATTAAATTACATTTAAAGAGGCTTGAAATTTAAATTGAATCATTAATTATTATTAATTAAATTTCTAACATCAAAGTGCTATTTTATTACAGATTGCCAAGGAGTTGATGTTGTGCATGCGAATAACATAGATTCGTTTAAAGGTTGCACCATTATAGAAGGCTCCATAACTATACTGGATACATCATTTGATGGGTATCAGGAAGTATATCAGAAGTAAGTTTGGTTATTACGTTTCAGATTCGAAGGAGTGATTCACGCAGCCTTAATTGATTTTATTTTCTTGGCCATTGTTTTATTTATTTAGAACTTTAATTAATTTATTTATGTATTTATTTTTTATTTATTGTTTATTTATTTATCTTTATTGTTTATTTATTATTATTATTTTTTTCATATTTTTTTATTATTTGTTTATTATTACTTATTTTTCTGTTACTGTATTTTCATTATTATTTATTTTCTTTTCTTTTATATTTATTATTTTTAAAAAGTTTACTAGCCCCAAAGGGCTATTAGTCTCAAAATGTTGTTTTGCTTCATTCACTATCAGTGCATTTTTTTTTTTTTTCATTTTTCATGCAAATCTGTTGCCATGTGGCAAAATGTAAGATATTTATCTTTCAAAATGAATCTGTCTGTTATTGATTAACAAATTGAGTTACTTAAAAGCAATAGATACAGTTGTTAAGGATGCCATTTCTTTAAAATGATTAATTAATGCATAATTCATGGAAAAATGCATTAATTCATGATATATCTAATTAAAAACATTCAGTATTTTTTTATAGGATTTCATTCTATATTTTTTCACTTTATAGGATTCTATTGTAACTGGGAGCTAAAAAAGCTGTTGTAACTGTCTATTGTAACTGGAGTTAAGACACTGCCAGACAAATAATGAGTTATTGCTATAGCATAAATAAGTTTCAAAATACTGAAGAAGGCTAAAATAACCTTTTGAGATTAAATAAGTCTTAAATTGAATGGAACAGACACAATGTGCTACAGTTCCACCACTTGTGGATATTTAAATTAATAGAAAAAAATTAAATTCTAACATGGATAACATAGTCTAAGACTACACATATATAACACATACACTATATTAAGCTAGCTCAGATGTGTAATAATACCAGTGTGTATTTTAATATCAGAACCCTGAACACCAGGATATAACTGGTAGGAGTAAGTTACAGCAAGACGTAGCTGAAAAAGCTCTAATCTAAACATTCAGAACACTCATTTTAAATACACACAAACCTAATTTACATTCTGGTAAGGAGTAATGAAAGGAAAAGTTATATTAAAGACTTAAATCATAATAACTGTTTAATTAACATAAAATATCTTACAACATTTCAAATAGACACAAGATGTAGAATATTCCCATGTTAGTATCCTATAAAATGTTTCGCTATTCCACCTGAGCCTTCACTATACATTTCTACTAATAATTCATATTAAACTTCAAAAGAGCTTTTTTGAGTAACCATAATCTGAACGCCATCAGTTTTTTTTATTTATATTTTTTCATTTTACTGTACTGTTTATTTATTTTAATATTATTTTACGTAATTATTTATTTATTTATTTTCGTTTCCTTTTTATTTATTTTACTATTTATTTATTTTATTTCACTTTTTATTTATTCATTATTTTATTTTTATTTACTTATTTGAAATATAGTTTTACGTTTGGTCCCAAATACCCAAGAATGCATCCCAGCAGGTTAGAAGCCTTCAGCTCTTTGAAGGAAGTTACAGGATATGTCAGCATTCAAGCCTTGCATCCGGAATTCAAGAACTTGTCTTGTTTCCAAAATTTAGAGATTATTGGTGGAAGGCAACTCACAGAGTAAGTATACAGTTACAATTGAATCCCCAAAACTGATCCTCTATCAGTCAAAGTCTCTGTTAAGTGAGCTGGTACTCACTGTAAAGAAATCACTCAAAAAGTGTGGTAATATCAGAAAAAAATATGCCAAAAATCTCAGATTCTTTTATTAGTGATTGATCTGTCTTACCATTGATGGGTTAGCCAAGAAAAGTCAGTTATTAATCAATTCTGAAAATTTAGGTTCAAAAAGAGTTAGCTTGTTATGCTTTGGAGCTTATTATGTGAGTGATTAGGGTAGCTGACGACAATTTTTGTGCACTAAAGAGAATTTGTATATTTTTCACATTCAACTTGAGGTGTTTGCAACTCTTTATTTCACTGTGGATCATTAGTATTTATAATAAATTGATTAATCGTTTAAAGAGATATTCCTTACAAAAATGTCTTGCAGAATAAAGAAATGCAATACAGTCAAAAGTCGTTAATCCGGACTCGTCGGGACTTCGGTGATTCCGGATTATCGATTTTTCCGGATTATAGATCATCAGTTTAAATCTCGTAAAATGGCATGCAGAAATTATAAAAGTAAAAAATATGAAACCGTAATTTACAAAATAAAGAACAATTATGATCTAAAGGGTATCAAAATTGACAAAAGAAAAGCTTAATATTTATTGGTTTACTTTATTAAACATTTCTTTCAATGTAAGTTGTTTCAGTTGCTTCGTTTTTTTTTGTGATAATACATTCTCTTTAATTCTATAAACAGACATAATTTCTTGTTCAGATACAAAGGTCCGCTGTTCAAGTCCTATAACTGCTGTGTCGAGAATACCGACTAATTTGTCAATCGAAATTTATTCATTTTCAATAAACTCTGTCACTTTCTTCGCTATCGGAAGCGAATTATAATGACGAGGCATTTGATTTAATCATATCAAAGACGGAGTACATTGAGATGAAATACTACATTGAGTAAGCAATTATAAGCCAAATAAATTAAAAACATCTGCCCTCAAGATAAGGATAGTGCTGATAAATCAACTTCCAATTCATTACACGCCACCCTGCGTTAAAGATAAACAAAGTTTAGATAAACAAACGTTTAAGTTTAGATAAACAAAGAATAAGCCTTTATCCATTTTTTGCAGCAATTCCATTTTTTGTTTAATGGACTCTGAAAGATACTTTCGCTTTGTATATCCTTTACATATTAGTAAATATATATCGGAAATTCTATTTGACATAATCGAAAGTTCAAGCTTACTTTTATAAAATTGCTCTAACAGTCTGCAAAAAATAATAATCCGGATCCAATTCGAAGATTAAGGAACAACGCAATTTGCAACATTAACTGAAATAGATAATTACATAATTTTAGCTTAGCTTATCCCGTCCGTTATACATTAAACGCGCATTCGTAAACGTATTTTGCGCATGCGCACACGCAAATTCGCAGCGGTAAAGGTCTTACGCGCATGCGTCAACGCGACGCATGCGCAGAAAGTTTGTAGCTTTGAGGTCCGGATTATAGATCATTCCGGATTATGGGTGTCCGAATTAACGACTTTTGACTGTATTAAACTTCTGTAGAATCTTTTAGAATTATGACCCAGTTTTCTATAAACTAAGCCAAAGATCTATAATTCTAGAAAATTATAAATATAGCTTCTTTATAATTATATACTGACACAGTTGCAAAGTCTCTCAATTTTACCGGAAAACTCCTGATCTCTGACTATACTTCATATAACTTAATTTACAACATATTTCTCCCTACACTCTCTTATTCTTAAAATTTCTCATTTTTATGTATGTTATTGGTCCCCAAAAAAGTGATTTTGGGCATCTGAAAGCGCTTGGTTTTCTCTAGATTACATACAGTCAAATGTCGTTAATTCGGACACCCATAATCCAGACCTCAAAGATACAAACTTTCTGTGCATGTGTCGCATTGACGCATGCTCGTAAGACCTTGACGGCTGCGAATACGCGTGTGCGCATGCGCAAAATACGTTTTCGAATGCACGTTTAATGTATAATGGACGGTATAAGCTAAGCTAAAATTATCTAATTCAGTTAATGTTGCAGATTGCGTTGTTCCTTAATCTTTGAATTGGATTCGGCTTATTATTTTTTGCAGACTGTTAGAGCAATTTTATAAAGTAAGCTTGAACTTTCGATTATGTCAAATAGAATTTCTGATATATATTTACTAATATGTAAAGGATATACAAAGCGAAAGTATGTTTCGAAGTCCATTAAATGAAAAGTGGAATTGCTGCAAAAAATGGATAAAGGCATATCCTTTGTTTATCTAAACTTTAACGTTTATCTAAACTTTGTTTATCTTTAACGCTGCGGTGCGCAATGAATTGGAAGTTGATCTGTCAGCACTATCCTTATCTTCAGGGAAGATGTTTTTATTTTATTTGGCTTATATTTCCTTACTAAATGTAGTATTTCATCTCGATGTACTCCGTTTTTGATATGATTTAAATCAAATTCCTCGTCATTATAATTTGCTTCCGATAGTGAAAAAAGTGACAGAGGTTATTGAAAACGAAAAACTTTCGATTGACAAATTAGTCTGTATTCTCGACACAGCAATTATAGGACTTGAACAGCGGAATTTTGTAACTCACAAGAAATTTTTCTGTTTTGTAGAATTAAAGAGAATGTATTTATCACATAAAAACGAAGCAACTTAAACAACTTACTTGAAAGAAATGTTTAATAAAGTAAACAAGTAAATATTAAGCTTTTTTTTTTGTAAATTTTGATACCCTTTAGATCATAATTGTTCTTTATTTCATAAATTACGGTTTCATATTTTTACTTTTATAATTTCTGCATGCCATCTTACCAGATTTAAACTGATGATCTATAATCCGGAAAAATCGATAATCCGGAATCGCCAAAGTCCCAACGAGTCCGGATTAACGACTTTTGACTGTATAAAAGAAAACCAAAATCGTTTCATCAGTGAAACAGTACAGTGCACTTCTACTTTCTATGCAAGAGTACATGTGTCTGAAAATGTCATGTTCCAATTTTCCAATGAGCAATAAGTGCCACTGTGGGTCATTTGGCCGATATTAACCAATAAGCACTAAGCAAGATCAAGGTTGCTATTTTGTTCATCTAACCACTGAGGCACTGTGAGTTTCACGCTCTTTCGAGAAATAGTTTAAGAAACTTCGATCTTTTGTCCTAGCTATGTTTGCAAAAAAAGGTGAAATACTCGTGTACTTTTCAAATATTGTGCATGGATGACTTTCCTTCTATTTCATCAAGAAAAATATTTGTCCTAGCTATGTTTGCAAAAAAAGGTAAAATACTCGTGTACTTTTCAAATATTGTGCATGGATGACTTTCCTTCTATTATTTCATCAAGAAAATGTAATAAATTTGCGATGTGTACCGTTTGTCATTTTGATTTTTCGAATTTGCCCTATGTAAGGGCTGATGTTCTTAAACATGTGCGTACACAAGGACAATGTGGACTCGGATTTGAAAAAAAGATTTTTCCGTGGAAACAAAGGAGCAAAAGTTATTTCTACAAAATACCTGTTCTCTCCTTTTTTACTGGAGCAGAATCTGCCACTGAATGCATGAAACTATGCTGCAGCTTTATTTAGAAAAGTGTCTGTAGACTAATATCTGTAGTCATTCCATACTTGTTCAAATGAAACTTATTCAGAAATCTTGGGATTAATTTGATGTAGTTTGGGCCTTAATTTAGCCAATCATTAAGTGAGAAGTTACCCTTTTCCTTCATGAAAGCATCTAAAATGTGTCCAATGTCAAATGCTCATTGATGACTACTTTATGTAGCAGATAGTGACAACTTGCCTTCTCTATCGGGTTTCACTTCTTTGATTATTTTTTCTAAGCCATCCTTTAAATATTTCTTCATAATTTTCAACTAAGACCTTATTTTTTAGAGCATTCACAGTTGATTTCAGGCTTCTCTAAATAATAACATTGTTATTTGAGAGAATTTAGTGTCTTTCTATCAATGACAATGAGACAGCATATCGATCATGATCATCTCTGCTTAGCATCTTTACAGAATGTTTTATGGGTGCCTCTTTAAGTTCTAATTGTGATTGCTTTTCAGAAGGATCTCTGATTATGAGGCTGCCCATTTTTCACAGATCTGCAGTTCATATATCTTGAGCTAGCATCGAAGTAATCACAAGGTTTTAAGTCTGCTCCAAACATCCTTTTTTACAACTCAAAATAGTCCAACCTCACTTTGTTTCCACAGCGAAAAGAGCAGATTTAAGTCTGTTCAATTTCTTATCATTAGCTTACTGGCTACTTCTGAACCTACTAGAAGTTCTATGGGGCCAAGGCAGTCTTCTAAATGTATGCCGACATCGGGAAAATCATCTTCACACAGTTATGCAACCAGAGGCATAGTTTAACAAATTGTAGTCTGGTTAAGAATATCAAAATTTCAGCAATAGATGTCCCTGACATCAGACAGGTAAGCTTTGTAAACATTGCGCTCACAAATATTTATGCTTGAACTGTCAAATAAAGAAATCCTTCAAATTTTCCTTTCTCATCGACTTATAGCCGGCCTTTTTTGCAGTGCTTTCCAACAGATAGGACCTTTGAGAGGCTGAGTCACTTGTTTCTTGAATTTTTAAACTCTTGTTGACACCTTTCAAAACAACAATGAGGTAACAACTTCAAATCATGGTGGGATTTTCCACAAATTGTGCACTTAAATTTACTTCTATACAAACTAGAAATATGGATCAGTTTTAAGCAAAGTAGCTGTGCTATTTTATAAGGGCATTTTATAAGGCTTTGCTTTCTTTATTGGTAAGTTAAATTTGCTACCTTTTATTATTTCACACTGGGATGATACTTCTCACAGAATACACATTCATGTTCTCTTCTCTGTTTACCCTAGGATGAGGTTAAAAGTTCTATACCCATTGGGACAGCTTTATTTCAATTAGAAAAACATTTGAATTGAAATTTTGAAAAGATTGCTGTTTTCGTATCCAAAGCCACTTGTAGCCAGATTAATTCTATCTTCTGCTTGAATTTCATAATGTAAATATTACATCAATGTTTCTAATTTATTGAAAGTATTGAAAGTTTTATCACCAGATCCAAGAGAAGCAGAATTTTCATATTTTTACCATATGTGTAAAAGCTCAACTGATAGATTGGATTCAACTAAGGGGTACAACATAGACTTACACTTGTTGCTGGTGATGCCAGGCATTTTTAGAGATCTCAGTATATTTTTGACTTAAAGTATTACCAAGAACAGCAAGGCTTAACAGTTCCCTGACATAAAATTCCAAATAATATCTTTTCTACTAAAATATCTGTGTTGATAATTTTCAGCTGTTACAGGAAAAGATTCCATGGTGTCCTTAGCTCTTGAACCCTCTTGAATAGATTGGAGGAGGTATTGTAATTTGTCTATCTCTTGAATATTTACAAATTCATGAGTTTTATTAAGTAATCCCCAAAATGAAAGCCAATCCTTTAAATTCCCATCAAACTTTCATAATTGAGTCTTTGGTAATTTAAAATTTCTTTTAGAATTTGTTTTTTCTCTTTCAGTTTGTGTTCCATTCAAATCTCTTGATGAATTAAATTGTTGTTCAAATGGAAATTTTAATTCTTTTTCCCCTCGTACAAATTTCAATGAAATTCGATTGATTTAAAAATATATTTATATAAAAAAGCATTTTAAATTAAATTTAATCATTTGAATAATTTTATGATTTAAATTGAGTTTGCACTTTTGCAAAATTTGATTTTTATATCACATAAGTAATCCTTTAAAAAAATTTGTCCAAAATGGCGCATAAATTCAGAAGCTAAAAAACGGTATTATTTATTGACTGATTTATGCTTTATTTTTGCAGGTATTTTGCTGCCTTGTACATTGTTAAGACTTCATTGGAGTCCCTGGGCATGAGATCCTTAAAGAAAATCAGCTCCGGAAGTATTGCAATTTTAGAAAATGATGACCTTTGCTTTGCTAATACGATAAACTGGAAAAAAATCAGGAAATCGGGCTCACACAGTATTCTGCTTCAAAGCAATGGAAATGAAACAATATGTCGTAAGTCAACTTTCATAATTCCATTTTTAAAAACAGAAAGTTACAGTAGTTCCACCTATTTGTATTAGAAAACAACTGAAAATTCTTTGTTTATTGTGATCAACAATTCGTTTAAGACGATCAAAATATTATAAAATAAAATTTTTACACTAAAGTTGCCAAATAAAAGATAAATTTGCCAAATAAGGTCAAAATAAATTATAAAATTTGCCAAGTGACAGAGAATTGTTACCAACTGTGGGTTTAAATTGCCAAACAGCATGTTTTGATTTCAGTCAATCAACTGAAATTAGGGGTAAAAGCAACCTCAGTTTGATGTAGATTTTTTATAACTCCACCTGTTTCGATGATCAGACATATCTTTCTTCTTAAAGAGCAAAAAATATTTTAAAGAATCTCCCCCCTCCCTTGAAAAAGAATTCCCTGAAAACATCTAGGTCAAACTAAGGTTCCTTTTTTGCTTAATTTAAAATTTTACATTGGCATGTTCTTTTTCAATGAGATATGCCTTTAAAATATCAAGGTTAGGAGTATGACATTGGTAAAATAATTTCCAGAAACATTATGAACATCATTTGAAATAATTTTCACAGCATTTTAAACGGGAAATTGCAAAAGTTCATGAAAAAAATTTTGTATTTTTAAAAATTTAAATGCTGTGAAGTATTTTTTTTATATTAGTTGAATTCCTTGTTCTTTCGAATTTTCTTTCTCATCATTTATTGTTATCTAAATAGGTATGGGCACATGTGATCACAATAAGTGGCATCTACTGTATGTATTCATTGAGAAGAGTTGCCAGAAGCAAACAAAATGCTTCACATATTTTTGTTCTGGCGTACCATTAATATACCATTTTTTTTCCCAAACTGGCGATTTTGTAAAACATTATTGTGATAAATACTCTCATAGTTGCTTCAAAGAAAGAAACTAAAAGATTAATTTGGAATTAGTGATTACTAGTAAGCTCCCAATTCTCTGACAAAACTGTAATGTGCAAAACTAAAACTTTTTGACTGCTCAGTTATCTCTTTCAAACTGTTTTTTCTTACTCTCATTTTCAAAAACATTACTTGTAAATGTAAACATTGATCAGCTGAGTGCATCCATGACACATACATTTTCTCTGTTCGCCATATTTTTCTCTTCACCTTTCTGTATACTATCAACCAAGATGTCAGTGCTATTACTAAAAATAATAGCTAAAGTAACAAAAAACAATAACTAAAGAACGCAACTCTTGTTTTAAAGCTTATTTATTTTGTAATATCTTAAAACTAACATTAAAACAGTTCACTGAATGCGAATCATAAATTAGATCGTCATTATAAGGCTTATTATATCTTATCGACTGTAGTACTGGGATCTTAAAATTCACAATTTTAAATACATAAAACTAGCATCTGACCTGTTTTCCAAGTAAGAACTCTTATTCTGTAATTGGCTACTAAATTGTCACATAAAATCGACTCCACCCATTTTGGCAGTGTATTGTTCAATAAGATGAGGCTGAAATCTAAAAACTTTTTCCTTTGCATTTTTGAATAACGAGAAACATTTTTTATGGGCTGAATGTTTCCAAATGTTGAACCAACAGTTACAACTGAATTGTCGTTTCATCGAACAAAAATTATTTTGTTTTTCTCTTCATATTAGAAATCATAATAACCCCTATCTTTCTTACGGACACATTTCACAGTTTCTAGTGGGCACATTTGTATGCGGTTTTTCTGAATTGTTCCTGTAGCACTCAAACCTTTATTTTTTAGATGACAGAGAAGCTGAAATGAAGTAAAAAAAGTATCAAAATAAATAGCATGATTGGTGGGAGTTTCAACAACACTGAGCAAATTTATCACCACACTTCCTCCAAGCCCAAATTCTTCATATTCTGGTAATTTTGGAGCTGTCGGCTTACCTTAATAAATATCAAAATGAAACACATACCCATCAGATGACGCTAGAGTCCATGTTTTATATCCAATTTTATAGGTTTTCCTTTTAAAAACATCTTTGCCTCAATAAGGAATCATTTGTTCGTCAATACTCAGATCATGGGAAAATATACCAAATTATTGGAATTTCTTATTTAGTAAGTTTAGATATGATCTCACTTTATATACTGTAATTTCTAAAGGAAACGCCGTAGCGTTTACGTATTTAAAACTTAAATTTTCAGCGGGTGCAACGTTTCTACCCATGCGGTGTTTAGGTGCACTAAAAATAAAATATTTCCTATGATGGTCATTGTACATAGTTTGAATAGCCTTGTCATTGTACATACTTTGGATGGCCTTGTCATTGTACATAGACTGGTATTGTTCCCACACAAAAGACCACTCAGTTGCTTTTTGCGAACATTATTTTGTTTACATTCTTTCCCTTGAACGGACCTACATGCCTTATTCACCCTAAACGGGATCTCAGAACAAAAACATTCTTCTCCCTTTCAAATTAGCATTCTCATCAGTTTGAATAGTCTCTCTCCTCTGCCATTCGATGAATCTTCCAGGACCCATCCTCTCCCCACCCCTTGCCTTTTCTGCAATTTTTTTCAAAGACGGACACGACTCCACCTGCCTCACAATAGCAAACTCTGACGTATTTTCCCTTCAGCATGAATCGATTTTTCTTGGCATTCTGCCAGATACAGATCCCATCAGTTTGGGTACAAGTACTTGTTGGATAGTTTTTAAGTAAAAAGAGAGCAGAAAATTTTGAAAATGGCACCTAAACGGCACAGAAGCTATACTGCTGGTTTTAAGCTTAATGTAATTTCATGTGCTGAACAAATTGGAAATAGAGCAGCAGCTCGAGAGTTTGAAGTGGATGAGAGATGTATTCAACGTTGGAGAACTGAAAAAGAAGAGCTTAAAAATATGCAACAACAGAAACGAGCCAAAAGAAGTGGTATTGTAAGGTGGCTGAATTTAGAGGACGGCCTTGCAAACTGGATAAAGGAGGAACGAGGAAAGGGAATGGCAATTTTGACTGTAATAATTTGCTTACAAGCAAAATTTAAAGCAAAACAAATGAACATAAATGATTTCAAAGGAGGGCCTTGCTGGGTAGCAGATTTATGAAAAGAAAAAATATTTCTGTGCGTACTAGAACAACGGTCGGGCAACAATTACCAATGGACTGGCAGGATAAAAAGGCATCTTTTCTAAAATATGTGACAGATATTATTGACAAAAAAAAAACTTCTTCGTTCACAGATACTAAATATGGAGGAAACGCCGTTAGCTTTCGACTCTTCTGCAAACAGAACTGTTGATGAAACTGGTGCAAAAACTGTATCTGTGCTTATGACAAGCATGAAAGAACGTCATTTACATGTGTGTTAGCTTGTGCTGCAAATGGTGACAAGCTAAAGCCGATGATCATTTTTAAATGAAAAACTATTCCGAAGGGAGATTTTCCTAATGATGTAATTATTTGTGCAAACAAGAAAGGCTGGATGTGCAAAACAATCATGCATGGGTGGCTGCAAAAAGTTTGGCAGTGTCGTAAGGGATCTTTTTTCCAACCAAAAGGGTTATTGATAATGGATTCCATGTGTGCTCATTTACTTGAGTCAGTGAAAACCAGATGTCAGAAATTGTCTATGACCGTAGCAATAATTCCTGGTGGTTTGACAAAAATCTTACAACCATTAGATTTGTCAGGTAATAAATCCTTCAAAGCTGAAGTCTGAAAGCGGTGGAAGTGTTAGATGAGTGAAGGATTGCATTGTATACCAAAAGCGGTAAAATGTGTAGAGTATCTTATGAAGAAGTTGAAAGTGGGTAGGAAGTGTGTGGAAATCGGTAAAAACATCATCAATAATAGCAGGGTTCAAAGAAGCTGAAATTATATTCTTAGATAAAGAGACTGTAAACCAAGAGGATGAATGTGACAATCTGGAAGACTTGGACTTATATAAGGATTTACTAAATCTTTTTAATTCAGATAGTGAAGAATCGGATTCTGATGGCTTCATATGATGTATAGGTTGCTGTAATTCCTTTTGTAAGTAAAATTTAAAATTTCCTTTTTTCATCCAAGTTTAATATTTCGTTGTTGCAACATTTTTTATAATATAGTCTGAGTATTACAAATATGGACTTCTTTAGTGGGTAAATATAAGTATATTCGTGAACGTAAATATAGTTTCAACATTTCTTACCTGTAATTTATTTTTGAGTTATGGTTTCATCATTTCATGCATTTTTCTTAGCTGATATGTCATATATCAGGGCACATGTTGAGATTTTTCATCTATACTGCCCACGGACAATGTCATGCGCAATTTAATCTATTGCTGCATTTACGCTGATGCGGCAATTCTGTGTAATTTAAATTTTTTCCCGCCATTTTTCTCGACTGCGGCCTTTCTTCCAGAAATTATGGTGATTTATCAGTATTGTCAATTTGACTATTGTCAACTAAATGCAAATTCTGCTTCATATTCCTGCACAGCAAACATGACATCGATTCTTGTACAATAGGAACATGAAATGTCCTTATCAAAAGACCAATACATTTCTTCTTGAGAAGAAATTAGAAGGATATAAAGAATTATATCCTGTAAGCAATAATATTCCAATAAATCTTCTCATACAGGCTTCAGCTGCAATAAATTCGTGGTGATTTTTTTTTGCTGAGCATATATATTTGTCTGGTCAACGAGAAGAGAGTAAATGTCTGAACCAAAAAGAAAATCAAAAATCTCTCCACTAGTTTTACCTTGTATTTTGCCTTTTATAGTTTCTCTTCTATATCTTTCTTCATTTTCTTCCTGAGGCATAACTGACAGTTCCTTTTTTTATCCATTTCAAGTTTCAAGTTTTCAGCAGTGGTAGTCATACGAAAAAGTTGCTTTTTAAACTTTTTCGTATGACTACCACTGCTTTTAGAAGACTGAAACTTACTTCTTATGGGAATTTCAACTTGCGCAGCAGTATCATTTGGTAAAATATTATTATCATTATTTATAACATTGCCATTCCCTTCTTTTTCAATCTCTAGCTTCTGCAATTTCTGGGGGAATAACAATAATATCAGTTTCATTGTGGTCATTATTAACATTATCATAATCTGTTTCTTCATCAAAAAATCTTTAAAGGTCTTATTCTAATGTAAGATACCTTATTCTAGGCATTTTTAAAGTGGCCAGAACATGAACCAGAACATCGAAAGGAGTGAGTAAAAAAGGAGATTATCCGTTTCGTGCTGACATTGCGTCAGGGCAACACCTGTTTTCTCTTCCTTCCCAACACAAATATAAACATCTGAATGATGTAATGTTCTGATAAACAGTAACCTTGACTAAAAATAGGTCACTCATAAAGAAGGTGATTCTTTCATTAAATATTTTCGGCAAAAGTAAAGTTGAAAATTTTTTCCAGTTGAAAATTTTGTTTAAAGTACAAGATTAATTATTATGAACAAAATGATTGTTGAAGAGCAACTATTTTTTTACAGAAATAATCTTCATAATATTCCCTATACAAAATCATCTGCTGGTATACAATATCTTCGGTAGTTATGTTTATATGCGCATTTATTTTTACCGTTGTGTCAACGCAACACCAGCGGCTAATGGGTTAAACTCAAAAACAGTCAAAAGTGACATGCAGCAAGATTGGAAGAATAGGGTGTAAGTGCTATGTGTTTTTGTTCAAGAAACTGAATTGTCACTCTTGCTGAATGAGAGAATGCATTATCGTGGTTAAGGCATGAATATCCTAATATTCATTTTTTGAAAAATTTCTGGAAACCATTTAGTAGTGAATCAGTTAGCTCTAACCATATTCTGTCATTCTGTCTCTGTTTCACCAGCCCTGTACTTCTGAAGAAAACAACATACATTGCTTATTGTCTTTTCACCATTTTTGATTCGGGATCAATTTTAAAGACTTGTACTTTATTATCCTGATGTGTTGTAATGTCACAAAATAAGAATGTGTATTATTCTTAGATAATATGCCAGCATTTCTGTATGCTCCAATTTCTTTTTTCTTTTCTTTTTTTTTTTTTTCAGAATCTCGGAATCTGAAATGCCATCCGCAGTGTTCTACAGATGGCTGCTGGGGTCCTGCTCCGAATGAATGTCTTTCTTGTAAGGCTTATAATCTCAATGACACGTGTGTTGCAAAATGCGATATACTGAATGGGTATGCTAATTTTCCTAGAAATGTTATTGAAATTCATGTTAATATTCTGTTCATGTTAATATTCTGTGTGCATGCATAATTTTGAATACTAATTTTCAGAATGTACGATGCCGGAAATAAAGTATGTAAATACTGTCATGAGGAATGTCTTGGACAGTGTTTTGGACCCGTGAGTACATTTTTGTATAGTTAATTTAATTGTAAAATTTATATAAATTTAATGTAAAATTGTAATGTAATTCATGTAAATTTAATATAAGATTGTTAGTTAATTAATGTAAAATTGTTAATTAATCCATCTAATGTATAATTGCAAATTAAGTCTTGTAAATTTAAAGTAAAATTGCAAATTAATTAATATAAATTTAATGTAATATGTTCTGGAAATTATTCTGTGATGTAGTTAGTTCTATTTTAAGTTCTATTTTCCCTCCCATTTCCATCTGCACAGACAAGACATATTATGGAACAAATTCAAACAAATGTACAGGCAGTGCCATTAGAAAGATCCATGAATTTTTAACAATAATGACTAATGCTACGTACTCTTTACATTTATTGCATAGCTATAAAAGTGTGGAGCATGCAGAAATAGTTCTTAAATAATAGCACATTTAGTGAAAGGAATAAGAAATGTACATTTTAAAATTGTTCTGTGACTCACTTCTTCTTTGCTACCATTTTCCATTCCCACAGCCAAGGCATGACATAGAACAAATTCAAAAAAAATATTTGCAGACAGTGACATTAGAATCTTCCATGAATTTTTAACAACAATAACTAATCCTACACACTGCTTACATTTATTGCACAGCAAATGTGGGACACACATATTAGAAACATTTGTTAAATAATAGTGTGACAAAAAAAAAAAAAAAAAAAACTGCATTAACTCTTCTCTACTCCTTCTGAGGTTGAACTCACCTAAGGGATTTTGCTTTCCTTCCCCCTTAAGGTTTGAATTTGGGTGGCGGGCAGCAAAAAAAATGATTGTGCAGTATCTTTTGAATCACCATGTCTTAACATTATGTAACCCATTTGAGCTTCAAATATTATGCTTGTAATTCATTTTATGTTATGTTTAAAAGCAGATACTTTAAAGAACTTGCATTTTGTTGAGTGTTTATTTCGAAGAAAGGACACTTGTGTTCCTGTTATTAATTATTAATCAGTACATTTAGGGAACAAAATAAAAACTTTACTTTTTGAAATTATTCCATGACTTAGTTTTGTTTTCCCCACCATTTTCCATCCTTATATTAAAGGCATATCAGAACAAATTTAGAAAAAAATATGCAATCAATATCATAAGAAATTCTATAAATTTTGAACAATAATCATTAATGACATATGTTCTTTTATATTTATTGCAGAACAAAGTATGAAACATACATAATAGAAATACTGTTAAAATAAAATAATAATTAGTAGAACAAATGCAAAAAATATATGCAAGCAATGCCATTAGAAACTTCCATGAAATTTTAACAAAGCTAACTAATGCCACATGCCCTTGACATTTATTTCACAACAAAAGCATAGAACATGCATAATAGAAATAGTTATAAAATAATAGTTTAGAGAAGATAATGGGAAATATACTTTGCGAAATTATTCTTTTACTTACTGTCCACTCCCCCCTCTTTTCTCCAGCCCAAAGCATGCCATATAACAAATTCAGAAAATATATGCAAGCAGTGCCATTAGAAACTTTCATGAATTTTTAACCACAATAACTAATACTACCCACATTCTGTTTACATTTATTACAGAGCAATGTGTAAATGTAAACATACTCTATATAGAAATAGTTTTGAAATAATAATACATTTAAATGACAGAAAAGTGAAATATTTTTAAAATTATTTTGTGATTTAGTGGCTTCCCCCTTTTTTGTTTTGAGAAATCTGAGAATAATTTGGCAACAACTGATATCCCCAATAATATCATTATTTTAAAAACTATTAAGAAATAATGTTTAAATAATAGTACCTTGAGGCAACCAAATAAAAAGTATACTTTCTGAAATTATACTGCAACTTTGTTCTTTTTCCTCACCATATTTGCTTTTGTTTTTTAAAGAGTCTTAAACAAACCTGCTAATTACAAATCAGAAAGATTAGTTAACTTAAAAAAAAAAAAAAAAAAAAAAAAAAAAAAAAAAAAAGACAGAACAAGTAAAAGAAATTGATCTCTCAGTTGATTAGTTCAGCACTAAATAAATTCCTCATTTAAAAATGTCTTTTATAATTGTATAAAAAATCCAGTGTTAAACTTCTTGATGGAATCCTTTAGAATTATAGCTCAATTTTCTATAAGACCTATAGAATTCTGTTAAACTTGAGGTATATCTTCTATGGGGTCAATGTGAATAAACACAAAATAAAAAGCAGTTCAAAACCTAATCTTATTGGAAGTTGATAGCAACAAGGAGTGGTGGTAATAATACAAAATAAAATTAAAAAATACATTTAAAAGTCATCATTCATATTCAATCATATTCAATGTGGAATAAATCACTTGGAAAAACCAAAAAACCAGAAGCTCAGTGACAGATTGCAAGAAATGGGGTGAGGGCAAAAAATGCCAAAACCTAAAATAAAATATGAAATCTTTTGCCATATCATAACCAGGAGTTTGGTGCAACAAAAGAAGTAAAAACATGAAACAACCTGTTTAACTGACAAAAACACAAAGTAAAGTTTAAAATTAAAAGAATTAAGAAAAATAAAAAGTCTTAAGAAAACAATAAAGGTAATCTGTGTTTTTATCAGTCAACCCTTATAGCATAAAGTAAACAATGCAAAAAATTTAATAATTATAGCACCAGAAACGTAGACAAATTCAAAAAAGTACAAAAAATTAGACAAATTTATAAAATTATTTGGAGTAGATAACCCCAAAAACAAAACTTGCAAAAATAATTATCCAGTACTCAAAAACAAAACCAGCAAATTTTTCAATCCAGTAATTGAAAAACAAAATTGCATGCAAATTTTGAAAACATACAGGCAAGGTTAAAGAGATAGCATTAATCATAAACATGCAATAAAAAAAATAAAAATTTTACAATTTATGAGCATAAAACCTTGTAAAACAGAAGTAATCCTGCATACAAAAAAATAAATGAAATTATTGAAAATTTGATCAAAAATATAAAATTAAAAATAAAGGTGTTTTAAGGTATTTCCCCCGACCATTTTGTGGTGTAGTGGTCAGCACACTCGGCGCGTATTCGAGAAGTCCGAGATTTGAGTCCCGGTGAGGGCATTGCTTATTTTTCATCTCTACCTAATGTCTGTGCAGCATAAGTTCTTAAAATGTATAACACAAGAGCAATAAAAATTTTTGAGCAACTTTTGAAAGAGATGGGCATTTTTTTCCTGTTTATCAGGAAAAAAAACGGTATCGTTACCCTTTTGATTTAAAAAAAAATATATTTAAGTGAAAATAAATGTATTTTAAATAATAATTGAGTTAAATTCAAAGTAAGAAGATGACTACAAACAGAATAATTAAACAAATTCATTTCAGTACTGTGCTTAATAGCATAAATTTAATCTTTTAATTAACATTATGATTTAAACTGGTTTTATACTTTTACAAAATTTCATTTTTGTAGTATGTAAGCAATAATGTACAAAAAAATTGCACAAAGTATTACATTAGTTTAGAAAAGCATTAAATGAGGGAATAAAAGGCAAAAATTTCTGTTATCAAAAGTATTCATTTTTGTTTCTTCAGTGGGAATATAGTAGCTTAGAAATTGAAAATTGCTTTGATTAAAGTTTGAAAGGTTTGCTGATACCTGTAAAATATTGTGATTTTGCAAGGTAACATTTTTGTAGAATTCTGTTTTGTGAAAATTGTATAAAATTTCTATAGAATTTTATACAGTATAAAACAATCAAGATAGAGAAATATTTCTACAGAGGATTAGCTGTAAAATTCCATAGGAATTTTTATAGAGATTTATCAATCTTTTTAAACAATTTTTGTAAAGGTCTGCTTTGATTAAATGCATGCAATTTTCTATTGAGTTTTATATACAATTTTAATGTTAAAATGAATATATAATTAACATAATTATAGCTGATTTTATTAGTAGCTTTCTGCTGTACTTTTGGTGAATGAATGGTATTTGTTAGTAATAGTTTCTGCTTTTTAGGGGAATGGCAATTGCTCAGCTTGCCGTAACGTGAGAGATGGTCCATATTGTGTGAGCAAATGTCCCGAAACAAAGTACAGAGAGGGTGGTATATGTAAACAGTGTCATGGGAACTGTGCTGGAGGGTAAGTATGTTATAATTTGTATCTGCCATGTGGTAACATTTGTTTCTTCCATATTCGTCTGTGATTTGTATTTGCAGTATGACAACAGAGACTATTCAGAGATATATTTTTATGTGGCCATACTCTAACTTGTATTTAAGAATGCTTAATCACATGTATTTTTTAAATATTTACCTTAATTTGTAAAATTTTAATCTTTGAAAGAATTTCTGCTATTTTTTACTGATAATTTGCAAATCATATAATCCGCTACTGCCTGTAATCCATCCAGGTTCAGTTTTGAATGTAAACAAACAAAATTTCAACATTCAGAAAATTCAGTATGACAGATTTAATGTCAATTTTTTGTTTTATAAATGAAAATGAAATGTTTAAGAAAAATACATATCTTTTCCACATTTTGATTTGAGGAGATAAATTTGATATCAATGGTATTATTATTGTAATGTACTAGTGTATTAATGCATTTTCTTTGCCTCTGATTAGTATTCTTTTATAATGAATGAAAATCTGAGCAAATATTTTTGCTTTAGATTCATCCCTACCTTTTGGTACCTATTTATCTGTTTTTCAGGGTTGAACAAAGCTGGTGTGACTGCATTGGTTGGCAGAGTTTTGGGACAGTTTTTGGACAAAATTTTTAGAACTTCAAGATGAATCAAGCAACAAAATTTAGGGAATGGCAAAAGTTTTAGAATTTAGGAGAGGCAACAGACAGCACAATTTAGGAAGACACCAGGCAACATAAATTAAAATTGATAAAACTTCTAGAAATCAGAGAAGCAAAATATTTAGGGATGGCAAAATTTTTAGAATTTAGGGGAGGAAAAACACAGCTGAGTTTAGTGGCTTCAGAGTTTAGATAAGCAGCAAGCAACAATTTAGGGAATTGTTAGAATTTAAGGGCAGCAGGAGATTTAGGATTTGTTAGAATTTAGAAGTTCTTTTAACAAGATGTTAAAAGAATTAAATACATTGAAACTCATAAGGGTAAAAAAGGCCTAGTGTATGAGTGCAGGTCTTTTAGATCGAAACATATAGGGTTTGCTGATTTAACAATTGCAATGGAAGTATTTTAGTAAGTACAGATGAGAAGTCATTGACCTAAAAAGTTTAATATGCACAAGAGATGAAACAAATTTGAAGTATAGAAATAAAATGAGTTGTACATACAGTTTCTCAATGATAATACAATGCGAAGAAGCAATTTTTTGAAAATTCAGCTTGTTTAATTTAATGTTTATATGAGTTTTGGCACATATTTTTATTTAATGAACAAACTAAGCATATCAGAATTTTTCTGTTTGCATCATCGAATACAGCTAAAAAAAAATCTTTTCTGTAAAACTTGTATGAAAACTAATTCAAATAGCTCAATTTTTAAAATTATTTGACATTTATGAAGTTCAACATCTAAAACTGTATCGATATATTGTTTTGAAATTTTCATATATTATAAAACAAACTTTTCACCTTCTTTTGAAACAAGATAAAAAAGATATTGACTGAGCAGTTTTCTACAATATTTTAAAGAATGCATTGTAGTCTGAAGCAGACAGAAGAAAAAAGCATTTTGAGTTTGCCTTCTTGGTACACTTAATGACGAATAGGCAATATTCATTTCTTCATCTTAGCTTCAAGTACAATGCTCATTGTAACATTATTTTTACGTAAAATTTCTGAAATTGAATATTCAAAAGTAATTTTTTTCATTCTCTGAATGATGTTCAGATACTGAAATTGTATTTCATGTTCACTTTTTCTTTGATGTAATTTGTAATATAATAACCTAGAAAATAAAGTTCACAACTCTAGCTGCAGAGTCTAAATTAAATTCTTTTCTTCTTCTTATTTTTTTTCCCCAGATGCTATGGTCCGGAAAACAACATAGGACCAAATGGGTGCAAAACTTGCGAGAAAGCTATTGTAAATCTATACAATCCCAATATGGTGGTAAGTACTTCTCTATAGCAATCATTTTGAATTTATGTGTTATAATAGTGAATGTTTTGTTTTGAACGGGGCTGGCCAAATATTTCTGCTGAAGAGTGACATGTCCTTTATTAAAATATCTTACAGAAGTCTATACAAAATTGAGTATTAAACTTCTTAAGAAATATTTCCCAGTTTCCTGTAAACTGAGTCAGAGATTTTGTATAGAATTTTAGATACACAGAGGCTGTTTACATATTTTTAGAAATATTTCAATAAAGAATTTTAAAAAAGCCATTTTTTGGAACAAAAGTTTCTGGCAACCGCTTATTGTTTGAAATGAGAAATATCATCTATAATTTTTAAATTTATTCTTCTTTCTAAATGTCACATATAAACAAGCTGTGGACTGAAGGACATGTTTTTTTTTTTTTTTTTTTTTTTTTTTTTTTCCCTTTCTGAAGAGAAATATTCCATAATTCAAAAATGTTGTAAAATGCATGGTACTAAAATTTCTCAGTTCAAAATAAGCAGCATTATAAGTCAGAAAAGGGAAAAAAAAACTTCAGTCATTACTTCTAAATAGAAAGAAGACCGCAAATACCTGAAAAAGGTGTGAACTTTTTCTAAAGTTGCCAAAGTTAAATTTTTGGCAATGAGAGAAAATCTGCCAGTTCAGAAATGAATTGCAAGGTCTTTCAATACATCTGTAGAAATAATAAATAAATTAAGAAACCAAGATTTACAGCTTAAAAAACTAAAAAAAGCACTTTGTTCATCAGCTTTTGCAAAGGTATGGCTCAGAAGAATTTGCCAAACTCTTTAGCAGGAGAAAAATGGAAATACATGTAATCCTCGATGAGGCATGCATTTATCTAAAAGGCTGAAAAAAAAAGTCTATTTATTAAAGAAGACAAAGAGAAAAAATTATACAACCCTGATATTCATTCCATCAATGCAAAGAAAGTTACAGTAAGGGGTTTATGATTTTTGCAGGATTCTCTTACTGTGGGAAATTAAGAAAAGAGAGAGAGAGAAAAAATCAGATTGATGCAGGTATTGCATATATATCTTTTCAACGTATTCCTGCAAAGTCCCTCGACATTTTGCCTATGGACTAGCCTTTGGCCTTTCAAAAAGCACTCTTAAGCACAAAACTACTACAATCCATGGGATCTGGAAAGTATTGGAGGATGAATGGAAATCAATGGCTCATTCATCTCATAATATCATAAAACTTAAAAGTAACATCAAAATGGTTCACAGAATGCTAATTATAAAATTAAATCATAATAACAAGGTTTACAACATCCTATTGATTGTATTTTGGAATGCTTTACAAATTGCCGCTATACTCTGCTTCAAAACAAAGAATAAATAAACTACACATTTTGATATTAAATTAAATTAAACATTTGGCAATTCATATAAACTTTGTAAATTAAAATTCCAGATGGGGGGGGGACTTATAATAATAATTTAAAACCTTTTTTACAACTCCATGCAATAGCAATAGTTGCAGATATCTTCATCGGTTTACATCCCAAATATAAATAGTCTAGCAAATATAAAAAAATAGCTATGGTAACACTTAACACACTAAACAGCAACATTGATCAGCTGAGTTTGTCTACACCACACACATTTCTTTTCTCTTGCTTTTTCTAATGTAAGACCTGTATAAAATTTCTAAAGGTTCGCATGTAGAATCTTATATATAAGGGGGGGGGAAAACCTTTTTGAATTAAAAAAATTAATTTTCATTTTGTAATAGAATTTTTTAACCTTGTCTAAGTTTTGCAATGATTTATAACAAGGGGTGGGGAGGGGGAAAACTTACAAAACAGATATGATTTTAAAAAGAAATTAAAATTTTCTTGATTTTAAAAACTATTTAAATAAAAATGAATACATTATAAAAATGGTTAAGTTTAATTAATCGTCTAAAGCATGTGGTACAGCAGTTGTACTGGGAAAATGACTTTTTTTAACGCTGGCTGTGGTACAGCTGTCGTACTAGCCATTCCCTCCCTATTTCAGAGAATCACCTATCTGTAGATCTCTGGGTGGTCTATTGTTGCTGCTCAAAATAGCTGCTGGCTACGCATTGCTTCCTCTTCTTATCAGTTTGGCTACATTTTCGCAAAACCGCAGGTTTTGTCTTGCGCCAATATACTTATAGAAGCCATTATCAAGTCGTTATCAAACGTTAGAGCACTGTCTCATAATTTTAGAGCTAACGTTTTTAGTACTAACATTATCTATGATTAAAATGTCAGCGATCTTGCATGCTGTAAAAGCTTACCAGATTTAATGCTTTTTAATCATAGCAAATAAGATTAATTAATTATAAAATTAAAGATTAGATTAATATTTTAGATTTAATGCCCTTCTAGAAAATAGGTAAAACTGCTTTTATCATTTACTGTACAAAGTCTTTAATCCGGACGTCCATAATACAGAATGATCTATAATCTGAACCTCAAAGCTACAAACTTTATGCACATGCGTAAACGCATTATGCGTAAATGCATTATGCGCTTACGCATGCGCATAATACATTTATTCATGCACCTTTAATACGCGCGTCCGCTACACATGCTCGTAAAGAGAAGAGATATTGTTTATATAGAGAGACTGTTTATAGAAGAGAGATGTTTTAAAGGAATATACATAAATTTATTACATATTAAGCATTTTTATCATTAAATTAAGAACTTTTAATGAACTTTACTGATTTCAATCAACCAGGGGCCTTCTCAAGATCACATGACTTCTCCTCTGACTGCCTCCACACCAGTGTAGCATAAGACGAAGAACATCTTTCATTCTTATTTTACATACTCAGTAACTCGCATTTTGAACTTTCGCCTCGTGCGACGATGTACTAGAAGTACATCTTTGATTTCTTTTAAAACCAAGCAAATGTTTAAATGGTTAATTTTCAGGATACTGGTTAGAACTCTTTGTAGTTAATGCCAGCTGTAAAGATAAGATCCAAGGTCTATAGAAGAGAGAATTAAAGAGAAAGTATTAGCACAAAAAAGGAAGCAACTTAAACAACTTGCATTAAAAGAAATGTTTAATAAAGTAAACAAATAAATATTAAGCTTTTTTTTTGTAAGTTTTGATACCCTTTAGATCATAATTGCTCTTTATTTTATAAATTATGGTTTCATATTTTTAATTGTATAATTTCTGCATGCCATCTTGCCAGATTTAAATTGATGATCTATAACCCAGAAAAAACCCTAATCTGGAATCTCCGAAGTCCCGACGAGTCTGGATTACATACTTTGTACTGTAGTTCCTTTTTATACTTATGAATAATAAAATGTTATTTTGACCCTTTTTTTGGAGTGCATAAAACCCTTAAGAACTGTTAACTCTTTCAAAGTGCTTCTATTATGTAGACAATTTTGTTTGATTTATCAAGAGATAAATAAGAGATAATTGCATGCATAATAATTTTTGTAATTTTCATTCATTCAATGATTTCATTCAGTGATTGATTTCAATGATTTTCATTCATTGTAAATTAAATAAAACCAATTTATCTTTAGACCCTCTTTTAGGATGACATCTGCCAAAAAGTATTTAAATATCATTAAAGCTCGGCTCGTTACTTCTAAATTGAATCAAAACATCAGTTTAAATGTTATAAAATTTTGGCCAGTTTTTATTTGCTGAAATTCTTATACTCCTCAAGAGATAGAGAGAATTCAGACAAGTTGATAAAAAAATATCTTTAAAAAAGGTTGTTATTTTGTCTGTAATAAGGTGTATGTCAACTTACTATTAAATGTATGAAATTAGGATTGGATTATGGAAAAGCACGCGAAGTGCTATCTGCTTGAAGTGGAATGGATGCTTTTGTGTAAACCTTTTTAAGAGAGAATTGCTCGCATTTACATTCCTTATGGAAAACTCCACATGTAATCAACCCGCTCTCTGGGTTTGATTGGATTAATTTTGTTCGCTTACTGAAGTACATCAAAGCAACAATTACCTGTATAATCACAACAATTACCTGTATAAGGGGAGGGATGCCTTCTTAGAAGACTTTCTAAAGGAAGCTTGCTTGTATTTATGTTACACAAAAACCATGAATCCCACTCTTTAGCCGGGATTCAAACCTGAGCGAGCTACAAGTGTTCGCCACCTTTACTGCTCTACTGAAGGGCCCGTAAAAAAAAATTGATAAAGGAAAAGTATTGAAATAACTGGTTTAATTTATTAACCTATATTTCTCTATCGACAATACATAAATTAGGCATGTGTGGGGATTATTTGTGAATAAATAAACTGTATTGCACTTTTCTCCACTATTTCATATTACGATGCAATTATTGCATTTCAAAGTTATTTCTCATGAATTAATTTTGCTCCTTCATGATTTTTTTATTTTTTCAAAGAGAAAATTCCACACTTTAAATAAAAAATACACGAGAAGATACTTTATGCAAAGTTTAGCTTAAACAGTTTTCTTAATTTTGCTTTAAAAATATTCCAGGGTAATCATTTTCATTACTGGAAGAAATAGGAAAAACAGATTTACTACATTGTAAGTGTCAACACCCAGTATGCCCTTATTCTTTTGAAAACATGAAAGATTAAATTAGTCATTACCATTATTTTGTTAATGAAAATATGTTGTTAAAAATCGCATTTCAACCTGCAGACTCACAAAGCTAGTTCGTAATTATTATAGTTTGTTTTATTTTGTTCTTGTTTTCTAATTTCTCATACGAAAATATGCGAATATAAATGAAGTGTGAAAACAAAGTTATAAAATTCACAAATTATTGCTGAGATTGATCAGAAATATTAAATTAAATATAAACATTGCATACATTTTGTTCTAAATAAATGGTGCACTGAATGCATTTCCAGTGCACTATTTATTTAGAACTTCATTTAAATGGAAGCAAAAATAATCATCGAAAAAAATCGCAAATCTAGCAACCCATCTACTATGGAACAGCCATCTACTATGGAACAGCATCCAACAAACATGTAAATTTTACTGCATCCATGGAGGGGACTAACGACTTTTCTCATTAGGAAAATGTCAAAGAGGGGGCAAATGTGTTTTGGATCACGCCACTCTGAAGGTTATATTATGATAATTTTACCCAGGTTTTAGAAGGTTAAAATAAAGTAACCGTTTCTCTTTTCATAGTTACATTTACAATAATTTAAAATATGAATTTCAGGTATTAAAATTTTGTAATTAATGGTATAAATTTAACCTATCAAATAATTTTATGATTTAAATTTATTTTACTATTTCACAAGATTTAACTTTTTTTTTTATCAAGATTTAACTTTCTACCAAACTGTACAAAAACATTTCACAATATATTACATAAATTTATAAGTTAAAAATTTTTATATTAAAGTTAACAGCATCATAAAAACATACTTGTTTATGTCTGTACTTCTCTACATCTGTACTTTGGCACATCTATTTTTTTTTATCTGCATCCCTGCTAAATGTCTTCTTTAGATGTATATTTATTATGACATGCATTTTATCTGTGTACTTATGTACACATTTATGTATATACATTTTTTCCTATTTGTATGTACACATTTAATTACTTTTTACATGTGTACTTAAGATAAATGTAACAAAATATATGCAGCATGTGTACATCATGCATTTATTTTACTTTACATGTGTACACATTTTTAATATTTACATGTGGTATGTATTTTTTACATGTACTCTACATATGTACTTATAATAAGGACATGCTACAGAATACATACACATGTATTTTTTACACATACATTTATATTATGTATACTTTACATGTATGTGCATTCTTTTACATATGTATTTTTCATGTTTACAAGGGTACATTATTTTTTATAAGTGTACTTATTTTACGTAAAAAGTACGGCAGGCTGTATTTTGCCAGGGCCTGCACTTGGGTATATGGTTATAATCTTGGATATGTGATTTGCTTTTAATGTTTGTATTTTTCAGAACTGTATTTACGAAAACCTTTTTGTTATTGACTATTTTTTAGGAGCAGTGCTTAAGATCTGATGAACCTTGTCCAGAAGGCTATTACATGGAGTACATTGGATCCCAAGAAGATACTCTACCTTCACTGACTGGGAAATCGGTATATTAAAAAGTTCATTTCTATGAATGTTTTATAGTTTATAATGCTCCAAAGTTCTGTAAATATTTATATTGCTTCCTAAGTTTTGTCTATTGTTTATTTATTTATTCTTTTAGCATGATAATTTCAGGGTTTATTTTGCATGTGATCAAATTAGTGTCCGCATAGTTTGAATAGTTTATTTCTTGGTTAGAATTATAGATCTTTCAGTTTTGATCCCAACAACATTTAAATTGTAAAAACAGCTCATTTAGAATACCAGATACAGGAAAAAAACACTCTTTGGTGATGTTCAATCAGTTTTATATTTTGAAATGTTTGCATTTAGAATGATGGCACATTATCACTTTTAACATGCATAAGGCTTATAGTGTGCACAGTTGCAAGGTTGTATAGACATTAGGAATTATTTGGAGGCCGGAGAGATGAAAAATTAACAACGCCTTCGCCGGGAATTGAACCACGGGCCTCTGGAATATCGGCCCAGCGTGCAGAACCACTACACCATGAAGAACGTTAGGAAAGTGGGAGAAATACCTTATATACTCCCCTTTTTAAAGGGCAACTAGGGTTTTAGGGAACCTAGTCGCCAAATCCTGGGTGCGGAGAATCGTCATCCACAACCCTTTTAGTTCAGGCGCCACTTGTAGAGACATTAGGATTTTTTTTTTTTGGAGGCTGGAGAGGTGAAAAATTAACAAAGCTTTTGCCGGGAATCGAACCACGGACCTCTGGAATACCGGCCCAGTGTGCAGAACCACTACACCACGAAGGATATTAGGAAAGTGGGAGAAATACATTATAAGGTATCCTCACTTCTGTGTTGAATTACTTTTGCACTGTATCATTTTTCAAATAACACATGGACGCTTATAACACATTCTGACTTTTGCGGTGTATCACTTTTCAAATAATGTGTGTAGGGCATATAATGTTCATAGCTTTTCTCCACATTTGTGGCACATAAGTAATTTTAAAATGCTTATAAAGCTTGGACATATATAACACTCAAAATATCATATGGTCAAATTTCGTTCCGAACAATAACATACATCATTTCTTATACAGTCAAAAGTCGTTAATCCAGACTCGTCGGGACTTCGGCGATTCCGGATTATAGATCATCAGTTTAAATCTGGTAAGATGGCATGCAGAAATTACAAAATTAAAAATATGAAACTGTAATTTATGAAATAAAGAACAATTATGATCTAAAGGGTATCAAAATTTACAAAAAGAAAAAGCTTAATATTTATTTGTTTACTTTATTAAACATTTCTTTCAATGTAAGTTGTTTAAGTTGCTTCATTTCATGTGATAATACTTTCTCTTTAATTCTGTTAAACAGACATAATTTCTTCTTCAGTTACAAAGTTCCGCTGTTCAAGTCCTATAATTGCTGTGTCGAGAATACCGACTAATTTGTCAATCGAAATTTTTTCGTTTTGAATAATCTCTGTTACTTTTTTCACTATCGGAAGCGAATTATAATGATGAGGAACTTGTTTTAAATCACATCAAAGACGGAGTACATCGAGATGAAATACTACATTTAGTAAGGAATTATAAGCCAAATAAAATAAAAACATCTGCCCTGAAGATAAGGATAATGCTGACAGATCAACTTCCAATTCATTGCACGCCGCGGCATTCCCCCACCGAGCAGCATGAAATTGATAAACAGATTTTGGATTTCGAAACATACTTTCGCTTTAGATCCTTTACATATTAGCAAATATATATCGGAAATTCTATTTAATATAATCGAAAGTTCAAGCTTACTTTTATAAAATTGCTCTAACAGTCTGCAAAAAATAATAAGCTGGATCCAATTCGAAGATTAAGGAACAATGCAATCTGCAACATTAACTGAATTAGATAATTTTAGCTTAGCTTAGCTTATACCGTCCGTTATACATTAAACGCGCATGCATAAACATTTTATGTGCACGCTTACACGAAAATTCGCAGCTGTAAAGGTCTTACGCGCACACGTAAATGCGATGCATGCGCAGAAAGTTTGTAGCTTTGAGGTCCGGATTATGATCATTCCGGATTATGGGTGTCCGAATTAACGACTTTTGACTGTAATTTGTCTTTTTTTTCTTCATCGAATCTCTTTTGCGGTGTGCTAGTTTTCGATTAATTTTTGTAAGGCATATAATATTTGTAACTTATCTTTTCTTTTGAGGTATATTAGTTTTCAAATATTGCATTTTCAAATAGCAGACATAATGCTAAAAGTATCATGTTTCTAAATATTTGCTGTTTTGGACGATAACATATAACACTTATAATGCATGTAGCGATTATGACCTATCCTCTTTTTTACATCAAATCACTTTTCAAGCTATGCTTTCCTTTATTCAAGCAATACCTGTCCACACATTTATGGTGTATAACTTATTTTTATATTTTTATAACAACTATAGCTTATTTTTCTAATTGTTATAATGCAAAATATTATCAGATTACCTAATGTTTGGTTATTGGATGGCAACATATATCACTTATAACCCTTATATAATACATAATATATAACATGTATATATTATATAATGCACGTATTCTGTATATGTAATGCATAATATATAATTGTGAATAAATAAATTTGTAATCATTAACTGCATTTCTTAGCATATTTTTACCCCCTTTAGCTTTTTAGGGCCAGGTGTAAAAAATTAAAAAAAAAAAAAAAAAAAAAAAAAAAAAATTCATGCGATTTTCTCCTTTATCAGCTTGTTCAGAGAATGAGCTGCCCTAAATTTTAAAATAGATTCCTTTATGTGTCCTTTCTCGATTTTTGAATGATAAAATTAGTTTAAACAAGGGAAGAATTACACTAGAAGTATGATAATTTGTACTGTGTGCATGTAATACATAGTGTGTATATTCTGTAATATATAATGTGTAATGTAACATATATAATTATATAGTTATGAAAGAGAGAGAGTCGCTCCAGAATGTTTGTAAACCCTCTGGTGTGACTCCAGAAATCTGAATTCTTTTCCAATTTATTTTAATTTTAATTCTTTTAGGTTTGCCGTAAATGCCATCCTCAATGCAAAAATTGTACTGCATATGGTAAACATTACAGTGTTTGTAAATGCCTACATTACATATCTGGAGAGCAGTGTGAGAGCCAGTGTCCAAGAGATCATTTCCCTGATGACGCCAACCAGATTTGCATTAAATGTGCAGACGAATGCCGTGCATGCAACGGGCCATCCGTGTCGGACTGCACCGCGTGCCGCAATTTCCGGGTGTATGATGACGATTTTAATAAAACAATGGTATGTAAGAGTACAGTGTTGTAAACTCCGTAAATATTTAAATCGGTTGTATTCTTGTAATATGGTGCGTTGTTTTACTTAGTTATTTATTTCTTTATTACTTTCAGGCTGATAATATTTCATGTATTAAAAACTGTATATAATTGTTTACTCCATATGTAAAATTATAGATCTTTCAATTTTGAGTCCATTTAATTATAATTTAATTACATTTAATTACATTTAAATTATAAAAATAGCTCAAGTAGAACATGCATTGTTCAAAATGATCAAAAGCACTCCTCATGCATTTAGGTGAAAATTTTTGTCACAGTTGGCAAACTTCTGGAGATTTCTCACCAACTCGGTGATTTTCTGGAAGCTTTAGGAAAATGCATTTTCAGTGCCTTAGAACTGATTTTGTTTGAAGCTTCCAGAAGAGCATGTAAAACCATGTAAATGCTATTTGTTCTGAGAGTTAGCAGTTCAAACAGACCTAGCTGAATTGTGTTGTAGATTATATTATATGAGGGATTTTGACTCATGTGTTGGGGAAGAATTTCTCTGTGTTCTGCTTGACGTATTTGCAACTATTTTTTGTGCTGTATGTGATTATTATTTATCATAAATTAATTTCGTTCTTCCTATCTAAAGTGATTATTTAAAGGGACATCAGTGAACCTGTAGTTTCCAGCAATAATTTAATTTGTCGTTAATAATAAATAATAATTAATAAAAATAAATACTAGTAGATAACAGTTGACTATTTTTTTAATAGAATGGAAATAGTAGTTCTAAATAAGTGATGTAAGAGTAATTAATGTTAATAAATAAGATTAGAATAATAATACTTAATTAAAATAAGTAAGTAGTCAGTAATATCTCTTTTTTAAAAGAATAGGAGTACTAGTAGTGAATAAGTAATGTAGGAATAGTTAATTTTAGTAAATAAGGATAGAATAATGGTAGTAGTTTATAAAAGTAGTAAAAGAATAGTAATAGTTAAGTTAGTAGTCAGATGTAACTATTTTTTAAAACAACAGTAATACAAGTAGTAAATAATAACTAGTTTTAAAAGAATAGTAATACCAGTAGTAAATAAGAAATATAGAAATAGTTAATTGTTTAAGAGAATAGTAGTAATAGCTTATAAAAGTAGTAAATGTGTAAATAATAATTAATAGTATTAAATAGATGCTATTATTTAACAGAATAATAGTAATAAATAAGTAATATAGAAATAGTTAATAATAAAGAAGAATAGCATAGTAATAGTGATAATTAATTGAAGTAAATAATAGTTAATAACATGGATAAAGTAAATAACAGTTAATTGTTATTTAATAGAATATTAATTGTTAACCAAAGTAAATAAGTAATAGATAAGGGTTAACTATTATTTAATGGAATAATAATGATTATGAAATATAGGAATAGTTAATAGATAAAAAAGAAGACAAGAATATTAATAGTTTATTGAGGTAAATAAGTAGTAAATAATCATTAACAAAATGAAATAAAGTAGAAATAAATAATAGTTGAATATCATTCAATAGAATGAAGTTAATGAATAGTTAATGAAGGTAAATAAGTAATGAATAAGGGTAGTAGTAAATTATAATTAATAGTAATAAAAATAATTAACTGTTATTTAATAGAAAAGTAATAGGAGTAAATAGGAATAGAATTAATAATAACAGTTAAATGAAGTGGCAAATAATAATTAATAGAAGTAAATAATACTTAACTATTATTTAATAGAATAATATAGTAACAAATAAGTAATACAGAATAGTTAGTAGTTGTAAATAAGAATAGAATTCTTTGGCTATTTATAGTTATTTAGTTTGCTGTGTGTGATTATTATTTACAATAAATTGTTTGCTTGTTTTTTGCCCATATATAATGATTACTTAAAGTCTATTTCTTCTCAATGCTTAGCCATGGTTTCTTTTGATATTAAATCGCTTTTTACTAATGTTCCAGTTGAAAGATGATTAACACATTAAGCATCATTTGTATCCTAGTAAATGCAACCGTATATTTTGTTCATGATGACCTTATGTATCCAAATGAATACAAACTAATTACTGTTTAAAAAGACACAAATATAACAGTATTACAAATATATTAGTAGATGACAATAGGGAACATTTATGTTGCATTAATAAAAATTAGAAGGCAGAAACATTGTTTTTTTTTTTAAATTTAATTAATTTATTTTTATTTTTATTTGGTGGCTCTTAATCTCTTAAAACTAGACTTTCCATTTCACACATAGAAATAAATTTCTCTCACTAAAGTTGCTTTCAGTCAAAGCCATCTTATAAGTGGCTAGCTGCCTAAAATAGTTATCATAAAAAAGAAAAATATATATAAGGATTTTAAGCAGCCCAGTTAGTGAGATTTCATAGAAGTATTTAATACTTTTTAGATACATCCTGAATTAAATTCATTTTTATTTAAATTAATCAGATTAAAAAGTTTAAAAAATAACATATTTATAAGAGCTGCTTTTATTGATTTTGAATCACTCACTTTGTTAATCAATAACAGGCAGATTAAATTTGAAACAAAAATTAAATATCGTACTCTTTACTGAATGGCAAAACACTGGCTCAATGAAGATAACAATATTTTATTTCGAGCATTTATTTATTTTTTATTTCAAGTTGCAGTACAAAGCTTTTAAATGGATAAATTTGTTAATCAAAAATTCATTAAATTACCCCAAAATAGGAAATAAATTTTTAAAAAATTCAAACTTCGGACTTTGAGGTGCACATATTGGAGTAGAGTCTTATGTGTGTTCAAAGTTTGATAGCTCTATGTGTTGCATTTTCCACAATCTGAAGAACATTTCTTCATTATTTAATTACACAGAGATTTATCTTTCTTTTATTTATTTTTTAAATTTTTGAAAAAGCCGCCTAGAGACAGTGTGTTATTTAGGGAAGCTTACTGTGATACCAAAGGGCCTGGCTTTGAATCGGAGAAGGCATGGCTGTAACTGTCCGCTCTTTCATACGAGGCAAAGGTGGCTCACCTCTTAGGTGCCTCCATAATAAAGTGACCACCACATCTGGTCTTAGTGGCCTAGCCGAAGTAGGCTGAGGGCTTGCAATTGTGGGCGGGGGGGCTGTGAAAAATTTTCCGTAATGTTTAAGAGTTTTCAACTGAAACCTTATGTTTCAGCTTGCAAATATTATATTATTTTTATTTATAATAGCTTACAAAAGTTTTTTTACTGGAAATTATATATATTGCATTTTCTGTTTTGTACATCTACTCGCCTCATTCTTAGAATTATTTTTATTTCAGTTCAACTGCACAGGCTCCTGTCCTCTTGATAAGCCTTTCAAAAATTATGATGATAGTGATCCTTACTGCTCTGCTGTGGATGCAAGTGCTGTAGCACTTCATGGGTATTAAAAATTTATTAAATTAAATTTCATTTAACTATAAAATGCATATTAATATAGCTGACATGATTTTCATTTATTTCTATGCATATCTGTAAACTTTAACAAAAGGTTTAGAATTTTTACAAAAGCTATGCTAGTTTGTGCATCACCAAATGTGTATTCAAGGCATGCTATTGGCTGGTAGTTCAGTTATTGTTTTAAATTTTACATCAAAATGATTATTCTTTCACATTAAAAAATTAATTTCAACACTTAACACTGTATTGGGAATTCTAAACATAGGCTGCTTGTAAAAACTTTGATTTTTCTGTTGAATTTTTGTGTGGTATGTTAAGAAAGTGAAGTCTGTTAATAAAGAAACATGTGTAGGGGAATGTTAAGAAGAGCAAACATTAATCAGATATACTGAAAAAAGACTTAAAAAAAAAAAAAAAAAAAAAAAAAAAAAATGCATGGCTATGCTTATCAAGAATTCTAAAAATAAATTGTTTTAAAAATTTTATGATTTTGCTGTTGGATTTTAGTGGCATAAGTGCAAAAGAAGCAATGTTTAATAATAATAAAGTTAAAAAATAAGAACAAGCTATGTTAGGATTAGTGAAACCAAGAGCAGATTGGTAAAATGTGAGCTCAGCAAGAGCACAAATAACCTTAACCATATCCTCTTGTGTGACGTTAAAATCAGAATTCATTCAATTTTTTTTTGTATTTTATTTATTTATTTATGGCTGTATTTTTGTTGTATGAAAATGAAATTCATGCCACTCTTATTATTTAATTCTAATCTGATTTTCTTTTATTTTTACATTGGTGAGAAGCAAATACAGTACAAAGTCCAAAATCCAAACATCTATTATCAGGAATGATTTAAAATCCGGAGCTCAAAGCCACAAACTTTTTTTTGGTATGCTTTTCGCATGCGCATTTGATTTTTCCTTCCATTATAAAACGCATGGAAATTTTTGCTTAAAAATTCCGATTCTTAATTTCACTTAGTCACTAAATAAAATACATTGTTTAAAAAAAAAACAATCATGTAAGCATAAATTTGTGAGATTAATAATTTGGCTCCGCAGCTGAGTGTCTGCTTGGCATTAAATCTCAAACCGAAATTCACCTGTTCACCTATTTTATATCCCTGATGCCAAGCTGGCGAGTCATTATTTATTATATTTTGCTTTCAACACTGCATGTTTATCAATACATGACAGCTTCAGTAATAACTCATGCAGTGATGTCTAAACTTTTTTTTTTTTTTTTTTTTTTGTGCTAGTAATTGAATAACAAGAGTAAGGCAACCTTTCTTGCTAACATTACGCTTGGCAATGATTAAAGATTTTTTAAATGCTCCAAGGAATGTTGATGAGGAAAAATTCAACAAAAATTTCTTTTCATATGCTGAAAATAGATTTTCTTAATGAAACTCATAGACCAAAAGATTACATTTAGTGCTATTTTAATTAAGAATAATGATATGTTATTTACCATAAACCCAGAAGCGGGAAGAATTTAGGGAAGACACAATTTTTGGATTTTGAGGAAGCACAGAATGGCAAAATTAAGGGATGGGAATTTTTTTATAATTTAGGGGGGAAAGCACTGGGATCCAAAGTTTAGGCGCGGTGAAAATTTAGAATTTGGGAAGGCGCTTTGTAGCAGAATTTAGGACCCGTAGAGACTTCACCAGGCGGTATCGAGCGCCGGCCTTAGATAAAGCCTTAAGTATATGTGGGAGTTTATTTATTTAGGACTTAGATTAGTTTGAAGCATGTGCAAGAAATAAATGTAGGTATATTAAATAACTAATACAATTCAGGCTTAATTGCTGCTAAGAGCAAGACAAAATTTAGCGGAACAACTTGGCTTTCATTGCCAATCTTGTGATACACAGCCAATAATGTATAATGGATGCTATTAAGCTAGGCTAAAAATTATCTGAACTGATTCCAAGGCATTTCAGTTAATGTAGTCGAGTGCACTGCTCCTTAATCTTCTAATTTGATCCAGCTTACAGACTGTTATTATTACATCAATTTCATAAAAATGAAGCTTGAACTCTCGATTATGTCGAAAAGAGTTTCCAGTTCTGGAGCTGCCAAAGGATCTACAAAGCAAAAACATGTTTCAATGTCCATTAAACAAAAAGGGAAATTGCTGCAAAAAATGGATAAAGGCATATCCGTCTCAAAATTATGCGAGGAGTATGGCATTGGAAAGTCAACTGTATATGACAAAGAAAAAGGAACTTTTTGAATTTTTTATGGAAGCAACTTAAACAACTTACATTGAAAGAAATGTTTAATAAAGCAAACAAATAAATATTAAGCTTTTATTTTGTAAATTTTGATACCCTTTAGAACATAGTTGTTCTTTATTTTATAAATTACGATTTCATATTTTTAATTGTCTAATTTCTGCATGCCATCTTACCAGATTTAAATTGATGATCTATTATGGGGAAAATCCCAAATCCAGAATCGCTGAAGTCCCAATGAGTCTGGATTCGGGCTTTGTATTGTATCTGTTACTATCGGTAAATTGTAAAATGTATATTAGTGTAGTTGGTATATTGTTTTTCCCCCCTTAATTTTTTCATTAGTGGGGGAAGCTAAAATTTCTGCTTCAATTAAATTGTAAAAGTCTGTTAATGTACCTGATATTATTTATTTATTTATTTAATTATTTTTTTAAATTTGTGCATTTGTAAGGAAAATGAAAATCTTGCTGCATTTACGTAATTGTAAAATATTTGATATGAATTTTTTTTTTTCATTCATTTATTTTTGCATTAGTAAGTAAAATGAAGTTCTTGTTACTGTAAAACATCTAATATTTTTTTTTGGCATTCGTGAAGAAAATAAAATTTCTGCTACTTTCATTTAACTGTAAAATATCTGATTTTTTCTTGCTTTAACATTAGTGGTAAAAATGAAATTTCTGTTACTTGCATTAAAATCTGAAATATCTCACATGATTTTCTTCCATTTTTGTGTTAGTGAGGATGACCAAATTCCTGCAATTCTTGGTGGTGTTATGGGCTGTGTTGTTATTGCTGGCTTGTTTTTGGCATTCTTCAGTTACCAGTGCTTACAAAGAGCTCGAACTAAAGAGAATATGGTTAAAATGACTATGGTAAAGTATATTCTGTGTTTTTTCTCAAGATCAACATTTCCCAACCAGGGTTCCATAAAACATTGTTAAGGGCTCTGCAATAAATAAGGAAATAACACGAATGTCATAAGAGTGAAAACACTTTTTCCCCTGATTCGGTATTGTACTCGTGGGACTTTGGTGAGGCAGGTGGGTGCGAGTGTGACAAGAGTCTAGCCGATGCTAACTGAGGAATTGCCTTTGGTTGTTTGGCTATGCTCAGTTAGACTTGTTAGATATCGTCAACAGTTGTATGAATTTCTTTGTTACTACCAATTCAGCTGTGAAGAAAAGATAATGTTTTTTTAAAAAGAGGAAATTAACTTATTCTTTAGCAATTTTCATTAAACTGTACATTGTCATTGCAAGGCCATGCATGCAGCATGAGTCTTAATTGAACACAGCTGAACAACCGAAGGCAGCTTTTCTGTTGTCACAGGCTAGAATCTAGTGTGACTGTGTATGTATTAATGATGCAAGAAGTGTAGGATCGTGCGGTTAATTAAACAGAGTAATAACATGTATCTTTTATGTTAATGTTTTATTAGTATTTTACTCAGTTTTATCTCTCATTTTTTAATCCTTCTGTATATTTTAATAGTTAAAATGTGGCAATACTTAAAGACAAACAATTCAGATAGTTTTGAAGAGAATAGTGATGAGGATTTATTATCTCAATTGAAATTTAGTAAAGTAAGAGGTACAACAAGGATTCAGTATTACAATGAAAGTTATTTATCAGTGAGCTTTTGCATAGGCTGGCGATTCAGAATGTCCTCTTCCATTTTGTCTCGTTTATGGTAAAAAACTTTTGGATACAGCAATGGATGCAACAAAATTGAACAGACTTTTCAATGCAAATCGTACTAATATGAAAAATAAAAACTAGTACAGCTTCTGTAAAACATTCACTAGTGAAAAGGCTCAAGAAGGAAGTTATCTGATAGCTGAGCTACCTGGTTTGGTAGCACAGATGAAGAACAGTCATACAGTCAGTGAGAATCTGATAATGGCCACATGTACAATTATAGTGGGTAAAATGCTGGGAGAAGATGCAGTAAGGAAAACTGAAAATATTCTACTTTCGAAGTCAACAAAGTAAGTCAACAGATCATCATGATGTTGAAGAGATTTTCGTGTGATAAACTGAAAAATGGCAATTTTTCAGTTCAAGTGAACAAGTCAATAGGTTTGAGCATCAAATGTTTTGTAAAATTTGTTAATGAGTGGAAAATTCAAGAAAACTTCTGCTGTAAAGAATAAATTCAGACAAGCAGAGGAAAAGATATATTTAATATTTTATCTACATATCTGGGAAAAAAATTTTTTTTTTTTTCTTGGAAGAATTGTATTGACATTTGTATGGATGGTATTGCTTGGGTGGCTCCATAAAAGGATATGTTACTATTGCTCCAAAAAAGTCAATATGTTTTCCACACAATGAATTCCACACAGTTTCAATTCATAGAAAAATTCTTGGAAATGAGATGATGATGTCAAAATCTCTTGGAAATGAACTACAAAAGGTATTTATGATGTTATAGAAAGGTAAACTTTATTAAATGAACGCCACTTCATAGTTTAAAAAACTTTTTTTGAAACATGGATAAAGATTACAGAAATCAGTTGTTATGCACAGGAATCAGGTGGTTAGAGGCAGAGCTGGGAAGAAAGGCATGCACATTTTTAATAAAACGACAAACAAGATTTCTCTGAGTACTTTGAGGATCCAATGTAGATGCAGATGCTAGCTTATTTAGCAAATGAATAAGTTACTAAAAGACAGCAAGGAAAATATACTACTAGACTCTAGGATTTAAAAGAATATTAAAATTATGGAAAGATTATGTTGTAAAAGGGAATTGTGATAAGTTTGAATTATAATTGGCGAGACTAAAAAATGAAGATGGATGCCAACAAATTTCAAGTCTTGCTGTATCCCACCTAGAGGAGCTGTCAAAGAAAACTGATTATTATTTTCTATAGCTGTGAACAGAACTGTACGATTGGGTGAGGAATCCATTTTCTCACACTTATGTTCATCCTTAGAATTACAATTGACTGGTTCATTGAAAATGAAATTTCAGACATTGAAAATGATATGGTTTCAGACAAATTCGGATTTGCATTGAAAGTGAGTATCCAACAAATCATAGAGGCAATTAATCAATTGCTACAGTTTTTTGCATCCTAAAAAGAGCTAACAGTTCTCCTGCTCAGGCAAAGACTCCCTAATTCAAACCATACTCCATCCAATCTGATTTGAAGCCTAGTTCTTCCAATTTTCTTTTATTCTTAAAATTTCTCACAATCTATATATAGCTTGGCTAAATACTTCATAATTTTCTCTTATTCTTAAAATTTCTCACAATCTTTATGTAGTTTGTCTTAATACTTCATTATTTGTGCTCCCAAAAGTTATTTTTGGCATCTGAAAGCAGTTGGCTTTTCTCTAGATTACATATAAAAGAAAACATTTTATGTCAGGCATTATGGCACACTTCTGTTTTAAGTATGAGAGCAAATGTGTCCAAAAACTTTGTGTTCTTGTCTCCACCAAACATCAAGTGCCCCTGTGAGTCGTCTGATATACATTAGCCAGTAAGCACAAAGCAATATCAAAGCTGTTATTTTGTTCATCTTATTGCTAAGCGTTGTGAGTTTCATGTGCAATCTTTTGGCTTAGTAAATTCTGCAAAAAAGGTAAAGTACTCATTTACTTTTCAAAAATCATACACAAAGGACTTTCCTTTTATTATTTCATCAAGGAAATATAATACATTTGTGATGTGCCCTGTTTGTTGTTGTGATTTTTTGATTTCGCACAGTGTAAGGGCAGATGTTTTTAGACGTGTATATGCAAAAACACAAGAACATCATAAAAAAAAGAAATTATTTGTTTTGTTTTCAAAGAAAATATTAAAATTATAGTCTTTTACTGTTTTCATTAATGATCGTTAATATTACGAAAAAGTATTGTTACATGGAAGTTGAGGTTCCTTGCATCACAAGGGTTCATAAAAGTGAAAAAGTTGGGAAATGCTCATGATAGTTTTAAATTTCTTATATTTTGGTTTTTACTTTCTATTGAGTGTGTTTTTATCCAGCTAAAGTTATCTTTCTATCTTTAGATTATAGGTAATTTATTTCACTCAAGACACATTCACAACTGCAGTATATATTTTTAGTTCAAGTTATATAAGATTACAGGACATAATTATAACATATTCTCTATTTTCAGCGAATGAGTGGTTTCGAAGATAATGAACCTTTAAAACCAACGGATGTGAAGCCCAATTTGGCAAAGCTGCGAATTGTTAAAGAAGCTGAATTACGAAAAGGCGGAATTCTGGGTTATGGAGCCTTTGGAACTGTATATAAAGTAATAATAATAATTTAATATTTTTTATTACTTGTAATGTGAAACTGTTTATCATATTAGGTTAGCAAGAAAGTACTTTCAATTTTTTTAGTGGGGAATGAAAGTTAGAAAAAATGAATTTTAATTAGTCAAATCTTTTTCATTCTGTTCGATCTGGTATCTTCGTGATTCTGTGCTCATAGAACTTCTGGTCTTTATTAGCAAAAACTCAACCAAGTGCGATTTCAAGTCATCATTTTTACTTAATTTTTTACTATTTAAGAAATTTTGTAAACTTCACAATAAGTGATAATTCAATGGTGCAAGGTGAGGGCTATTTGAGGAATGTAACATCACTTCCCAGCAGACTCCAATAATTTCATACATGTTGCTAAATCTGTGTGAGATATTGCATTGTTGTGGTGGAACATGAGCCCTTTGCAATTTGCCATTTCTAACCTTTTCTGTTTGGTTGCTTTCCCCAATTTCATAAGCTATTGTCAGTAAACATTTGGGTTGACTGGATACAAGGAAGCAGCTCAAATACACAACAGCTTTGTAATCCCGCCAAATTGACAGCATGATCATTTTCTAACACAGCCTCAGCTTTTGATATGCTTGTGCTGATTCATTGTGCTTGTACCATGATCTTTTTCAATTAATGTTATTGTAGACAATCCATTTTTCAGCACCAATAATAATTCAGTTCAAAACAAGGGTTGGTACCATTACGTTTGAAATGTGTATCGCAATATTGGTTCATTGTGTTTGTGTTAAATGAATTTTTTTTTTTTTTTTCAATTCACATGGAACACAAATATCAAGCTTCTTAATGAGTTCAAAACAATGATTTCCAATTGATTGTAAACTAACTGTTGTAAACAAGAATACGTAGAATTTGTATCTGTAGCAACGTAAAAGTGCCAACTAACAAATCTCAAAACAAACAAAAATTACAAGATTGACGGAAAAATACTAAAACGAATATAACACTGTCTGTTTGCGCAAACTGAGATCACTTTCTTGTGAACCTAATACATGTGTGTATACACTTTGTGTAATTTTACAAATATTTATAAATATATTGCATTCAAATCATATATGTTTTTTGAATTCAGTACAGCTGGAGTATCTGCATTAATATTATGATTTCATATATCCATCGAGGGGGTAAGAAAATTAAGTTATTAAGCAAATAATCCATTCATTTATGTCAGAGAGATAACTTGTCTACCTACTTAATACACCTAATAAATACAATCCTAATATACCTAATTAAAAACATTAAATATTTTTAGAGGATGATACTATATATTTTTTCTCTTTCCAAATAGACAGAAGATATAGAATGTTTTTATGCCAATATAAATGTATATTTGTGTAGTATCCTCTAAAATGTTTTGCTCTTCCACCTGGGCCATCTCTATCGATAACCTGTGCTGATAAGTTATTATTTTTTAAAAGAAATTTTAAAAGACCCTTTCTTAATTTTGTGTGCCCATTTTTTTTTTTTGTTTTTTTTTCTACTTTTTTATTTTTTTTTTTTTTTTTTTTTTTTTTTTTTTTTTTTTTTTTTTTTTTTTCTTTTTGGTGATTTTTTTTTTTTTTTTTTTTTTTTTTTTTTTTTTTTTTTTTTTTTTTTTTTTTTTTTTTTTTTTTTTTTTTTTTTTTTTAATTTTTTTTTTTTTTTTTTTTTTTTTTTTTTTTTTTTTTTTTTTTTTTTTTTTATTTTTTTTTTTTTTTTTTTTTTTTTTTTTTTTTTTTTTTTTTTTTTTATTTTTATTTTTTTTTTTTTTTTTTTTTTTTTTTTTTTTTTTCTTTTTTTTTTTTTTTTTTTTTTTTTTTTTTTTTTTTTTTTTTTTTTTTTGGTCATTTATTTCTTTTTTTTTTTTTTAAGATTTTAAACATATTCCATTTTTATGTAATTTTTACATTTTATTGTTCTTTTAATACTTTTTGTCAAACACCATACAGTAGTTAATTGCATTGTTAATTTATATGATGCAGTTCAACTATATGTTAAAGTTGTTACTTATATTGTAATAAATGGCAATGTCAAATTTTATCTTGTCTTAAAAGAAACAGTGGCATGGAATTCCTAACAATCACAAAAAATCAATAAAAATTATTTCTAGGGCGTTTGGGTTCCAGAAGAGAGAGAGAACATAAAAATTCCTGTCGCAATTAAAGTTCTGAGAGAAGGTACCGGGCCTACTTCGAACAAAGAATTTCTTGAGGTGAGTTGTTTTCTGTTACATAGGTTATTACACAGATGTATATTTTACACATGAATTCCAATAATTTATTATTCAAGATTTATATACATATATATAATTAAGATATAATAATTAAATCCAAAGTGGTTAGCAGTCTAACACTAAAAACATTCAGTTGATCAGTGGGCCAGACTAACACTAAAAACATTCAATTGATCAGCGATCATAAGTATTTTCATGTATATTTTATTTTAAAACTTTATAATCTAAAATTGTATAAAGAATAGGTTACAAGCACTAATTACAAGGAAGTTGTTTTAATATTGAAAAGAAAACTTATATTAATCAAAGCATTAGAACATATGAATTGAGTCGGTGTGCGATCTTTTTTTTGAAATTGTTAAACAAAAAATGAAATTGAAACCTTTATAAGAGATTGTGAACCATTCTGGTGTTCTCATAACTCCTGTCGAGGAAGATGATGATTTAGTGATATCACGATTGTTTTGGATGCCATATACAAAGTACCTGAAAAATGGTAAAAATTAAAACCATAACACTATTTCGATCATTAAGAGAGGTTCTTTCGAATTTAGAATTATTTATCTAATTGTGAAGAAGTTGAAGCAACAACTGAACTGCTATGCTAAAAAATTTAAAATGTTACTTTTTAAAAAAATGTTGATTGGGTAAACATCAAGAAATGATTTGATGGTGATTGGGTTCAGCCAGGCTTTTGATGCTCACGTGATGTGAATATCATTTGAAATCTCACAAGAATAGAAAAGGCTGAGATTGATACTCAAAATACAAACGATAAAGATACTGACAATTACATTAGTCTCAAGTCTCCCGTTGAAACTGTTGGAGCTTGTTGACCAAAGGATATTCAAATACAATAATAAAATTGCACTTTGAAACATACATAGTGAAAAATTTTCAAAACATATAAAAATTTGTAAAATTACTGATTTTTATAAAGAAATTTCGCATTCAATATGCATGAAAATTGGTAGTTTCAATTATCTATAACTTATTTCCCTGAGATTAACTCAGATATTCAAGAGTATATAGTACCAGGAAAATTCTGTTAACAATTTACCTTTATTTCCAAGCGCTTTAATATGAGAGTAAGCTGACTGAGTATGGAAATTAAAACATTGTTAAAAACATAAAGACCACTTTGTGAACAAAGGATGAGTAAACATCTTTAGAAAAAAGGAACTAAGTTACGAATGGGCATTAAAGAACAATACTGGTGGGGCAAGTTTCAAGACAAAGTTATTATAGTTATGACTGCTTTCATGTGCTGCATTTTGTTAATGCACTATTTTATTATTTATTTTTTAATGCACTTTTTGATATACCCATGAAAAAATATAATGTCAAAGAATTAGCTTTTGTATTAATTTCTGTTATTTTATTCACAGGAAGCATATATCATGGCAAGTATTGATCACCCAAATCTATTGAAACTGCTGGCAGTTTGCATGGCCTCTCAGTCTATGCTGGTGACTCAACTGATGCCTCTGGGATGTCTCCTGGATTACGTTCGCAACAACAGGGACAAGATTGGGTCAAAGCCGTTATTAAACTGGTGTGCTCAAATAGCTAGGGTATATATCTGTTTCACTTTAAGATGAAATGATAAAGTGCTAATTGATTAATTTATAGAAATGTATAGTCCAATTATGCACATGTATCTGCAAATGGTGTGTTCTGAGACTCACTGAGAATATGCAAAATCACAAATAATAGTCAATGTTTAGTAAATATCATAGGCTAGTTAGATCTGCTATATTCAGAGTATGCAGGGTGTCCCTAAAGTTCATTTAGGCTATACAGAGTGTTCCGTAAGTAAATTTTTAATGTTGTGAAATAAAACAATTTATCTTTGTCATGTCTAAACTGTACTTAAAGTGTACTAAATTTTTATTTTTATACATAAAAGTTGTTAGAAAATTTGATGTTTCCCTCTTGCTGTACAAATTCTGGCCATCTTGCTGCTTACTTTGGAAGACCTTCATGTAAGGAATGCAGTAATTGGATTAGATGAAGATTTTTCAAAAGTGTTCTGTGCAAGACTCTGTGAACTGTCAAAGTACTTTGAATTTCATATTATGCTTCCTAATGGAAATTGTTAGCTCAATTTGGAACAATAACCAAATTTGTTTACTTTTGTTAGGGTCTATCATTGGCCATCCACTTTGTCTGGAGATCCTGGCTTGTTACATTTTCTTTGAAATTTTTCTCTAATTTCACTCAGTTTTACTCCTCTAGTATGGAATATTATGATAAGGTATTCATTATTTAACAATTCTTGGGGGAAGGTTTTTTTAAAAAAAAATTTTTTTTTGGGGGGACACCTGCACATACAATAATACAACTTAGTACACCTTTAGCACATTTTTAAGCATGAAAGGCTTTTTTAAAAAAGTGTCCACTTTCACAAAAATAGCTCCTTACCTTTCAGATAACCTGTATATATGAATGAGAGCAAGCTTAGCTGACAAATTATACACTACAAATAGAGCAGCAATTTTATTGCAGTGAGAATATCTGTAATTAATTTTTTAGACTTTCTTGAATTTTATTTTTTTCAAATGTCAAATAATCTGGAAATTTTAGATCTTTTGTTGTTATTTTTTTAAATTCCTATTACAGTCGTTAGATTATTTTTGTATTTAAACAATTTTTAAGCTACTGTCCTCAAAAAGGAAGAGAGGAAAAAAAAAAAAAAAAAAAAGAGGAAAACTGAATTTTGAATAGCTGTAAGCCCCTGATACATCTTCTGACAAGAAAAATCAGATCTTTGTTCTTTGTGGCACACAGAGGTATCAGCATTGCCATGTTTAGATTGCTACAGCAGCAAGAAAGTTGATGTAATACTGTTGAAACATTGACCAGGTGAGTGTAGTACCAAGAGCATGTAGTGTACAAAAAGGCAATGCTGCAAACCTAAAGATGTGCTACAGGGAAAGTATGAATACTTTTTGACCACCATAAGAAGGTACAGAATATAATGATGAGATGTAATAAGTATATTAACCAATGACTCATACACAATAGTTCGATATTAATACATGATTCAAATACTAGAATTCTAGATATGATAATAGAATAATACAATAATAATGTTAACTGAATATGATACATAATAATTGAAATATATGTAAATATATTAAATAAAATATTAGAATAAAATATATAGTAATAGAATAAGATATATGATAGGATAAGGTATATTTATTCTAATAATAGAATAAGATATACAGTAATAGCATTAGATATATTTCTTCAAGTGATAGAATATTTCAGAATCAAATAGTAGAATAAGATATAGGTATTCAAATAAAAGAATGTTTTATACTCAGATGATAGAATAAGATATATAATAACAAAATTATAGAAGGATGATAATAACAGAAGAAAAAATACAATAATTGAATAAAATGTATATATTCGAATGATAAAATATTTCAGATTCAGATTATAAAATAAGGTATATAATGTAATAATAATAAATAATAATGGAATTAGAATAATAATAGAAGAAAATATACAATAATTGAATAAGCTATATTTATTCAAATAATAGAATATTTCATCTTCAAATAATAGAATTAAGATATATTTGAGTAACAGAACTCAAAGTATAGAATATTTCCAATTCAAACAGTATAGTAAAATGATAATAGAATAAATTTTGCAATAATAGCCATACTAGAATAAAATATACAGTAAATAGAATATGATATATATTTATTCAAATAATAGAATAAAATGCATAATAATGGAATAATAATAGAATCAGATGTGTAATAATAGAATACGATAATAATAAAATAATGGAATAAGCTGTATTTATTCAAATAACAGAATAAGATGCATAGTAATAGAATAACAGAATAAGATAGATAATAATAGAGTAAGATATAGTTTGTCAAATAATAGAATATTTCAGATTCAGATAATAAAGTAAGAGTAATAGGTAAGATGAATAATATAATAAAGTAAGTGTAATAGGATAAGATGAATAATAATAGAATAAGTTACACAGTAATAGAATAAAATAATGCAATAATATAGTAAGATATTTATTCAAATTATAAAATAAGTTACATAATAGAACAGATATGTAATAATATATTAAGATAAAACTGAAATAAGTTTATTTATTCAAACAATGGAATATTTCAGAATACTTAATTGAAAATCAAAATCGGGGAGTCTGAATATTTTGCTACCTGTAGCTTTCTTCAAGTAGTGGTTTGTGCACAAATTACCTGTCTGGTTTGTTATTGTAAAAATATGCCTTTTTAATTTTTATATCCTTCATTAGGGCATGGCCCACCTTGAGGAACGCCGCATGGTCCATCGTGACTTGGCCCTTCGAAATGTTTTGCGTAAGTGTCAGTGTGTTCATACTTGTATGTATGTGCAAAGAAAATTAAAGTAAAATTGCATGATGTCTGATAAATTTTTATTATTTCTGGTCTTAGTTCAAACACCTGGCTGCATTAAGATTACTGATTTTGGTTTGGCAAGGTTGCTGGATATCAACGAAGAAGAATACAAAGCTGCTGGTGGAAAGGTGAGTTACTGGAATCATATTCATTGATTGTAAACCATTCATTTCTATCAAAAGTAATCTGGATGTTTGAGAAAAGGTGTAATACACTCAAACTCCATTATAATGAATTTCAAGGGACTATTCTCAATATCCAGTCTTGTTAAAAAAATAGATTCTGTCACAAGAAAAAAAAACTAAAAATTCACTAATAAATCACACACAAAACAAAAAGAACAAACAAAAAAATGTCTGAAGGATTCAGATTTTAATATTGAACCAGAAGGTTTTTTTTAAGCTTATTTTATGTTTACACTGAGCTTACATTTTATCAGACTGATCTTGTACTCACCCCTGCTGACATAATTTAAATTTTTTTTTTTTTTTTTTTTTTTTTTTTTTTTTTTTTTTTTTTTTTTTTTTTTTTTTTTTTTTGTTTTTTTTTTTTTTTGTTTTTTTTTTTTTTTTTTTTTCATTTATTCCACCTAAAATTCAAAAGCAAAATCACTAAATTTTTAAAACCAGCATATTTTTAGGATACCTGATAGAGTGTTCAATGTTGCCATATATTTATTTTATTTATTTTTTTCATTTTCTTATATTGGTGGATTACAGGCTGCATGTGGCCTACAAATACATTTCAATTATGTATTCATTGTAAATACAATTGTTGCACAGATTCAATATTTTAGTTATTTAAATTCCATAAATACATTATTTTCATTACCAAATCTATAAATGGAGATAATTAACTTACAATGTGATAGAAATTTTACTCAAAGATTTGAAGATATAGATTTTATTAACTGAATACTTTTTCCTTTATTTTTTTACAACTCTGGCAATTGCATCTCATTACGTTTTAACAAAGAACAATAAGAATAAATAATATGATATAGTAACACATAATAATTCATAAGGCAATAAGAAAAATAAATTTAATTATAAAAAGAGTAGAAGGGGCATTGGTCATGTCAATTAGTGTTTATTTCTAGTGGAAACTATTTTTCTGTTGCCTCTAAAATGGAATCAGGATAACCATTTTATAATTAAATTCTATCCTTTCTTTAATGAAAATTATTTTTCTCATTGTCTTACTACTGATTATTATATTATTATATCACATTATTTGTTTTCGTTTTTTAATATCGTGGGCAGATAAGGAAAAGTACCATTAACTTTTATTCATGTCTGTCAAACATAAATAATCTCAATTACAAATATTAACGAAAAATAATCGCTTTGCTTACAGATACATTTTATACGTAAACCTTTTTTTTTGGGGGGGGGGCAATTTTGAATAGAAATCTCATTCATCAATAGATTCCTCATATGCGATGTTTTATGCCCTTAGAATTTCACTAAGAGTATAAATGCCCATACTGAGTGTATTGGAAATTGGATGAGGATAAAAAGGTATTTTGTTAGCCGTTTGCTAATAGTATTAAATCTCCTCTTTATTTTTTTTAGATGCCTATCAAGTGGTTAGCTCTCGAATGCATTCAACACAGAATCTTCACACACAAAAGTGATGTCTGGGCATTTGGTAAGTGCTGCTGTATAATACTATCATGTTTATGGAATGGTATTTATTTAAAATTCAGAATAAACCATTTTTTGTTCACATGTTAAAAACTACTTTAAAACATTGCTGTGGTCGTAGTTTTTGCATCTGCTTTATTGGTTGAAATCTGAATGAATAGCTTAATGAAGTTCACCTCTTTTTATTGTTTTTACTTCCTTGTACGAAGTAAAAAGGAAGTATTGTAATCGCGAAAAGTTTCAGCCAGCATATTTCAACGAAAATATCCATTTTGACTGCTATCGAATGCAATTTAACATTTAACGATTTTTGCGTGACATCTGTACGTAAGGACAGAATAAAAGACTCTTTTCCTCCAAAAAATTTAAAACTTAAAACTGCTTTTAAATTAAAAAAAAAAAAAAAAAAAAAAAAAAAAAAAAAAAAAAAAAAAAAAAAAAAAAAAAAAAAATAAAAAAAAACAAAAAAAAAAAAAAAAAAAAAAAAAAAAAAAAAAAAACTGCTTTAAAAAAAAAAAAAAAAAAAAAAAAAAAAAAAAAAAAAAAAAAAAAAAAACAAAAAAAAAAAAAAAAAAACTTAACAAAAAAAACCTGTCCTGTAAAAAAAAAAAATAAAATGAATTCGAAGAGAAAGAGAATGTGAAGAGAATTTTGGGGTGTAAACGTATGTACGTACGTATTTTTTACATACGTATTTATCTCACATAAACTCAAAAACTTTGTATATAGGACTGTTATAAAAACATGTAGATGTGCACCTCATATTTTGGTTGCAATCATCCGCATCATCCGCAACAAACGTATATATATATATCTATATCCATATAGCTTCATGATAATTTCTATATATATCCACTCTGTTACCCGGCTCAGTGATCTCAATTTCTTTTCTTATACTTCTTATAAATTTTGTTGTGCATTTTTTGCTTTAAAATGATTGAATTAATTATGTTGTTCTTATCTTCTTACGGTTAAAATGGTTATTGGTTAAGTTTTTTATGCCTTTAGTAAATCTGTATGCAATATTTTTAGAATTATCAACAATTTTATTTAAGTTGTTTTAAAGTTTAAGTGCCGCTAAGCCTAATAATTTTTTTTTTTTGATGGCGGCCATTGCTTGTTTTACATTTGAAACAGCAGAGTAGTGGATTTGTTGCCAATCTAGAGAAACGTAGCTTCGCCAACAACAGATAACGACAACAAAGATAACGCCTTCATTTATTATTGCGCGAATTAAATGCTTCATGAATTTCATGCTTTAATCCTTTCTGGAATTTTTTTCGAGGAAATAAGTGCTTAAGATTTACTTCGTAATTTTTTAATACAGATATTTTGAGTTTTTGTGTATTTTTGACTTGTCGCAAAGTGAGAACTGAATTAATTGAATGAGATATACTCAATCGTCTTTGAAAAACTATTTCTTTTTTGTTTTGTTTGCTTAATTTCTTTTATACATCGTTCTAGCTTTATTATAGTATTTGAATAGAACATGTGGCAACGATTAGATAATTCATTAAATGATATAAATTTTGTGCATTCTGAGTTATAATATGAACAAAACATAATACTGTTAACTGAACCTAGCCAGAGTGTTGCTATGGTAAACAAATATAGTGAATTTTAAAGAGTGCATTTATTCTATTGTGGTTTATCCGCTGTCGACAAAGTAGATGTAATTCAATCCAATAAGTTTTAAAAAAAGAAATGAAAGAAAAAATGCATATAATTTAATATTCCATACAAGGAAGTCATGTGGTGTCATGTGATGTATGGAAGAATCAAAGGAAGCTCTCTATAGACATTATGATGATTTCTGTACATTACATTATGATGATTTCTGTAGCTTATTGATTGATATTTGCATGTTCTGAGGCATATTTTACCAAGGATGTGCTATTTTCATTGGGTATTGATTAACATACTATGTGCTATTTTCATTGGTTGCATGCTCTAAGATATATTTTACCATAGATGTATCATTTCTTTTGCTGTATTATTCTTGAGTGTAGCAATCCTACATGAACTAATATTAAAATGAGGTGAACTTGGTCAAACCTTTCTTGCTGCATGTCACTCATAAAAGCTTACTTAAAAAGATATTGGTCTTTTTATGAAATATATATATATATTTCATGCTGTTTTTATAATAGCAATGAAATTTTATACACTGAAAGAACAAAACTTCTGAATAAATGTCATGGCCTTTTCTATAGCAGAAATAATAATACATATACATCAAGGGATAATTTTACCAAATGCAAAGGGAAATAAATAAAATCTTTTGCAACAATATTTGCAAAAGTGCCATGTAAGTGTCAATCGGTATTTGCAATCTAGTGTTTTACCAATGTCAGGGATTTAAATGTCTACTTGACAATCTGTAACTGTCTATCTTATGTCAATTCAATTTTTTTGTGATGGCATACTTTGTTGTAATCCAATCCTGTCTCATGACAGTTCTTCCAGGTCAGGGATTCTAAATGTCTCTCTCATGACCTCTAAATGTCTATCTTATGACAGTTCCTCTGATGTCAGGCAGATAGCATTCATGTATTTTGCTGCAGTCCAACCCAATATGATTTTCAGGCTCAAAACTTAATCTTTCATGATAAGTAAAAGTCTGTGTAAAGAGAGTTCTTCCACTGTCAGGCAGATAATCTTCATGAACTTAACCATAATCCAGTCCAGTTCTATCTTTCAGTGTTACAGGCTCTAAAAGTATATACAGTTCTTGCACTATCAGAACTTAAATTTCTATCTTATGACAGTTCTTCCAGTGTTAGAATATAAATATATATCTTAGGATCTCTAAATGTCTTTCTAATGACAGTTCTTTCAATATCAGGCAGATGTCCCAGCCATTCTTTGTTGTAATCCAAATAATCCTATCCAATTCAATCTTTTAGTGTCAGAGTCTCTAAATGTCTTGACTCATGACAATTCTTCTAGTGTCAAGCAGGCAGCCCTGGTATACTCAGTCATAATCCAACTAATCCCATGGAATCTAATCTTCCAATATCATATTCTGTAAATGTCTGTCTCACTATTTCTGAGTGCGTCACCTTATGACAGTTCTTCCAGCGAGTCTCTAAATGTTTATTTCAGAACAAATGTCCGAGTTTTCCAGTGACAAATGTGCAGTCATATCATAGGCAATGTACACATTAAATGCAGCCTCGTCCTATGGCTAAATGTTAAACTCATGACAGTTTTTTCAATGTCAGTGTCTCTAAGTATCTATCTTATGATAATAATTCCAGTGTCAGGGCCCTTAAAGATCCCCTTTTGGCCATCTTTGGTAGTTGCAATACATTTTTGGAGAGCCTCAGTGTGTTATAATACTTAACTTATATTCATTTCATTTTGTCCCGTTAATATCAAGATGTAATCCACATCATTACTGTTTCTAATGTTTCAGAGAGCAGTAAATTAAAATAAGTATTTGGTGAAAACATTTATAACAAATTTTAACGTAGATCATAAATTTTTAGGTGTTACTGTGTGGGAACTGCTTACCTATGGTGGCAGACCGTATGAAAATACACCTGCTAGAGAAGTTCCTGACCTACTGGAGAAAGGGGAACGCTTGCCACAACCCTCTATTTGTACTATTGATGTATATATGATAATGATTAAATGTAAGTATTAGTTTTTGTATTTTAAATTTACTTTAGATTTTCTGTAAATTTTATCATTTATTTCCTAGCAATGTATTGAAGGATCTTGATTTATCGTGCCACCTGTTTCAAAAGCCCTGACAATTTGCCATTCTTTATTTGATGTTATTGTGTCTTTTAGGACAATTGCTACTTAGGTTTATAGGGTAAAGTACTCTTGTATATTATGCTTGGAGCTAAGAGAACATGAGAAGAATGTAAGGAATTTTCTCCTTCTTTCCCATATGTCTTTGGGGTGTAGTTGGAAGCATGCGTGGCTTGCATTCGGAAGATCCTGAGAGTTTTTCTTGCTTTGAAATGCCTCATTACTCTTTATTGTGAATGAATATTAACTTGGGGCTGAGGTGAAAAATTAATTAGAATCATAGTAGGTTTACACTCTCGGTCATAAAAAAATATTCACAGATTTTAAGAAAAAGCATTGCCTAAATCATTCTTTAACCTTTATTTTATTCATATTCTTTTATGTACCTTAAATGTTATTTCAAAAAGGAGTATCAGCTTTTAACTTTTCTTTTGAGTTTGAGGTTACACTGGATGTAAAAAGAGAAATAAGATAATAAGAGTAATGTACAAGAGAGAGATAATAAAAGTAATGAACGTAAAAGAGGTAATAAAAGTGATGTACATTTCCAGTGCATTACATTATATGATAGAAAGAGTTAATGTACATTTACACTACATGAGAGTACAAAGGAAAAGATAATAAGAGTAATATATATGGAAGAGGTTGCAATAATAATGAAGTGATGTACATTAGAGAGAGTAATAATAATAAGAGTAATGTACAATAGAGCAATAATAAAAGCAATACACATTTACAGTACATTGCATTGTAGAAGAGAAAGAAAGCAAGAGAATGTACCTTTATAGTAAAATGTATAAGAGAGAGAATAAAATTGATATACACCGTGAGAAAAAAAAAATCGGACAGTTCTATATCTCCAATTTTACTAGGCCGTTTGATGAAATACAAATTGCGTTTTTCATGTCTTGAAAGCGTGACTTGGGATATGTAAAGATTTAAAAAAAAGTGAAAAACCAAAAAAAAAAGTCAGAGGAGGATGGAATTAAGTAGAGGCTTTATTAAAAGATGGAATTTCACGCCCAAAACACAGCACGTTTCTACAATCACACGTTGCACAGATGCCAGAAACCTAAGCAAAAAGTATAAAACAGTTACAGTAAAAAATAAATGACATTAAACCAAAACGGGGAGTACGTGTGATTATTCTCAAACACCCTCCCTTAATCACATATTTTTTTTACATTTATCTCTTAAATAACAAATCTTGGTTTTTAGAGGCAGCTTGTTTAAACAATCAGCTAATGATTTCACTAGAAACATAGAACCATTATACGGAATTACAATATCGTACAATTTTTAACATATCCAATAGATGTTTTATTTAATACAATTTTTTCAATTTCCACAATATTACCTCATTTTTAATATTGGCTTTTGAATACAAAAAATACAGGGAAGCAGACTAGCTTTTTTCATAAAATAAAAAACCTGAAACTTTAATTAATTAATATTGGTCGAACTAAACTTTAGTATTCAACACACTATTATTACATTTACAGAAATACTAATTTCAGTTCAGATGTCCCCTTTTTTTTAATATCGGAGATTCGCTTCAGACCAGCCCAAGCATTGTTAGTGGGTTTTCTTGTATCTGACTCAGACAGTTCACAGAGAGAACAGAAAATCAGGACGAGTTGTCATAGACAGATTACAGCAAAGCACCTACAAAGTTCACAATAAGGGCCATGAAATCTTTCACCATTCACAAATTTGAAAATTTGAAGTTGACTTAGGGCACTAGAGGAGTATCAGATGGCTTACATCTAACATCTAAAATCTATTTAATTTTTTTCAAATAAGATTTTTGGCCCTCTAAGTAAGTTTGTTCTGTGAATCAAAACTTATTCAAGAAATTCATTTGCAACTTCAGCCTTGGACATCTCAAATTCATTTCTAAGTAATTCAATCACATTTTTACCTCTGAATCATTAGAAACCCGCAATTAGAACCAGCAAGTCATCCACATACAGCACAATAAATATTTCACTCTGTTTAGTTCTTCTTACAAAAGTACATGCTTCACAGTTTTTAGTTGTTGGAAGTTTAACAGAATTATAAAATCAGTAAATCTCTTGAACCACTGCCTCGGTGCTTGCTTAAGTCCATAAAGACTCTTAAAGAAGCTTGCACACAACGACCACTGTTGTCACTGTAGCCCATTGGTTGTTCCATGTAGATTGTTTCTTGGAGATCACCATTCAGAAATGCAGTCTTTACATCTAATGCATAGATTTCAAGATTCTTTTGAACAATGATAGCCAGCACAAGTCGAAGTGATGATGTACTAATTACAGGAGCATAGGTCTCAAAGTAATCAATACCTGGCTTCTGTTCAAAGCCACGAGCAACCAATCTAGCTTTGTAAACATTGTTTCGTTTGATGCGCAACACCCATTTACAGGATATTGGCTTTTCTTTTCATCCTTTGGCAAGTTGACTAACTCCCCACACTTTATTTTTATTAAGAGAAGCTATTTCCTCATCCATGGCTTTCCTCCATAGGACTTGCTCTTCTGTTGGCAATGATGTTATATCCTCATATGTTACTGTATCAACAGTTGCCACATTAGCTTCATACACAAAGTAATCATTCAACTTTACAGGTTTACAGGTAATTTTATATTTCTTTCTTTGCCTAGTAATTTCTTCATGACTTTCTTCAAGATTTCTGGATTCTACATCACTTGAATCACATGTTACTTCATCTTTAGCAGGATCTTTACTTTCTATGGAAAAATCATCTTGAACTGAGATACATTTCTTTTTCTCTTCATTGAACAATACATTTCGAGAAACCACAACATGATTTGTGACTGGGTCCAGTAGTAAACGATAACCCATGGTAGAGTATCCAATAAAAATCATCTTTTTTTGATTTTTGTTTTTGGATCCAATTTCTTTCTTAAGTTATCAGGAACTCTCATGTATGCATCAGATCCAAACACCTTAATAATATTCAAATCAGGGCGGCTTCCCATATTTGAGCTCATAAGCTTCATAAGGTACATTTTCAACAGTCTGATTTGGAATTCTATTCTTAAGATATGCAGATATGTAGCTGTCTGTACAGCATAACCCCAGAAGGATTTAGAAAGCTTTGCTTCACATATTAGAGCTCGGCCTTCTCTAAAAGATATCTGTTGGCTCTCTCAGCCACACCATTTTCAAAGGAGGTGAATATGGAGGAGCAGGATCTATCATAACACCATTTTTCTTGCAATAATAACGAGCTAGTTCACCAGACACGTATTCCTTGGCATTATCACACCGAATTTTGTAGACATCAGGATTCTGCTTTAGGAACAATTTAAACACTTCATTTATGTCACTCTTGTGCTTTAAGAGATGCACTTCAGTAAATCTAGAAAAAAAATCGTCTATGATTGTAGCAAAATACTTTTCACCTTCCCTAGTGGGTGGATCAATGGGACCACATATGTCAGTGTGTACCATTCTCATCGGCACATGCTCTCTGCTTCTAGGACCTTTGTTCATAGGAGTGTTGGAATGTTTTGCTAATATGCACTCTTCACAAAAGCTTGAAGGTGACTCAGATACTGGCAAACCCATTTCTTTTAATATTTTTTATCAGATGAGTGCCCCATGCGCCTGTGCCATAATTCTGCACTATGATTTGCAATATATGTTGAAGCTTTAACAGGTTCAAATTGACTCACATACTGTCCTTTCTCATTGAGTTTAGCAAACTCAAAAATTTTCATTCCTCTTTTCAATAACAGCTACATCATTCTTAAAAATTACACTGTAACCTGCTTTTTGAATATTCTTCACAGATATTAATTGACCGTTCAACTCAGGCACATATAACACATCTTTAAGTAATATTTCTCTTCCATTTAATGTTCCAGGTACTGTACCAATACCTTCTACCTTTAAAACATCATTTTTCGAAGCACATGCAACAGTTCCAGAAAAAGGTTTAATTTCTTCAAACCACTCACCTTTATTACACATGTGTGTAGATGCTCCAGAATCCAGAATGAAATTTCCAACAGGCTCACCAACCATGAATGTTACTGCAGCCGATTCTCTATAATCTGATTTATGCTTAAATCTGCAATCCTTCTTGTAATGCCCTGGGCGTCCACATCCAAAACAAACTAATTTTTTCTTGCAAAGCCTGGCAATATGACCTTTACTTTTACATTTGTGGCAGATGATATCACGCTTATCAGCGCTAAAAGCTACGTTATTACTTGAGCCAGAAACACGAGAATCGTAAGAAGAATTTCTCTCACCTTGCAATTCAATTCTTCAGCATTCAAGAGCCTTTGCATAACAAAGTCCAGCGTAAGCATTTCATTTGGCTGGTTCTCAATCGTCGATTTAATAATGTCGTACTCAGAAGGTAGCGACATCAACAAATAAATAATAATCACATCCATATCTTTGACTTCAGCACCCGAAGAGCGCAGTTCATTTACGATCGCCAACAGTTCGTTAATATGTGACTGCATACTGCAATCTCGGCGTTTCTTCTTCAGTGTCGATAATTTCTTTCGTACTAATATTTGACTAACTGCACTCACCTTATGGTATTTATTCTTTAAACTGCTCCAAATTTCACATGCAGAAGATTCACTCACTCGACATGGTCGCCAATATGGCATCATCTAGAAGGGTTAGCAGCAATGCGTAAGCCTTTTTTGCATCTTTGATTTCAGCAACTTTCGTTTCATCCGCTTCAACGTCTAAATATTTATCAAGTTCTTTGGCTGCAAACACAGCTTCAACACGGCGCTTAAACAGAGAAAAGTTTTTTTACCGTTATTAAACGGCTCAACACAATACTTTGTGTTCTCATCACGTGCTGCCATTTCAAATTTCACTTAACGCGCGATTCCGTTCCAAACAAATAAGTTCCACAAAACAAATATAAATGCTTCGCCTCTAGCGTGTTCAATATCAGAACCACACTCTGCTGTAAAGATTTAAAAAAAAGTGAATCAGAGGCCGATGATAATTAAGTAGAGGCTTTATTAAAAGATGGAATTTCACGCCCATATGGCACAGCACGTTTCTACATATCACACGAGCACAACTACAACTGTTGCCAGATCAACCTAAGCAAAAGTATAAAACAGTTACAGTTAAAATACATGACATTAAAACAAGAACGGGGAGTACGTATGATTATTCTCAACAGGATATATATTAGATTTATGTATAGCGTTAATCTAACAAAAGTATTTTGACACAAAATTGGACTTCTTCTGAAATAACATACCAATTTTTTTCTGTATTTCGATTCTACGACTCAAATTATACCTAGATATTAAATTTTGTAATTTTTGGCAAGAAATTTATGGAGAAATTTAAAAATTTATCTTGGATCAATTTTTTTCCAGTTTGTGCCATGAATAATTTACTTGGTGAATTTCTTAATTTATAGCAACCTATTTTCCTTTCCATTTTTTCATTGTACACGAGTGGAAAAAAGTCAGTGTTCATATTTTCAAATAATTTTAACAAAGAGCATAAGCCATATTTGGCATTATTATCACTTATAACAAATATACCAAATTTCAAAGCATGCCAATATGCAAATTCACGTATATCTTAGGAAATTTTGAATAAAAAACTCCAATATTTTGCAGGTGGGCTTACAAACACATCTACTTTAAGATGATGGTAAAAATCATGCAGGTTATAATACAAACATTATTTTGAAGAATTTATAAAAATTATTTTAAAATACAAATTTTAAAAGACAATCATAAAAAATGGGTGAATTTTATTTGGAATGAACCTAAATTTTGAAATGTGATAGAAAAAATCAAAAAAGTTTAATAAAAAAAGAGCTATTAATAAATATATATCAAATCCAATTACTAACACTGAGGAGCTAAGCTAAAATTTTGAGAGTTAATTTTTTAAAAACTACTTGAGTGATTTTTATAAAACTTGGCACTTTGGCATAATTTGAGTCGTATAATCGAAATATGAAAAAAAATTGGCATGCCATTTCAGAAGAAATCCAATTTTGTGTCAAAATTTCTATATTAGAACTATGCTATATATATCTAATACTATATATCATAAGTCGCGCTTTCGAGACATGAAAAATGAAATCTGAATTTCATCAATTGGCCCAGTAGAACAGCAGATACAGAAATGTCCTTTTTATTTTTTTCCTTCCCACAGCGTACATTTTCAGTGTATCACAGTACACAAGAGAAAGAGATATTAAGTGTAATGTTCATTTACACTGCATTACAATCAGAGCTTAAATTGTGCTGGGGCCTGGCTCTGATACTTCTTAGTTTTTGGGATAAATCCTAATTCTAGGCGGAGCACACCAGAGTCCTAAATAAGAAGGCTCCTGCATTTCTTTTGTGTAACTGAACAACAATTTCAGTAGAAATTTGATCTCGAAAATTTTATTTTTTGCAATAAAATTATATTAAAAATTGCGTATTAAATTTTAGTTTATCTCTTTACATTTAATTTAATTATTTAATTACTTAAATCTTTAATTATTTAAATAAATAATATTCAATTAATGTTATTTAATTAAATAATATTTGATAAATATTAATTAGTAATATTGATTAAATAATAATTAACTATTTAATTTTTAAATTATTAATGATTTTAATAGTCATTTTATTTACTTTTGTTTATTATATTTATTTACTTTTGTTCCTCTTTGCTGACTGTTTTCAATAAGGCTCCGTTACTTCGAATTTCATAAATTAAACTCTCTTTACAATATATAAGGCCGAGATAGCACAAGTAATAAGATAAATATACAAGAAAGAGAATAATATTATTAAAAAGAGATAATAATAGTTTTAATAACAGAGTAATGTACACCTTGCACACACACACACAAAAAAAGGACAGTTCTATATCTTTCATTGCAACACCAACTGTCAAAATTTAACTTGCGTTTTCTATGTCTCGAAAGCACAACTTAGGATATATACTAAATTTATATCATATACACCTAATGATAGAAGTACATGCTGTTGCTAATCTGCTGCAGATAAATATTGGTCAGCCAAAAAGAGGAGGGATAATAGCAGTAATATATAACAGAGAACGTAATAATAATAGAGAGTTAATAATAGTAATGATAACAGAGTAATGTACAAGGGAAAGATAATAATAGTAATGGTAATAAAGTGATGTACATTTACAGGACATTACAACATACAAGAGAGGGATAATAAGCAGAACAGTAAATAATGGGAATAAACTGACACCGTTTAAGCATCGATTCTTAGAACTTTATACACTTCTATTCCTTTGTATATTTTAAATATTATTTCAAAAAGAAGCACCAGCTTTTATACTATCTCTTTGATTTTCAGGTTGGATGTTGGATGCTGAATCACGTCCCTCCTTCAAAGAACTGGCGGACGAATTTGCAAAAATGGCACGAGATCCGGGCCGCTACTTGGTCATTCCGGGCGACAAGCTCATGCGTTTGCCAAGTTATACTCCTCAGGATGAGAAGGAACTGATCTGCAATTTCAGCATGCCCATAGAGGGCTCTGAGGTTATAATGGACGCAGAGGAATATTTGCAGCCCAAGCTGGACCAAGATGATACCGATTCCCCTCCACCCCCTACACCAATTAAGGTAGGGAGTTTTTTTGTTTGCTGTTTGGATATGTTTTTCCCAATTATTTCTATTCCTGCATTTTGTTTGCAAGTGCAGGAGAAGTGCAGTGTGCATAGCTACAGATTTTTAGAATTCAAAACCAGGAGGTTTTTGAACTGCACAATGACCTGATTTTAACAGGATCCCAAACTCCACCAGTTTGACTTAAATATATAATTTGGCTGATTATTAACAGGTTCAAAGTGCATTTTTTGGCGCTTTCAAGCAATGACTGAAATGCAAATTCTCCACATGAGGCCAGTATTGAAAGTCACATGCCTTGCTTAACCATTTTGCCTTTTGGCATTGCATACGAAATGCATGTTTCACATTTAGGTGTCCACTTTTTAGCATTCTACACGATGCCTGCTTTTGGATCTCGGCAGTAACAATGAAATTGTAAAATCATCCATAAAAAATAAATTGCTAAATCATAAGAATAAACTGGTTATACAACTACTAATCTTCTGTTTTTTGTTAAATTCTATTGAAATGGAATAGTGATAAAAGCAAAAACATATTTTATGTTTTGAAATTTTTTCTTATTGTGATTGCTGAAATCACAAACTTAAAAACAGTAAGAAGATTTTTTTTAACTGTTTTCTTATTTTGAAGTGTGTTGTTTTGCAATTCCCTTTTTGTTTTATATAAGAATGTAAGTTTGAGTGTTGAAACCACAAAATTCTTTTGTTTTGTTAAATCTGTCATAAAATGTGTTCTTCCTCTAGACACTTATTTTGATATGTGTTCTTGTTTCCAAATTCATTTTTTAAAGGTTATTCTTGCTTTAAAATTTTCTTTTTCAAGTGCTTTCTTATTTCAAATGCTAAATATTAGAACTTCAAAACAAAAAGAATATTTTAATTTTTATTTTGAAGCATGTTCTTGCTTTGATTTCTTATTTTGAAATATGTTCTTGTTTTTTGATGGTTGAAACCACAAAACACAAACTTCAGAAGGAACACTGCTCTTTTTGTTTTCAAGTGTGTATTGTCTTGAATTCCTCCTTTTGAAGTTTGTTCTCGTTTTATCACTCATTTTGAAGGATTTTTTTTTTAATGCTGAAACCACAAAACACAAACTTCAAACTCTTTTTTTATTTTTACATATGTTCTTGCTTTAAACTCTTATTTTGAATTCTCTTTTTGAAGTGTGTTCTTATTTTGAGTGCTGAAACCAAAGCACACATTTCAAAACAGAAAAGACATTTTTCTTTTGGAGTATGTTCTTGCTTTGAATTCTTATTCTGAAGCTAACTGCAGTCAGATTAACTTTGGACTTTATCTCCACTTATCTGAAGTTTGCGGTATTATTAAAATAAATTTAAATATACATTTTGCTATATGAAACTTTTTTTTCTTCTCCTCTAGAAATTTATGGAAGACAGAGGATTTGATGCAGATTCTCTGAATAGCACTTCACATGTAAATAATTCTCCCGAAATGAATTTGCGTCGCAACGAATTCAAATGCGACTGTCCGGAGGGCCACATGGGATTGAACCACATTTGCCCCAGCAGAGACACAAGCCTCAGATATTGTTCAGATCCTCTGACGACATTAGAAAGAGGTAAACTGTTAAAAAATGTCTTACAGAATTCTGTTAAAAAATTCTGTGTTAATTTGCTTTAGTATTATGGCCCAGTTTTCTATATACTAGGTCAGAGATCTATAGAATTTTATAAAATTTTACATATAGCTTCTATACAATTATGCACAGAGATTCTAGAGAAATGTTTAGATATTATGAAAAAATCTTATAGAATTCTGTTAAAAATTCAATGCTTAACTTCTTTATAACCCTTTAGAATTAATTATAGCCCAATTTTCTATAGACTACATTACATATCTTCTACAGAATTCTTTAAAATTTTAGATATATCTCTATAGAGATTCTATATAGATGTGTGTAGATATTAAAAAAAATGTCTTATTTAAAGAATTCCATAAAAAAATCCTAGCCTACTTTTTTAGAATCCTTTAAAATTATAACCTAATTTTCTATAAACTAGGTAAGAGATCTTTGATGGTATTCACTAAAATTTTCGTTATAACTTTTATAGAGTTATGTATAAAGATTCTGTAACGATATGTGTAGCTATTTCATAGAGGTTTTGCACAGATTGTATTAAAATGTGTGGTATTTTAAGGTTTCTGTGTACAAAATTTTATATACTGTGTAGTGAATCAACAAAGATATACAAAAGTATCTGATCCAGCTTATAGACAACTGGGTCATTATTCTGAAAAATTTTTAACAAGTTTCTTTGCTTTAATTTTCTTCAGATAATCCTATAAAAACATTTGAGTATTATAAAACAACAAAATTTTCTTTTGGGATTGAAAAGAATGAATTAAATTTTAATTTTTGCATACAATTTTGAATATATCATTGTTTTTTGCAAGGAGGTGTAGACCGAGAAATGTTTATGCACAAGAATGGAGCAACATCTTTGAATTCTAAGGATGTGAAACTGGATTTGCTCGTGGATGAAGACGATTATTTAGTGCCTTCCCCGCATTCACACAGTTCAACTGGTTACATGGATTTAGTTGGAGATGCCAAAATGACCTCTTCAGGTTTGCATTAAAAATTCAGTAATAGTAATATTTTTTTGTTTTAAAAACATTTATATACCAGTCTTTGGTTGATCCTTATTTTTGCAGCCGTTGACCATAGATGTACACTACATTACTCATATAATAATTACATATAATTATAATAATTACTTAATAATTACATATACATTACTAATTTTATTGTCTCAAAATTGAAAGGGGGGAAATTATGCTAGTAATTTAATTTCCAAAGAACGAAAAATAATAGTAAGAGCATAACAAATGATAAGTAGCCATGGATAAACTACAGGCAAGTGCCATAATATTATGTCTTTAAAAGAAAACTACACTCCTAGCTGATATGGCTCAATTACCTTTTAAAGCCACGAGGGCACCTTATATGAATGAGACTTATGCTTTACTAAGCAACAACAGTATGGTGCTTGGAGGTAAATGTATTGCAGTGGCAGCACAAAGTGTTCAAAAACTGAGTTAATTATTTGCAGTAAAATTGAAAGATAAATACCATACATTTTGCTGAATAGTAACAGTATGGTGTGCTGGAGATAAAAATGTATTGGGGGGGTAAGCAGTGTTGCCACTGCTCACTTTTAAAGCACTGAGTTTATTAATAAAAATTTGAGTAAATTTATACGAAGTGATAAATAAGTAAATTAAAAATTGGGGCTTCAAGATGCACATGTTTGGGTGGAGGACTATGTGTGTTCAAAATTTGGTGGCTGTACGTGCTGCCATACATACATATATGTACACAAACAGACAGATAGAAAGAGCTAAGTAGATAAATAGAGAGAGGAAGGTAGATAGTGAGAGAGACAAAGAGATAAAGATGTCTAGATATAGATAGATGGAGCAAGAGAGACATTATGTATATATATATATATATATAGAGAGAGAGAGGAGAGAGGTAATTATATATATATATATATACAGTCAAAAGTCGTTAATCCGGACTCGTCGGGACTTCAGCGATTCCGGATTATCAATTTTTCCAGATTATAGATCATCAGTTTAAATCTGGTAAGATGGCATGCAGAAATTATAAAATTAAAAAAATATGAAACCGTAACTTATGAAATAAAGAAGGATTATGATCTAAAGGGTATCAAAAAAATTTACAAAAAAAAAAAAAAAAAAAAAAGCTTAATATTATTTGTTTACTTTATTAAACATTTTTTTCTATGTAAGGTTGTTTTAAGTTGCTTCGTTTTTTATGTGATAATACTTTCTCTTTAATTCTATAAACAGACATAATTTCTTGTTCAGTTACAAAGTTCCGCTGTTCAAGTCCTATAATTGCTGTGTCGAGAATACTGACTAATTTGTCAATCGAAATTTTTTCGTTTTCAATAACCTCTGTGTCACTTTCTTCGCTATCGGAAGCGAATTATAATGACGAGGAATTTGATTTAAATCATATCAAAGACGGAGTACATTGAGATGAAATACTACATTTAGTAAGGAATTATAAGCCAAATAAAATAAAAACATCTGCCCTGAAGATAAGGAAATGTGCTGACAGATCAACTTCCAATTCATTGCGCACACTGCGGCATTCCCCCCTCCCCGCCGCAGAGCAGCATAAAATTAATAAACAGATAATTGTTAGATAAACAAAGGATATGCCTTTATCCATTTTTTGCAGCAATTCCGCTTTTTGTTTAATGGACTTCGAAACATACTTTCGCTTTGTAGATCCTTTACGTATTAGTAAATATATATCGGAAATTCTATTTGACATAATCGAAAATTCAAGTTTACTTTTATAAAATTGCTCTAACAATCTGCAAAAAATAATAAGCCGGACCCAATTCGAAGATTAAGGAACAACGCAATCTGCAACATTAACTGAATTAGATAACTTTAGCTTAGCTTATACCGTCCGTTATACATTAAATGTGCATGCGCACACGCATACTTGCAGCCGTAAAGCTCTTACGTGTATGCTTCAACGCTACGCATGCGCAGAAAGTTTGTAGCTTTGAGGTCCGGATTATAGATCATTCCGGATTATGAGTGTCCGAATTAACGACTTTTGACTGTAATATAAAAAAGGAAATTCATCTTAGCACTACACGAAGAAAATATCCACTATTGCCTATATATATATATCCACTAAATTACCTATATATATATATATCCACTAAATTGCCTATATATATATATATATGCAATTATATATATATGTATATATATATATATATAGAGAGAGAGAGAGAGAGAGAGAGGGAGGGAAAAAGGCAGTGAAAGATAGATAGCAAGAGATACAAAAATAGGTATAGATATCAGTAGATAGTGAGATAAATACAGAAAGAAGGAAAATGAGAGAGGTCGAGAAAAGTAGGCTGAGAGATGCAGGGAATGAGATAGACAGGCACACAGATTTTTCCGTATTAAATTGAGTTTTTTTTTTTTTTTTTTTTAAATTCTAAAGCAACTAATAATTCACTTACTTATTTTTTATTTTATTTTTTTTTTCAGTGCCACCCCATATGGGAAACTTTATTCCTGTACGAAATATACCTCATCAAGCTGTGGACAATTTAGAATACCATTTAATGAAAAATAATTCAAACTCTCCATCGGAATTGCCAGTGGTTGCCCAGCACAAAACCAATAACAGTGATGATGACAGACGAGCATGACTATTACAATGATTATAATGGACTTCAGCGTGAATTATTACAGCCTTTGAATGAACGAAACATGAATGAAACAACCGTGTGACAACAGTGATCAGTTTGCAATACATTTTTCCAGTCATCAACAGAACATTGCATGTCCGATTGCCGTTTTCCCAATCGTCCTATTTTTTTCAGGTCTTCTCAGAGCATTGCAGTTCTAATTAGCATTTTTCAGTCGTCAATACATATTTCCAGTTGTCATACGAGCATTGCACGTGTGATCACCATTTTTCACTCGTCAATAGCACATTTTTCCAGTCATCATCAAAGTGTTGTACGTCCAATCAGCATTTTCTGTCATCACTAGTACATTTTCCCATTTGTCATGAATGCTGCAAGTCTGATTAGTATTTTTCAGTATTGATACACATATTTGTGTAGCAAATGGCATCAGACTGCAGGCTTTTACTTAACATCCACACTTCACCTGATGTGTCCTTCGAAGAAACAAATGAGTGGATTTTGTTGATTGTTATGTACATAATCGAGCAACTGTGAATCGAAACACTTCATTCAACATCTATTTTGAATATATATATATATATTTTTATATGTAACAATATTTTTTCCTGTAGGTATTGCAATGCAAATACTGCATAGCTATAAATCCTACATTTCAAAATATCTGTGATATGTTCTTGCAATACTGAAATGTAACATTTTTTGTGAAAAATGGTTATAAGAATAGTTTATAAGTTGCTGAGTAAGTGATGGATCATTTTCCGTTTTGTACCAGCAAATTTCACTGTTCTTTTTTACTTAAGAGTAATGTTACTACCCTGAGTGGCATGACTGCCTTTATCCAATAATTAGCTTTTTTTTTGTCATATTAGCTTATAATTTAAAGTATATTGCTTTCTTACTTTCTTTAAAGAAAGTAAGAAAGCAAAATACCATTTACAATTTAGAATCGGAAAAGTGATGTAAAAATCATCTTAATGAATGAAAGTTTATGAAACCGGAGACTAAACAATTACATAAATTTGCCTTATTATGTTTAAATAGAAGTCTTCGTGATCAGATCCAGAAAGCCATGCCACTGAGTGGGTTAAGTAACTGATATCCACTTAATTCAGTACTAAAATCTTGAATATTCAGCAGGTTGTGTAATATTTTAGAAATTGTACTTTTTGGGTTAAATATGAATTAATTTATATTTCATCGTACTGAATGAACAGTTTCCTGCTTCAGAGCATTTTGAGACTACCGTTTTTAATTATCAATAAATAAATATATAAAATAATAAAATTATATAAATACAAAACCAAATTATGAATAATAGTTGCATCTAAGAAAATAAGTTTCATGCATATAAAATCAGAAAAGTCACTGAAGTTAATAAAATTTCTCTGAACATGCCAGGTTACTTTTGACTGGGACAGTGCAAAAATTTGTTTAGTATTCTTGAATTTTTTTTATAAAAAGTGTCCTTACTGTTAAGTCCCACTTCCCAAAGTTTCAAATTGTTTCGCAAGAGCATTATTGAAATTTCAATTAATATGCTTTTGAATAAATGTAGTACAAAATTTCTGTTTGTATATAAAGCCATCCTATTTTTCATTTGATATATGTGTTACATTTTGGTGTTTGTGACGTGAAATATTTTAAATCACCTCTCAGTGCTTGGATTTCATTTATGTACAATATTATAAGTTCAATATTAATTGTACCTTTTTTTGAACGATTTTGTGGAGCTTTTAAAACCTCATTTTTGAAGCATATATGAATCTGAAAATTTACCCCTCCAGTCTTCCAGTGCTGTTTTTGCTGCTTCTCTTAGATAGATTGCAGATTTTGTATATACATATACACTCACACACCTAATTAAAATTAAAAAAGAGAAGTAATGAATATAAGTAGATTTTTATTATTTTTAAATACACAAATATAATGAGATAAATGACAAAAATTTGTGGTTTTAGTACACCTTTTCTAAATAAAATTCGATTTACTTTTAAGCCACTATATGTGTTGTAGTGAAGTAATTGAAAAAAAAAAAAAAAAAAAAAAAAAAAAAAAAAAAAAAAAAAAAAAAAAAAAAAAAAGGAAAAAGAAAAAAAAAAAAAAAAAAAAAAAAAAAAAAAAAAAAAAAAAAAAAAAAAAAAATTAAGATATTTGGCAAATGTTTTAGTGATTTTTAAATGAATACTGTGCATTTTTAGTTACTTGCAGATTTAGTGATCAAATGGTGCAAATCACTAAAAATCATCAAAAGTTTAGTAATTTGCAAATATTTAATGATTTTAAATGATTAGTAATACGATGAACGATGAATGATAGAATTTCACCCTTTTTTTATATATTTCTTGTAAATAAACATAATCAGTTGTCACAACACTTCTAGCTAGGCCACTATATGTTGTAATAAAGTAATACTAATCTGACTTAACATCCCGAACAACAATTATTGGAGGTACTAAGGCTACAGAAGTCAGCGTAACATTCTTAAAATTGCAGGACAACTTATGAAATGTTTTATGTGTAAACCTTCGAAACTATTCCTGCAAATTTACAAATATTACACCGATTCTTGTTGCCTAAACGTCTTCAATAAAGTAATACTAAATTAAAAAAAAAAGTCTTGAAGTTTTTAAGATATCTATACATTTATACATGGTATGTGTCATAAATATTGTATACTGTACATGTTTTTGTATTTTTATATATATATATTTTAAATTCAGAGTGATCAATCTAATAATTTTTGACTTTCTAGGTCTAAGAATAGAATGAATAATTTTCCATGTGCATATTTTGTTAATAAAATCTATGTGCAGAAGGTAACTTGTTCATGCTCAGGTGCATAATCATGTTTTGTATATAGTCATATTTATAACATTCCACAAGCATGCTATTTCATCATTCAGAAATAATACAAAGCATGCATTTAATATTTTTGTAAGATTTAGAATATGCTTATACTGTGCAAAGTCTGTCTCATGAAGTAACGGAATAGCCTCAAAAAAAGGCCCTTTATACACAATTTAGGGAAAATCTGTCATTTCTGTTCTTTGACATATTTCCTGTTAGCAGTTTTAACATTGACCCACTCTTATTTCCTACCAGTCAGAGGTGCATTGCAATTCATTTTCTGAGAACTGTTTTAATGCTGTGGGGTTTTTTCTTAACCCCACAGTGACTCAAAACAGGTTCCTTAGCACAGACTTTGTTGAAAAAGGGAAAAATCGTAGGGTTTCAAATTTGGTTGCGTATGGAGGATGTTCCCCCCTAGTTTAGAAATTTATTTCCGCCATGTAACAAGGAGCATTGTCTTGTCTACATGCAGAATGAAACCATTTTGTCAGAGTTCTGCTAATTTTTTTTCTAACTGCAAGACTAATCCCGTTACTTTATAAACAGACACCATATTAGGAAAAATTAAGAAATTTTCAAACAAGGTACATTTAAGAGAAATCTTTTACATGTAAAGAAATTTCATAGGTAAAAAAGGTATATTCTTTTTATATGTTAATGAGTGTTTAACTTTTGTCTCTGTGTTGCCATTTTACAGATTAAAATTTTTCTGTAAAGGATGTTGTTAATTTTTTTTTTGTACATATTTTGTATTTGTGTATCTTGTTTCACAATATTTTATTTTTTTAATATAAATTCCTAGCCCTGTATTTTTCTAATAAGTGTTTGTGAAATTTACTTGAGATTTGTTTTAGGTATCTTCAATTTGATAAAAATTTACTGTACAGTTTTGTAGAGTGAAATATGTATGATTTTAAATGTCAAAAACTCAATCATATGCACTTTGCACTGTGGTGGAGACATCGAATGTGTATAGTGTTTGTTTTGTTGTAAATATATGTGAATAGAAAATTAACAAAATTAAAAGTCATTAAATATAATATTTGATCATAACATTTATTAGCCCATTAGCACACTGTTCCTTATTCAAACAGAAGAGTAACATAATTTGAAATGATGTTTATTGGTGGAGCACGTTAAGAAAATTAAAATGCAATCAGAAGTTATTTAACGAGTTATACGATTCTACGAAAGTCCTTACTCAGCCTTTATTTTTGCAACTGTTGACATAAGACTTCCAGTTACAAAAATGCTTAAAATTATCCTTTAATTTTAAAATTAAAAAAAAATTAGTTTTGTATAAAATACCAAATCTAAATTTTTGCACATTAATCTGGTCCTTTATACTTACATTTAGTAAACTTTTACACTCATTATAAAAAATAAGACCCCAAAAGTTAGACTCTAGTATGACAAAATTGATCAGGATGTTTAATTTTAAAATCAATGATTTTTTATGTCATTTCAAATTTGTATTTAGCGGATGGTTAGTAAATAAATTAGAATAGAATATATCAAGGTTGATTTTCCCCTCTTAAATGCTATTCAATTATACTGTTATGAGGTATATTATGAATTTATCAATAATAATCATTAAAATAATTTTGTATAAAATGTGAAATCTAACTTCTAACATTAATTAGGAAAATTTTTTACTCATCATAAAAAAATAAATGACGTAACCTCCATACAACAAAACCGATCGAGATGTTTAATTTCAAAATGGAAAGATTTGCATTTAGAGATTAGTTGATAAATAAAGTGGAATTTATGGTCGATTTTTCTAATCTTTTGTGATTTATTAGTGTCTTTATTTATAATTTTGTTACATTTGGTATGTCAAAAGAATTTTCACAAAAGTAATTATATGTTTTCAAAGTCTAAAAATACATTATTAATATTCTCACGAAGTTTTATTGCTCTGCAATCAATAAATAACAATAAATTCATTAAAGCATGAATATTTTTCAATTTAAATGAATGCAAATTATATTACGAGTTGGCTGCCTGTCTGTACCAAAGCCTGCCAGGTTAGAGATAAAAATGCAAATATCTCGCACTTGAATTTGTAAAATGCTCCTCAATATGATTCTCGATTTTAATATCAACTATCTCATTCAGTTTTTGTTGTACAAGAGTCAAACTTTTTGCATTTCATTTTTCATAACAAGTACAAAACTTTCAAGGAATGTGTAAAAAATTATATTTAATTTTATTACATTATATTTAAAATTATATTAATTTTTTAATTTTAAAGTATGAAACATGAATCTTTGTGTTATTTAAAACTTTTCTTAAAGTGTACATCAGTGGTTGCAAAAATAAAGGCTGGGAAGACTTTTCTGAACATGGTGTATATAACATTCAGCGCAAGATAAAATCTCTCTTTCCTGTGTGATATATGTGCTTATGGGTTAGTTTGAAAAAGGTGTTATATCACTAAAAATGCAGTTAATCATGGCTTATCAATTTTTTTCCTCTCAGAATTATCTTCGTCTCTTTCTTATTCCAGTTCATGGGATACTGTGTAAAAATGCATCATTTATACAATAAACGTTATTTTATATTTTGACTCGTTTCTTTATATTTCTTCAAATCTGAATGGCTTCAGATCTGAAAGGCTGCAGATTGGAAGTTGGCCTAAAAGGCTTCTTTTAATGTCTTTAATGACACTCGTACAGCTCTTTTCATTATGACAGATTAAATTGACAGGCAGTGTAAAACAGTCATTAGGATGCAAACTAGTTGGCATTGCTCAGTAAAATTCAAGGAAATGCCATCAACATAGTTGGCAGCCTGTGCTCCACAGACACAGATTATTTATTGCATTTCTGGAGAATTTGGGTGCTGAGTGTGGTGACATCTCACTGTACTGTCAAGTGCGCTAAATGCTGGAAATTGTCTGCAACAGTGTTTTGGATTGAGGAGTGAAATTCTTGCGTTTCTCAAAAAAGGAAACATTGGGCATGTGTATCAAGAAAGGCCGGAAGATCCAATTTTTAAATAATCTTGCGTTTCTGACAGATTTAAAATCTCATGTAAATGCTTTAAACCTGAAACTACAAAGCAATATATATATATCCCCAGCTTTAGGAGCATATTGAGGGCTTTCACAAAAATTTAATGTAATGCAAATTACACTGAATAATAATACAGCACACTTTCCATTTTATCAGCAGTTCAAAGAACAAGAAAATGACACAAATTTTAGTACGTTTCATGAAATAATTCTTATCAAGAAAGAGTTCCAGGATTTTTTACTCCTTAAAAACAAAACTTTCACCATTAAACAAACCCCCATGGAGATTGAAGTAAGTGAGATGACTTGCGACCGTGATCTTCAAGTAGATCCATTCTACCAGACAAAAGTAACTGATTTCTAAGGAATGTTTTCCAAAACTGCTTAAAATTCTCTCTGCAAATGTTATTGCTGTTTGGTAGTACATATGTGTGTGAAAGTGTTTTTCCTGCTTTCAGACAAATTAAATCAAAAACAAGAAATCACATTGAAAGTGTCTAACTGGAGTTGAGACCAAGACCTTTGCCTTACTGAAGTTAGAGTGAACATTGATAAACTTGTATAAAAAAAGGAGTGCCAATCATCACATTGATTTCTAGACTGTAAAATAAAGTGATTTATTAAACTAGTGATTTATATGTAAATTGTTTTCAGCAGATAATCAATGGCAATGTTATGTGAAAAATTATAATTGATTTAAGTTTTTCATACAGAATTTGTATCTCTTTATAATCTAGCTAACTAAAGAACTATCTGCTTCTGCCAGAATGCTTGGCAACATCTCTAACTTTCATGCTGGATGTTTTTATAATTGGATCAGATTTTTTACTTTCATATTAAAGGTCTATGATATCCATCAGCTCTCATGAGTGAAATCATATACACTGGTTATCATAAATTAAGGAAAAATCACAAAACAGCAATAACTCCCTAAAAAATAAGCCAAACCATGTAAAATTTGAATATATTGCCAAGTAAGAGTAGCTGAGTAAAACTTCAATATGCAAATTGTGGCGCTGCACTCGGAATACATCATCTGCGAGGGGTATAAAAGTCCATGTTTGAGAGCAAGCCCACATATTTCACTGTGATAGTGACATCATAAATCTGAGATAGCCAATTCGTAACAATGATCTCCGGCATCATTTGCTTGCAGAACTACGACAGAAAGCTATTGGGAGACTAGAGGCAGGACAAAGTTAAACAGAAGTGACCAGATGACTAAATGTGAGTTCTTCTGTGGTTCATAGACTTTGGAGGCAATTTCAAATCACAGATTCGGCACCTAGGAGGTTCAGTCAAGGACGGCCAACTGCTACGACGAGCGCCGATGACCAATATTTGACATTATGTGCACTCAGGAATAGAACCGCTACTCTGACTCTTCTTAGATCCTCCCTTGCTGCAGCCACCGGAAAGTTGGTGTCAAACATCAACTGTGCATAGAAGGCTTCACAAAGGTGGTCTGTATGCGAAGCGAACAACCATCTGCATGCTGCTCAAGTCTCGCCATAGGAGGGACTGTTTGCAGAGGACATGAGAACATGTCCACAGGACGCCTGAGCAATGGAGGGCTATTCTCTTTACGGATGAGTCCAGGTTTAGTCTAGAATGCGATAGTAGGCATTATTTGATATGGAGAGAACCTGGAACCCGTTATCATCCGTGAAAGAAATGCATACGGAAAAGGCAGTGTCTGTGTTTGGGGTATCATCTTTTTGGGTGCATGCACAGACCTACATGTGTTTTTCCAAGGAGAACTGTGAATGCTCATGTTTATAGAGATGACATCCTTGATGCTTATGAGCGCCCATATGCCGGGGCAATAGGTGATGCTTTCCTGCTACAGGACGACAATGCAAGACCACACAGGGCTCGCATTGTATATGATTATCTTTAATAGGAAACAATAATGCACACCGAGTGGCCAGCTCGATCTCCAGACTTGAATCCTATAGGGCACGTTTGGGATGCTTTAGGGAAACGTCTAGCTACTCTCAATCCGCCCCCTTAGACCCTTGCAACTGCTTTGCAAGAGCAATAGCTCTTGCTTCCTATGAAACTGATAGACCACATAATTGAAAGCATTACACATCACTGAATGTGCTGTATTGCTTCTAGAGGCGATTATATTCCATATTGAAGGTATTTTTACGATAGCAAACTGACATCTTCGATTTGTTCATTTTATACATGTGCTAATTTCTATACTACCATAATTACCTGGTAATTAATTTTTATGTTGTTTGATACCTTACTATGTGTTGTATATTGTGGGTAAGTTTCATAAAATTCTACATGTAACTTTTTCAGCAATCATTTTTCCTTAATTTATGATAACCAGTGTAATTTCAAATGTACGTTTTTGATATTCATGTTGGTAACAAATATGATGATTGTTTTTATAATTAAGAGTGAAATTTTCCCCGCTGATTTAGCTTTTCCAATGTGAATTTTTCATATACTCAACTATCCAGAATTTTCAAGTTACTAGAATTTGGCATTTCTTGAGCTTTTCAGATAGCTGAACTTTTTCTGCATTTGATTTATGTTTCATGAAGTTCCTTCAATCTCAAAATCCTCAATCTGTCACTTTTCCAGGATATCACGAAGTTTCTAGAGATTATGAGTGAAACAGCATAAACCTGTAACTAAGAAAAATTACAAAGGTTGAGGAAAGACATGACATGTTAGGCATTGTAAACATACCTGATGTTTACAATGTGTTATGATGGAAAGTGATCATTGTGTTTAGAGGATGCATTTACATACATTGCTCAAAACTATTAGGAAATACTGTGAGTTCGGTATGAAATAACCACATAATCGACAACTTTTATAACAAAAATAAAATGGAAGAGGTTAAAAAGGAAAGTTATAACATTTACAAAGTTGGGAATGTGTGAATTTTGTTTATGATGTTGAGAAAGTATGCATTTTTGATAGGGAGTGAAAAGCAACTTGCAGCATTCCTTATGTATGAGAACATAAAAAACAACTGACACGTGGTGAATGTTTTCTAACATTGAATAAGATGTCTTAGCAAAATAACTTAGTTGAATTGGTAGCCTGGAGAGCCATTGGTCATTTAGAGGCAAGTCAAATGCAATCCATTGTAGTGGAAGTGTTAGAAGTTTCTCAAAGTGTCATTTCCAGATTATGGAATCAGTTTCTGGAAACTGGAAATAGCTACCGAAGATCACTAAGTCGTACGTCTACAGCAACACAAAAGGATAGGATCAGTCTTTAACAATAACTTATAGAAGACACCATAGTAAAAATGCTCCTTTCTTGTAACAGCAACTTCAGATGGTTACTAGTACCACAGTTTTGACTCAAAATTGTTCAAAACAGACTCGCCCATGTGGATTTCTCAAAATTGTTCAAAACAGACTCGCCCATGTGGATTTGTATGCTTACAGATCTATGGTTTGTTTTGATTCACACAGGACCACCGTGCTGCCGCAGAAGGTGAGCATACGAGCATCTCGGATGGGGATGAAATGAGCGGAGCAACGCGCTCTTCACAGACATGTACAACACAAAATAGGCATATTCTCATCTAGAAAGAACTTAGTACATGGAATACTTTTGCATTTATGTGTGAAAGTGTCTGATTTGGTGGAGGCAGACTGATGATCTGAGCCAGTATTGCTATCAGTGATCACACTGACCTGCATACTATCAGAAATGGAGCACTAATGGCTCAATGATATAGGGATGAGATCCTAAGACTTATTGTCGTCCTTTATGCTGCAGCAATCAGGGGTGAATTCATTCTCATGGATGATAATGCCAGACCACATAATGCTCAGCTAGTGGGCAATTTCCTTTTCGATGAAGGAATTCTTCAAATAGATTGGCCAACGTATTCCCCAGATATGAACTCAGGGAGAAGGATTGCTAGTCATTTCACCCACAGAAGCAATTCAACAGTTTGAAAGCTCTCTTTTACAGGACTGGGAGAGAATACCTCAGTTCTTCACTGATAACCTCATAGGTGTGAGACATTGCTTTTCGTCAGGGGAAACAATACTCCTTATTAGAACTCATTTATATCCAAGAAATCACATTTTTTGTTTGTTTGTATAATAAGCACAAACTGCATTTTTTGCTTATCAACAAATATCATCAATAAAATTTAATCATTCCTTGTTTATTGCTTCTTTTTCTTCTCTCATATCTTATAACACCTATACATAATATATAGGTCACCAAAACATTTCCTCATCCACAGTTTACACCTAAAATCATAACATACCCTAATGGTTTTGAGCACTGCATGTATATATGCACTGCTGGCCATTAAAATTGCAACACCATGAAGGAAAGCAAATACAAAAAAGATATTTATTGTACATAAACAGTATGACATGAAGATACAATAATTAAATTTGTAAGCAGTTTGGGGGTTTACAGGGGTGCGAAATTAATAAAAACAGCTTCCATCCTTGGCATCTCAAACGGCCCTTACCTGGTTAGGCATGGAGTTGAACTGGGCTTGGATGACAGAAATGGACAACTCATTCCATGCTGCTTCAAGTCTATGCCACACTTCATCAAATGTATTAGCTGCAGAAGGGTAGCAGGCCTCTTTCAGCAACCCCATGACCAGATGTTTTCAATGAGTGACAGATCTGGAGACTGCATGTAACCAGGTAAGGGCAGCAATCAAATACCCTGTGTATCAAGGAAGGTCAGAACACAACATGCAACATGTGGTCTTGCATTATCTTGTTGGAAGATGGTGTTTGGCAAGCCTCGATGATACAACCACTGGACTTAAGATGTCAGAAATAAATCGTTGTGCATTCACATGACTGTCGATCTGAACTAGAGATGTGAGTATCATGCACCCCAGGTGCAGGGCTCCTATGCCAATATTGAATGCAAGCAAGCGGCATGCAGTCTCCTTGGAGCCTCCAGACACATATACAGCCATCAAAATACTGCAAGAAGAACCGGGATTCGTCTGAAAAGGTAACATTGTGCCACTCCTGTTTCAAGCTTTGTCGTTCGGTGTACCAGAGTCGCTCTCTTTCTCTATGCTGCATTGTTAAGGGAAGCTGAAGTAATGGTCGTCATGTTGATAGTCCACGTGGCTGCAAACATTGACACACCATACGAGCAGATACTATGCATGCTGCAAACATGCCCATTTCCTGACTAATGGTTCGTAATGTGGTTGTACAGTTTTGCAGGGCTGACCTCACAATATGTCTCGAGCGTCAGTCATAGGACGGTCACTAACGTCCCATAGGAAGGTGCTGGGATCCTGCATGCTGTTTAATATGACCCTCAGCAATCCACTGATTCCATATTCGTATGACAGTGGTTGGATGTTGACCAGTGTGATGGGTGATATAACGGAACGATAATCCACACTCTTGATAGGCAACGATCCTGCCTCTATCACATTCTGACACTTGCTGGTAAGCATTTCTTCTTACGATTTGAGATATAACACGATATTCTGAGCAAACTCCGACCTTACAAAGCACTTTCTGAATGAGAAATTCACTACACAACTTTTCTTTTATGCAGATCTTCAGATATCGTTTCTCTCTCCTGCATCGTCTAACCGAGCTGATAATACTAATCATTTGCATATCCCAAATTCTTTTTGATGTCTTAGATCATTACTTCTGGTTGTTGCAATTTTAATGGCCAGCAGTGTCTACGTAAATACATATGTAAGACGAAAATATATAAATAAAAATACTTAAATTTGCAATACCCCGTTAATTCTTAATTTTGGTATTCACAGTGGCATAGCTAGAGGCTTTGCTGCCTAGGGTGGTTTCTGAATTAACTGTCCGGGATGGGCTCTGATTTTGGTGCCCAGGGCGATCTTTGAATTTGCACCCCCTTTTGATAAACAAAGAAATAACTAAAAAATGTCAAAATAATGTGTGTTTGTGTAACTGAATTTAAATTCTATATTTGTTTTTGAACAAAAATTTAATTTAAACATTTTGAAATTATGTTATTATTTTGCTTGTTGTTTGTTCTCAAAACTACTGATGACATAGCAGACGCTTGATTGACTGGAAGCATATAAAATTTCTTAAATGACTCTTTAAATGATTTTTATTTAAAAAACTCTTTTCATAACACTCTCTGGAAACTGTAAACATTGTTAGGAAAGTCCGCAATAGTATCAGTATTTGGAACTTTGTTCTCTAGACTGTATCTTAGAATGAACTGTAAAAATTCAAGAGGACTGCCATTCCACGTTCCCATTTTGTTTCTTTTAGCAATAAAGAAAATAAAGCTTTTGACATGTTTCTCCCTTAAAAAGGAATTATTCATTATTAATGTTCCCATGATCATAATTTAGTTAATATTGTTAGTCATAATTTAGTTAATAAAAATTCCTCTTGCAGAGTTTACAGCCATTACAAGGTGAATCTGCAATAATATTGCAATACTTGGAACTTTGTTCTAGAGATTGTATTTTAGAATACACTGCAAAAATTCAAAAGGATAGCCAAGTTCCCATTTCATTTCCCTTAGCAATAAAGGAAAATAAAGTCTTGAAATGCTTCTCTGTGAACCTTCCAGCACGCACGTACGCGCAAAATTTACATCAAATTCTGTTTTTAATGCACATTTTTCGTATATCGAAGCTGAGACGTCTGAAGGTCATTTCTATTCCTTCTTTCTACCCTTCCCTACATCATGGAATGTGCCAACAAGAAGTCATTTGACTTTTCTTTATTTTTGGGAGGCTTTTGTGCTATTTGGCAGCTTTTTCGTAAAAATTACGACTCGTGCGTAAAAACTCTGAAAATATATTTTTCTCAAATATTTTGTAATCTGTGTTATTAATTGCCGTGTATTATTTTAATTTGAATACTGTAATTTTTATATTGGTTTTCATGGCCAAAAAATATGTGCAACCAGCTGATTTTGCTTGCATTCTTCAAGAATTATCTGATGAGGAAAAAGAAGACAAAGAACCTTTGGATGGGCCATTCCTTATTTTCTTTTATTTCTATTTTTTAGAAAAAAATAAAAATATTAAAGCTAGTTTAAAGTGCATCTTTGTAATCAGTAAGAAGTAAATTTTCTTGCAGAAGTAAGTAATGCTAAACTTACTTTTTTTCCTACCAAGGTGAGCGTGTTTTCCTTTTTTATTTGTCTATACTTGCCTTTGATGAATATTAAAAATAGCTTCGATTTAAAATATATTATTAAATAATAATTTAAATTTTCTTAATGAAATACATCATTGCATTTCCATCTCACATAACATAAGAACTTGAAAATAATTTACTTATAGTATTTGAATGTGATATCATTTGTATTTTGCAATAATAAGGTTATTTATTTCTTAACAAATTTATCAATATTCACTCATTTCTGTTGTTTTTCATGCCAAAAATGGTAAAATAATGGATGTAATAAAAAATATGACACGTGCGTGCTGGAAGGTTAAAAGGAAATTATTAATGTCACCATGATCATAATTTAGTTAATACTGGTAATTTTTATTAAAAATCTTGAAGGAATAATAAAAATATGCACCTGTTGAGATCATGTGGTGATTTCTTTAAATATTTTACATAAGGTAAAAACTGTATTTCTTCTAAATTCAATTCATTATGACAATTCAGAAAGTAATTTATCTTTATCTGCTTTAACAAACCACACGAAAACTGCCACGTCCCAGAATGCGCCACTTGGAGTGGATTGCTCTTTCTAGGTATTGGGTATTTGCCCTTTCTATTTTAAAAACAGTAACTGATGATGATAACCTTTTCTGGACTTTGTCATTTCTAGATTAATTCGTATTATATGACTTTTACATGATGCTCTGAGGAAAATAACTTGGGTAAGCCTTCAGCCAATAATAATTTTAGAGTATCTGATCAAAATGAAATCAAAAGAAACTCACTCTGAGTTAAGATTTCATCCTAAAGACATTACACTTCACTTCCGTTTCTCAGTCCTAGCAGGACTACTGCTTGTTGTTTCTTTTCTTACAGCAAAGATCTCAAAAATGTAAAGGTCATGCTCGAACAGGCAGGATTACCGTGCCCAAGTTATTTGCAGCTGCAAAATGTCAATTAAAATTAAAATTAATCCTATCACTGCATACTTTTTTTTTTATCAAAATAGGTTCAAAAATTGCATATTTTTAATTACATATTTCAAATCTACATATATTTTAGAGTTGAAATATACAAAAATTGTTTGTAAAAGAGTTTTTTTTCAATACAGAATTAGATCCTAAGAAAAGGTTGTCAGAATACTGAAATTGAAGAATAATGATATAAAAGGAAAATTTTGAAAATTAATATTGGTTAAAGCCTGATTTATTTTATAAAATACAAAGGTAAAACATATATACTATATATCATATATATATAAATTTTGTCATTCAATGAAAATATATATATCAATTTTGCACCACTGTCAAATTTTGCACTTTTCAATAGAAACTGAATTTTCAGATTCATCACTATCTGCAGAGGATTCCGAGAAATTCTCATCAGTTTCGCTATAACTATCTTCAATATTTTTGAAATCAGCGTCAGAACTACAATCAGTGTTGGAAATATCGTCAAGAATATAGGTTATATCACTCGCAAAACACTTCCTGCCACTTGCCTTCCATCTTTGAGCTCTGAAAAGCACACGCAAAATGCTACATTACGTATTCTTGTATATTTGGCAGAAATGTAGACAACTAATGTCATCTGTTAGCCCACATCTAAATAAACAATTAAACATCACGGAAAAGCCGAAAGGAAACCTTGAACAGGTTGCACAGTTAATAGACATAATACAGTAAATAGACGGCAAAAATTCATACCCGCGATGCAAATTTTGATACTTCTACGTTGCCCATGGAAATCACGTGATGCGCAGTGAGAGGGTTAATATTTAAATATGCTTCAGCTGCTTGTTATTAAATTTGCAAATTTTGTGGCATTATGGCTATGCATGTTTCAACATCTGTGTCATTTTCTATATTATTACATATACATATACAAATTTTTATACATAATAAAGTACTTAATATACTATATATGTAAAAAATACACCAATAACGGTTAATTTATATCCTTGTTCATATAAATATATTGTGGCTTATTGAGAATCAATCAGTGTTACACTGAACGAAAGAGCAGATTTATGAGTATGTTTTTACTTCATGCTTATCAACAAATGGTGCTAAATTATGCGGCTCGGTGATAATTTTATGGTCGATGGGATAATACCTACCTGATCACCTTATTATAATAATTTTTTTGTTATCTTTTTTACTTTAAACTGTTCTGGAGGAAACAAAAAATTTTTTGGGGTTGGTAATTTTTACTGTATTTTTGCATCATGCACTTGCTACATTTTCTCAGAAATGAAGTTGAAGTAATCTATTATTCCCCGCACACTTTATTTTGCCAAACAAAAGAACAACAATACCAACACACACAAAAATAAAACTTGAATGATTAATTCTTATGAATGAAACTATACATGATGTACAAGATGTTAAATATACAACATAATTGTAGTCACAACAAAACAGCTGATAAAGTATTGCAAAAAGAACTAGAGATTACTTTGAAAGAAGTTACTTGCTTTTTTTTTATTTAGAAATGTTTATATAGAAGCACACACAAACTGCTGCAGTTAATAATCTATTCGATGAATTTTGAATGCAAACACCTAACTATATCTGCCAGAAATTGAAAAACGCGTATCCATAAGTAGTTCAAACTGGAAATATATATCATCTCCCAAAGATGCCACTAGACTGTTGCTGCCATTGTATTGGGCATAGCAGTTAATATATAAGTACCCCAAAATCCGTAATACTTTATCTAGAGTAATTCACACTATGAAAAATTTCTTAAATAATGTTCTCTTTAATTCTTCTTAATTATTTCATCAACTCTGCTCCATTCTTTCCAGTGGTGAAAATCTTTGTCCAGGCTTATTTTCTTTCTCACAGCATTAACAAATAAATGCAAACAACATTATGCAATGCTATAAAAACACTGACATTTTCCTTGACACAATTTTTTACTATCAAATTTAAAAACATAATATACCATTAACGGCTGCAAATTTTTGACGTTAGGTACAAGCAAATCATCATTCTATCCAACTTCTGATTTTTGCACTTAATATGTATTACTCAAGAGATCCAAAAAGTATGGTTCATCACCACATGCTGTAATCAACATCGTCATTGTCGAAGGCCAGGAAAAACCCAAGTATAGTGAGAAATACCACGATGTTTCCGGCAAGAACCAGGCCACATGCTCCCCAAGTTATCTGAAATAATCAAGGAATAATTGGATATAATAATGAAGTTCCCTGAACAAAAAAAAAAAAAAAAAAAAAAAAAAAATTAAATACTCACATTATCTAAAATAAATAAATAAACAGAGACTAACTGAATGTAATAACAAAGTTCCCTGAACAATAAAGAAAATTAAATACTCAGGGAATAGCTGAATAACCAAATTACTTGAAATTACTGAATAATTGAGCAATAACTGGGTAATAAAAATAATAAAATAATCAAATTATCTGATATGCAACAAAACAGTTAAAAATTTTTAAATTGCACACGCAACCATAAAAAAAAAAAAAAAAACACCACTCACATTACACTTCAGAATTTGTTTAAATATTTATTACGTATAAGATATATTTAATAGATTTCAATCATATTTTGTACAAATTTAAGGAACATTTGGTTAAAAACTTATTGTTGCCACTCAGCAAAACACAAGATATTTATGCTTGAAATTTAATCAGAAATCTCAGGTATAGAAAAGACATATGTTTGCAATTAAAATTTAGTTTCTACACAAAAACACAATTGGTTAAAAGTAATTCCAGTTATTTTGGGGGGAACTCCCCGCACATTTATGTAAATTTATAAAAACACATGAAAATTATAAAATTCGAAAATGCAATTACCACAGGCTCTGCAGCAGGCGCTTCAGCCATTATGATAGGAAGTCCGAATGCTGAGATGATGATCCCTGTTGTGAGGAAAATGGCAAGTTCATGACAGGCATTGGTGGTCCCAATGTCATCTGTGTATCGACGGGATATCAAAGTGGGAATGGGTGACAGGAGGTAAAATATGAGGACAAAGAATGGATACCAGTTGCTGAAATACAAAGAATCATTCATGAAATATAAATGTTAATGATTAAAAATTCTCTTAAGTAGAAACTACTACTAGGTCTAAACTTGCTTCAGTAAAAAATATTACTATGCCTTTACATTCTTAAGTAAAAACATGTTACCAAGTAAAAAATATGATGTGGATACCAAATGACATCCTTGTACAGTCTATTAAATTATACACATTTTTTGGTGCACTTCATTTAAACTGATTTCTTTGAATGATTCTAATGCAAATTTTAAAATTAAATATCTTGGTCAATTTTTGTCATAAGGAGGAGTCAACCTTCTTATAACTTTACTTTTTCATAACGAATATAAAACTTTCCCAAATATAAGTATAGGAAGTGGGAAACTGCATTAAAAGTTAGATTTCATTATTTGTCAAAAATTATTTTAAAAATCTGACAATACCAAAACATGAGCATTTTCATCATTTTAAACACTTCTGTAATCAGAAATATGTGTCTATGACCAACGTATTGGAAAATAAAGCCCTGTATATACATTGTATATACTTTTGGTGCTGTTGATTGAAATAAAAAGGGAAGGTCAACAACTAAATGTCACAGCAGTCCTGTATATAATAATTCAATGTTCTACGGCTAATCGTTTTTGATTTATATGAGATACATATGTATGTACATAGAGAGGTCAAGAAAATGCCCATTTTGAACATTTAATATGATACCTGAAACTTTTCACTATTATAATACTTCCTACAAAGAAGTAAAAAGTGTTACTCAGTATAAATGTTCTAAAGTAAAAAAAAAATGTTGCTAAGTTTAAATGTTTTAAAGTAAAAAATAAGTACACAAATATTTCCACTAAAATCAACCTTCTAATGTCTCTGAAATTCCATAATTTTCCATAACCATACCTTCCAACTTCGAAATATGGAAAACCTGAAGGTGCTGAAGGGTTATTTCTATTTATAGACAAGTAAGGGGAAACAGCAACATAATAATGCGAGTGGTAACAGCGATTTTTTGAGCGAATGGCAACAATGATTAATATTCTAGTACAACATTTCTCTAACTTTTTCCATATAGGGACCACTTTTATAAATTAGAACATTTCATGGACCATCTGAAAGCTAGCATGTCACTACTAGCATACTTATAAAGTGCAATTGCTTAAAATTCATGAATCTTACACAGTAAACACATGATCAGCCTTCTTTTTTATTGCATTCAATAATCTAATTGTTACCAATAGTTCTAATGTTCCTAATTCCAATATTATGTTTTTGAAGATCGATTTCAGCTTTAAGAAGCTTTTTAACATCATCAGATGTGCAGTTTTCCACACTCACAATAACACAGCAGTCTGAGCCACAACATTAGCATAAGATTTTGTTTCTGTGATAGAATTCAGTAAGCTTTCTTTACAAACTTCATGGAATTTAGACTTAACATGCATGCTCAACATATCTTGTAATCGAACTTTTAATCTCATCAAAAGCTTTCTCATTATGAATCTGCTGTTTCATGTTGTACGTGGATACGATGGTTAATTCCATTTTTTTAATTGTTCAAAACTGCATAGAAATCGCCATCAACACAATCTGCTATACTGGCTCTAATCAATTCCCAGATTCTAAAAAAATACAAATGTGCTTGCAATATAATTTAGGTCACGGATTTCAATCCTGCATCTTTGTAGCTCAAATCGCTATCAATGTAGAAATTCTAAAACTCTTAGTAACTCCAAATGCCATAGACGGTTTTCCTGCCAAAATAAATTATTTGTCAACACGTTTCCTGCCGAGAGACAATTTCAAAAACGGTTCCACCACGTCAATAAATTTTAATTAATTAATTGTAAAATAAAAATACAAAACATGTATTTTATGGGAAAGAAATTTAATTAAGATAATTTTTAATTGCTTTATTAATTACACGAGTTATATCGTAGTCGGTTTTTCAATTAAATGTTTTATGACAGTGCTAACTACGAGTATATTTATAGTTGACGGTTGCTTATAACAAAGGTTGATTACTTTTACAACAATTATTATAACAAAGATTATTATAATTTGCTTGATTATTTTGACAGTTCCTATGTTATTTACTTTATAATTGCTTATATTAATTATAATAAATCTATTGAAGTGTACCAAATTTTTGCATTTTTTTGTAATCCCCAAAACCAGATACCTTCAAAGAACATTAAAATACTGTGAGTTTGATCGTATGTGGCATAGGTTAAACAAAAATATTCTACGAATTAACTCGTAGTTGCCGCCTAAACAAAAATTCTGACTTATGAGATAACTCGTGGTTGGCAGTGAATGTGTTAAAAATGTAATAATATTGTATTTGTATTGTAATTTATTTGCAATTTTTTGCTGCCTTAAAGCATTTTATAAATCATTCATTTTATTTCATGTAATAAATAATGAATGCATATTATAAATATATATATATTTTTTTAACATTGATCAAATTTCATTAGTAATACAATTGTCTATGTAGGTAATGTTTGCATAACATTCAAATTACACTCAGAAAAGATTTTCAGATGTGATATTAAAATAAAAAGACAGCTGACATTAAAATAAAAAGATTGTAACATCAAAGTAAAGCAGTACTTACTTGTATTGTGGTAAAGCACAGCCCAGAACAAGCAAGGTCATCCCAACGGATCCCGAAAATGCCAAAGCTACGAGACTGCAAAAAGATTTTTATATCAGAAATAGGAACGTCGAGCTGATGTAATACATAACAAACATATATCCAGAAATGGCCAAATAAAAATAAAATTCATCATTATAGAAATGCGTGAAGTGATTTAAATTACTTTACATATTTCTTTCTAAATAGTAGATAATTTGTTTTAATAGTGAAAAAAATCTTTTTGCACATAATAAACGTATCACTTAAGTTAGTCAATGAACAAAGAAAAAATGAGAATGAACATACTTGAAAAACACAATCTTATTTCAATGGCCACTGTTGTACCAAAATGAAAAAATTTTAAAAAGAAAAAAAAAAGTTACTTCTGAAAAAAATGTAAAGAAACATATTCCCAACATAACTAACAAACAACAATATGTAATTCACTCGATCATTAATAATAACCAATCTAAAATCATTTTAATATAAAAGGAAATTTTTTTCATAAAAACAATTTAGCTGTATCAACCTCTATAAAAGATATCTTTAAGGGGTAATTCTGGAAAGCTCCTCAGAATATTTTAAAAAGTAAACAATTCTTGTTAAATGGAGGGGAGGGAGCAGGGCAATGTAAAATTTAAAATTAGGTGGTACTTTATATATTAATGAAAACACCTTGACGAAATCTGGTGGTTTTTTATAGATCAAGAGATAGAAATTACTTATCAAAAGATACTTATTGGTGGTTTTCATCCTTTTTTTTAGAAAGATTCCCAAACTACTGATATTTATAATAAGTCAGTAAACATTACCAACATATGAAAAGTAAACATACTTTAGCAATTTAAAATACAGATTATAGTTATTAAATAAGGATTACATGACACATTAAAAAACAAAACAAATTCTTATTCAAATCTTTCTGTAATTTTTCTGCACTATTCTTTTCCCGAAGTACATAGCGATCTGGTTTTGCTTAAAAAAATCACAGAATTAGAGAATCAGCTTTGTCCAAACCTTGGCAACACAGGAAATGCATGTTCTTGTTATTCCCTTTAGAAATTTCCATCATTGTCATCATAATGAAAAACTTTGATTATATCAGCTTCATTTATTACAAATTCTCCACATTTCCTTAAAAACGGCATTAATTGGAAAATTTTGCTTTTTACTGGCAATAACCGAACATCTTTGAATTCGCAGTCATCACCATAAAGCCTAGCTAGCGTCCACTATATACTATTGGCAGTGCATCACGAGAATGGCGACAAAAACATATTCAACTAAATTTTGTCTTGCTTATATCAGACATTCACAATATTAAGCTTGAATTATATTACAGTACAAAGTCCGAAATCAAGACGTCTATTATCTGGAATGATCTAAAATCCGGACTTCGAAGCCACAAACATTAATTTTTTATTATTATTAAAGCTTTACGCATACACATTTGATTTTTCTTTCCGTGATAAAACGTGGAGATTTTCACGTAAAAATTCCGATTCTTAACTTCACTTAGGCATCATTATGTAATAAAATACATAGCTAGGAAAAAACAATCATGTAAGCATACATTTGTGAGATTAATAATTTGGCTCCGCAGCTGAGCGTCTGCTTGGCATTACATCTCAAACCGAAACATTCACCTATTTTAAATCCCTGACACCGACCTGGGGTGTCATTTATTATACTTTGCTTTCAACATCGCATGTTTATCAATACATAACAGCTTCAGTAATAACTCATGCAGTGATGTCTAAACTTTTTTTTTACATTAGTAATTGAATAGCAAAGAGTATAGGCTAACATTTTATGCTGATATTACGCATTTGGCAATGATTACAAATTTAAGTTAAAAATGCGCTAAGAAATATAGATGAAGGAAAAATGTCAACAAAAATTTCTTTCCATAAGCTAAATAAATTCTCTCCATGATACTAAAATATATTTTGTTAATGAAATTCATAGGCCAAAAGATTACATTTAGTGCTTTTTGAATTAAGAATAAACTGATTATGTTATTCACCACAAACCCAGAACCGACACCAGAGCTTGTGTGACTACACCAGACACCAGAATTAAGGAAGACAAAATTTTTGGAATTGGGGGAAGAATCGAGCAGCAAAATTCAGGGATGAGAAGTTTTTATGATTTAGGGAAAGCACTGGGATCCAAAGTTTAGACACGGTGAAAATATAGAACTTAGGAAAGCGCTCTGTAGCAGAATTTAGGACCTGTAGAGACTGCATTAGGCGGTATCGAGCGCCGGCCCTAGATAAAGCCTTAAGTATATATGGGAGTTTATTTATTCAGGACTTAGATTAGTTTGAAGCATGTGCAATAAATAAATGCAGGTATAGTAAATAACTAAACTAATGCAATTCAGGCATAATTCAGAATGCAATAGGAGCAAGAGAAAATTTAGCAAAACAACTTGGCTTTCCACGCCAATCTTGTGATACACAGCCAATAATGTATAATGGACGCTATTAAGCTAGGCAGAAATTATCTTTACTGATTATAAGGCATTTCAGTTAATGTAGTAGACTGCACTACTCCTTAATCTTCTAATTTGATCCAGCTTATTATTTTTTACAGACTGTTATTATTACATCAATTTTATAAAAATGAAGCTTGAATTTTCGATTATATCGAAAAGAGTTTCCAGTTCTGGAGCTGCCAAAGGATCTACAAAGCAAAACCATGTTTTTATGTCCATTAAACAAAAAGTGGAATTGCTGCAAAAAATGGATAAAGGCATATATCTGTCTCATTATGCAGGGAGTATGGCATTGGAAAGTCAACTGTATATGGCATAAGAAAAAGGAACTTTTAAAATTTTTTATGGAAGCAATTTAAACAACTTATATTGAAAGAAATGTTTAATAAAGTAAATAAATAAATATTAAGCTTTTTTTTGTAAATTTTGATACCCTTTAGATCATAATTGTTCTTTATTTCATAAATTACGATTTCATATTTTTAATTGTCTAATTTCTGCATGCCATCTTACCAGATTAAAATTGATGATCCATTATCCAGAAAAATCCCAAATCGGGAATTGCTGAAGTCCCAACCAGTCCGAATTTCAGACTTTGTACTGTAGTTATTATATTCATGCCTATTTCTCACACATGTTTCAGGCTTATCCGAGTTTCAAAAGGCTCTGAAAATGCCGAGTAGCCCCACAGTTAAGAAGAAGAAGAAAAAAAAAAAAAAAAAAAAAAAATGGAATAAATGTGCTAATTTCAGATAGGGTTATCAGATTCAAACTATGGCATCTGGCATTTTTACTTTCCAGCAATTTGATAGAAAATATTCCATTCATTTTACCTGCTTGGTAACATTTTCACCATCATGGCAACATGCTTGAACGCTTTTTCTTTCCACTTCTACATGAGCTTTGAAATCAGAGTACATTTTTGAAGAAAAACCACACTCTCAGCCTATACACAAATTGACCGACTTATTATCAGAAATTTAAGGTTAGAAGATAAAAGATCATCCAAACTCTAATATCCTCGAATTAGAATCCTCTCACCAAAATGCATTCAACTCCTTTTCAATTTACTAAAATTTACCTTAAAATGTAACGAGGGTCCCTTAACTAGGTATCGGAGGGCGAGGACATTTCTAACTAATCATTGTATTTATATACATATTAGCTCACACGTTCAAACACAAATGCTCACAAGAATTTACTAAAATTACATCACAAGTGGTACTTTGAGGTCATTCTGGGAATTAAACTGTAGCATCTTATGCTAAGTCATAAAATTATTTTCAATTCCTGGAAAGCACGTAAAATTTTTAAATTCATATGGGCAGTGATTTATATGGACTGGGAAGAACAGCATTAAAAAAAAATAACAAAAGTAAACAAATTACTTACGCTGTTATGGCCAATCACAAACAGGCATTCAAATTTCATGAAAAGGGAAGAAAAAACACATTAGCTTCAGCAATATCATTTCAATGGCAGATCATAAAAATAGCACATGTTTTAAATCTGGTTAGAAAATAAGCAAAATTACAAAAATACCTCTACATATCATAAACACAAATACACAAAAAAAGTTTTATTTATTTATTTTTGCTTTTGAAGAAGGGGAACGTATATCATATCATTAGTTAAATTAATTTAAATATAATTGAAAAGATACAAACACTTTTTACAGCATTTTAATTAGAAAATGTTATTAATAGTGGATTGTCTGCAGCTGTAATGCAAAAGTTCATCTACAAAATACAGCAGATGCTGTATTACAGTCATGCAATGTGTATGCTTTTTAAATTGAAAAATTCAAATACTTATTTCCAAACAGGGAATATTACATGGACCATTCAGTTTTAAGTTCAACGTACTGTCTTTGTTCTCTCGCAGAAGGCCCCCCAAACAGCACATTAAAAAAAGGGGGGGGGATAAATATCAAAATCTCTTCCCTGAAATCGAAAGTAATTTATCTGTATTACTCCTTGTCTGTAGTGTTACAAAACATTTTTATTATTTCAAATATTTGTTTCTGTCATTATAAGTATAAATTTATGTAATGTAATGATTGATATGGTAATAAATATTATAACTTAGTTTCTAATATGGGTGATAATAAGAAATATGAAAATAAAGCAACAACAGAAAGCCTTTCGCTAGAAACTCAAATGCAAGTACTTAGAAGATTAAATAATGGTGAATGTTAGCGTCAAATTGGTGTTGCATTGAACTTGTCAACTTCAACAATATTAGAGTAGAGAGACGGGTACTCCCTTGTATTACCGCGAAGTTGTTATTTCATTTAGTAGTTGAATGTTATGGAAAACCTATTATTCGTAAAGGCTTGTGTGTTGTATTGGTTAGGAAGTATATTGCTTGTTTTGTGGTTTAGACGGTAAAATGGTTGAATGTGGTAAGATTAATTTGAAATTTCTGTACGATTTGGAAAGAAAGGGGAAAAGAGCATTACTTGACGGGTGTGTAAATGCAGGTTTACTTAGTAGCCATCATTAAGTGTTCCGTTTGTTGGAAGGAAATGCGTATGGTCGGACGATAACGGCGCTATGAAGGATATTTGTTTACTCTTGTTTTGTGAATTTATGTGGCAACGCCAGCATACAGATTCTAGTTCAGATAATTTTAGGAAGTTTTTGGATGCTGTTAAGGAATTTTGTTTGATTCAAGGCATGTTAATTCGTAAATAAGGTAAGTGGATATTTTCTTAGTGTAGTGCAAAGATGAATTTCCTTTTTATGTTATTTTATTGCTTGATTTAAAATGTAGTTTATTGAGATTATATATTTTTTGTTGACTGTTCCTTTGACTTTTTAAGTGAATAAAGTTCGATGTGTGCATGAACAAAGTCAAGGGAGTGCGGAATGCCTAGTTTGTGCAATTCTCTGATGATTTTTTAAGTGAAACTAGGATCGATGTGTACATGGATAAAGTCAAGCGAGTGTGCAATGCCAAGTCTGTGCAATTCTCTGATATTTTTTTAAGTGAAAATTGGTCGATGTGTACATGGATACCGAGTTTGTGCAGTTCTTTGTCTCATTACTTTGGCTTTGTGTAGCAGCGATTTTTGCCATGTACCGCCAAATATCAGCAATTTTCGCCAAGGGGTACTCGCAAATATACTTTTACCAGAAATTTCTCAAGAATTAAAAAAAAAAAAAAAAAAAAAAAAAAAATAGTGTCATCATCAACTACAACTGCAAAAACTTGTTCGACTACGAAATTGAATGCAATACAACATTAAGACAAACTATTATAATGGAAAAGTGAGAATTTTCAACCACATTCAGACTGAAACAAGAGACACAACTGAAACTTTCATTGCAAGTTGCGTATGGTTTAATAGATTTAAACATTGAAATAATCTTCATAACATACAGATTACAGGAGAAGCAGCAAGTGGAGATATAAAAGCAGCAGCGACATTAAGGACAAAAAATGAATGAGGAAACTATCCTCCAGAATTAGTTTTTAACATGTTGAGCCCCACTTCAGCCATCTGCGGCTGACACTAGACTTTCCATTTAGGCCGTATCGACCGCCGCTGGCTGACAGCATGTAACATGATACATAACTATAAAATTTACACTGTCTTATAGAATTACAGAAAATTAATTTAAAATTTATTTCATTTTGATTAATTACAGGACTAATGGATTTCATTGAAACACAGTAAACATAAAAACGAAAAGTGTTGAATGAACGCTTATAGGAATCACGTTCTAAACGTAAACTATCTTCTGCAATAAGAATCACTGGCCCTACAATATCAGTGCTTTTAAAAGGTATGCGTGGCCTGAACAGCACTGCCTAAGAAATATGCGTGGCGCTCAACGTATTAATGCCGATGAAATGATGTATTTTGGAAAAGAATGCCAAAACACACATCTCTATCCTATGAAGAAAAATGTGAACCAAGATTTAAAGCTGCAAAAGATTGCTTAACATTTCTCCTGGGTGCTAACACTAATGAAAATGTCAAACTAAAGCCGCTTCTTGTTTATTATTCCAAAAACCCAACAGCAATGAAAGCAATATCAAAATCCACTTTACCTGTAATTTGGGAGACTAATAAAAAAACATGGGATAACTATGAAAATTTTCCAAAAATGGTTAACTGAACATTTTTGCCCATCTGTAAATGCTACTGCAAAATCAAAACACTTGAATCAAAAGCACTAACTTTAATGGATAATTCAAGTCAATGAATTTATCTGACTTAATAGCATGCATTCCAGTCAAAGTGATTTTTTTGTTGACTAACACAGCTGCATTAATCCAACCAATGGTTCAGGGTGTTATATCAAATTTTAAAGCTTAATACTTGCGGCAAAGCTTTAGATAAATGTTTGGAAGAAAAAAAAAAAAAAAAAAAAACAGACGGAGATCATAAATAATCAATAAGAGATTTTTAGAAGAACAATAATATAATGGATGCTATAGAAGACATAAATCTTTCTTGGAATGAGGTAATGGAAAAATGTTTGAAAGGATAGTGGAAAAACATTTGCCACATTTAAACAATGATGATAACACTAGAGATTCTGTTGTTGATATGAATGAAATAATAGAATTAGCGAAACAAACAGGTTTAGGCGATCTCGAAGAAATTTTGCTAGCAACAGCAAAGTCTTTCTAATGAGGAGCTCAATTATTTAGCAGATTAAGAAGGCTAAAATACTAAAAATATTTTAGCAAAATATTTATCTGAAGAAGAGCAAAATGAACTTTCAGTGGCATTTCTAAAAACCAATTTAGCTTCCATAACAGAAATTAAGGACTTATTTACTAAAAATGATGCAGATTTTGATAGGTGTTTAAAGGCAAGACAGGGTGTTGTCCCTTTATTGACTTCTTACTGAGTACAAAAGAAAAAGGCAAATGACATTGGATACCTTTTTAATAAAAAAATAGAAAAATATGTATGATCTAAATAGAAAAATATGTATGATATATTTATTTATTTATATATATTCATTTGTTATGTTTCAATATTTGTAAAAAATAAGTTTTTTTTATTTAGTATTGTTATAAAAAACATATTTAATAAACTTAAATAATAAAAAAACTTGAACATTTTTTTCAAATTTTACAACCGTTTTTCCCTAACCCCATTATTTACATGATGAGATGACCTCGTTCAACGCTATTTCGTATATCGCTCTACTTTGATGCAGGAGTTTTATTGTATTAATACTTGGGAAAGTTTTACCAAGTATCAAGAACAGGTGAGTTTCCAATATTCTGCAGTATTCACGACTGGTGAAAATGCTGTCACTTTCAATTTCAAAAGAAAAACTTTTAATGAGATACAATATTGATGTTGATGACAAGTGAGGAGAATAGCAATTGATGTGATAAACTTTGCAGCTTTGTCTTAAACAAAATTATTTCATAGACCAAATTTCCTGAATTTCTTATATATGTTAAATGTTCTCTCACCTTTGATTCCGGCCATAATTATCCCAATTAATTAGTTGGAAGTCACTCAGATTTTGACATTACATTTTTTTCCCTAAAAGAAAACACAAACTTCTCTTTTACGACTTCGCTACACCTATCGCCAAGGCGCGAAAACGTACTGATGCCAAACCAATGAATTATAATACTTGTTATTGAGTTTATACTCAGAAATGAAAATCTAGTAATTAAGGTAAAATAACACGCCGAATAAATATTAATTTAAAAGTCAAACAACAAAAATCAGCGCTATATTTGCAAATTTTCACAAGATTAGTTTCGAGTTTCACGGATCAGTTTCTGTCAGCCTCAGCTGCCAAAACGCAAATAAACGAGATAAGATAATGCAACATTGTTGGTCCGATTATCACAATTTCAATTTTTCTGCAGCCAAATTTATTCAAAAAACTTCTTCCGTTGACGAATTAGATTTCTTAGAGGCGTTTCAAAATCAAAAAAATCTTTCCGTTCTAGTCAACGACTCTAATTTCAATCCATCTTTGCCTTCAGCCTTTAAGGAGATTATGTTTTAGTTCTTGTTTCTTTAACAGATGACGCCAGTAGCTTAACTGCTGTCCAGCCATTCTTATCTTATCTAATCACTATATCTTATTTCGTACATTTGCGCTTTGGCAGCTGAGGCTGATGGTTCGGTAAAACCATCGAAACTAGTCCTGTGAAAATTTGCAAATATAAGGCTGACCTTTGTTGTTTGACTTCTAAATTAATATGCATCTGGCTTAAAAGTCTTAAAAATTAACGCCACTTAAAATCTTTACAGATCAATTCCTGTCATCGATATTCCAGTCAATCAGAAATATCTTCTGGTTTTAATAACGGGTTTTACTTTCAGTCCTAGAAACTATAATGTTTAGTGAAGGTTGACCACTAACCTGAAACGAAGGACATAGGTTCGAGTTCCGCCTAAGACTTAAAGGCCCTGGTGTGTACTTTCAGATCATCAGTGTAAAGCTGGCTGCAAGTCACTTTCTACCGCAGACTTTGATCACTCCTGACGAATGCGGTCAAGCAACTGGTATCGTAAAGCTAAACTTAACTTCAGAATGAAGAGAAAATGTTACCTACACTACCTGTTTTTACATTACATGTGGGCTATCACATTTAAAAGAAACCGGAAAATTATTGACACATTTCAAAACAAAATGCTTTGATCCGCCTATCATCAATGCAGGCTCGTTTGCGTGAGATCAATAAATGCATCAGGAACTAAAAGTTGGCAATGTGCACCACTTAATTTTGACAACGGTGCATAAATTTTCCCCAAGTTTGAATGAATCTAAATTCTCTCTCCTTGCTCACATTACAGACTATGACGCCACCTTAGAAATGACTTTTAAGAGGTCTAGAGCAGTGGTGCCCAACCTTTCGCCTATTTTATCTATCGTAAGTGCATTTTGGCCTATCGCGAGCACATTTCCAAAATATCAACATTTTTGTTAAAAACATATTTCCAATCTTATATGATACATCTAAAATATTGATTTCGGCAAATGGGTTTGAGATGAATAATAATATTGGTTGAACTTTATGGAAATCAGAGAAGTGGAGTTCAAAATTATTTTTCAGGGCATTTAGGTTTTCCCAGTATTTCTCTGTTTCAATTGCCTTGTGGTTATTAATATGGCTTGATAATTTCTGAAAATGGGTGAAATGTTTTTCTTTCATCTGATTTATCAACAAATTTAACTTTATCTGAAAAGCAGTTACAGTCCCAGTCAATTAAAAAAGGGTTTTTTTTTCTTTTGCCTGGAGATCTTCGTTCAGTTTAGCCGTTATATCCGTGAAAAAATACAGATCGGATAACAAATTATTATCGTCCAATTCTTTATAATTTTCGTTTCCGGATTCCAAAAATTATTTTATTGGTGAAAGAAGTTCTACAAATCGTTGAAGTACTTTTTCCCTGCTGAGCCATCAAACACGAAACAATAAGATTCCATGTTCATTATCAAGTTCATCAGTCAGCAATCAATTATTTTATAACGTCTTGCAAGATATCGCTTATGACTATAAATGCTTACCATATTTTAACAATTAAGAAATATAAATGAATGGTTATTTTTAAAATATTTTTTGTTCATAGTACCCAATCGGGCTGGCGAGCACATACAAAACGACTGGCGAGCACAAGGTTGGGCACTGCTGAGCTAGAGTAATATATCAGAACACTGAGTGGTAGCAGACCTCCAGTTGTAAATAGTGTATGCAGTTCAAAACTCCCTTAACGTCTATTTCATAAGAATTGTGTTGCTTTCAAGAATACTGAGTTACACTTTACAGCATATTGACATCTCGTCAGTGGCGTAGCGAGCGGGGGGCAAGGGGGTGTATGATGCCCCGGGCGCCTCTCGCAGTGGGGCGTCAAATGGTCTCCAAACAAGATTTTCCGGAAAATTTCATATTTATTTTGATCGATTTCTGGAAAATATATTTGAAATTAATAATTATTATAATATAATTAATTACTCATTTTCTTGATTTGTCTGATAAAATATGTAATAAAATGTTTGCAGTACATCAACTAAATAGCTCCGCATACAAAACGTTCTTTCTGACCACTTCATTTCTCTAAAATAGGAATATATTTTTATTTTTTTAAAACAAAATGCAAGTATAGATCCCGCTTTTATATTTTAAAACGATAACATGACCTTGTCCCGAATTTTTCGAACATATCCAGTTTCCAAAAACCGATTCCATAGTCTGGAAATGGCATTTTGAGAAACTCGTAACGCTTTCGCTACAATGGATTGCGTTTGACTCTCCTGTAAACGCCTGATGGCCTTCCTGGCTACCGATTCAATTAAGTCATTAGGCTGAGACATCGTATATTCACCGCTTTAAAGCATTCAAAGCGTGTCAATTGTTTTTAATCTTCTACTACAAAAGGAATGCTGCAGGTCGCTCCTTATCTAAAACGCATAGTTTTCGATGTCACAGACTAAATTTGCATATTTCCAACTTGTAAACGCTATAATTTTCCTTTATAATCTTTTCCATTTCCTTTTGTTAAAAAGGTTGTCGATTATATGGTTATTTCATACCGAACTCACAATATCCCATAATTGTTTTGAACAGTGAATGTGACTGCAAAATGTTACTCCGCAGTAGAAAGAAACTGAACCTAAAACTCTATTACAGATCTATGGAGAAAATGTTTTCCCAAGCCTAAGAGTAGCACTTCAACCACTCCTTACTGTTTCATTATCAAATGCTAGCTGTAAACGTTCGTTCAGCAAATTAAAATAAATTTGGACATATTTACAATCAACGATGGGACAAGATCCCCTAAGTCATCTAGCATTTTTAAATGTGGAAAGAGAAAAATTTGAAATGATAGACTTTGATAAAGTAATTCATAAATTTGTTTCATCCAAGACAAGAAAAATGTATACATAGTAATTAATTATATTAATGTATTATAATATTAAATTATTATTAATAAATATATCTACACTAAATGGATTTAAGATCATACAATATTTTATCTATAATATATATTAAACTTTTTATTGTTTAAAAATTGTACTTTTTTTAAAAACAATTATATAAATATGTAAAATAAATAATACATTTTTAACTAATTCTAGATCATCGTATGTGTGATTTTTCTGCTGACTCAGAATCCAATGCTAGTTTTCCGAATCCAATGCTAGTGCAGTTAGGTAGTGACTATTCTGAATATATTTTAGAGTATTTCATGGCAAATTCAGCATTTTATTATTATTTGTATTATTTTATTATTACGAATATATTCTACACATTATATTACCGTGTTTTTTTTGGGGGGGGGGCGCCAAAAAGGTATCTTGCCTCGGGCGCCAGTTGTGGTCGCTACGCCAATGCATCTCGTACCTCCAGATGGTGGCACATATCAACGCTCAGCTTCAACAGCTATCTTTTATTGCCATAATGACGGGACTTTTGTAATTTAAAAGCCAATACTTCAGAGCTCGAATTCAAATCATAGGTTAATACTCTTTAATTGAATACCATAAATTCAGCTGGCCAACGGTCAAGCAGTGTTATGTCCAAACTCTATCCCACTAATGAATTTTTGACGTTAAGGAAATATGGATTGCCTAGCAAATAGAAGTCTCATACCCTCTTACACTTTTATGGCGTGTTTTCGAGTGAACTACAGTGTATAACTGTTGATTTTGTGTTCTTGCTCACGGAGATTTTCTTAATTTTTTATGAGGAAAAATTTATGCAAAATCTTGAATGAATGGATATCGTCTGTCTGCGTGCCAGAATCAATAAATTAAAGTTTATGAAGAAATATAAATAACTTAATAAACTAAACTACTAGACTTTATGACATTAAATGTCTTTATTAACTGTGTTAATATATTATGTTTAATAAAAGCTAAATTTCTTCAATTTATTTGTTATGCATGAAAACATTTTCTGATTTATTTAATATACCGTATTTGCCCCCTTTTCTTTATACACATTTTTGGAAGGTTAAAACTTTATTACTGATCAGTATAATGAATTTAAATATAAAATAACACAAATACAAAGTAATACTTTCTGCATACTTATGAGTTGCAAAGTAATACTTTCTGCACACTTATCAGTTGCAAAGTAATGCTTATGATTTGCTGTTTTTAGATCCTCTTCCTGATTCCACTTCGTTCATTTTCTCAATTGAGAGTGCCCCGAAACGCCTCTTTGCGCCCATGTTCTTTAGCACTCGCAATCATGCTTAGCTTGTACGCTATGTTATAGCAATGCCGGCGTTGTTTCTAAGCCATAACTTACCAACAAATTTAAGAAAATTGAATAGGTACAGATAGAAGCTAGGCCAGCACCTCCAATAGTACCACAGGTAATTGAGGTATTGCTGAACCTAGCTAACTATTAAACTTTCCACCCCAGTTTTGAGGGAGAACACCCCGGAGGGTGGTCCGAGACACCCGGAGAGTGGTTGATGGTAAAAAAAGAGGTTCTCTCGCCCCTCTTTTTTTACCATCAACCACTTGAGAGGACTTTCTGAGATAACTGAGTTCTGGTATTAATAGTGTACACAAATTATATTGAGAAAAGACTGTCCTTGAAAAGTTCAATAACTGATGCTTCCAAAAGCCT